AATTACAAACTCCAGTCCAAAATTTGTGTGTTTTTCTCTGTGTGTTTTTACGAATGATTCGAGTTGGACATATTTGCCAAAAGATTTTAGAATTTGAACGTCAAGTTGTAGGGAGACTCAATCGTGTTAAAAGCTGTTAAATAGACTGACACGTCCAGGCTTGAATAAACGCAATATCATGATAGACTAACACGTCCAGGCTTAAATAAACTCAATATCAGGCTTTTCTACAAGTTCATGTTTAAATTGTCTTGTGACCTTGTTGCGAACTCGTGAGTCAATCGAAGGTTAAGCCAAATGTTGATTTTAGTCAGTGGTTGAAGTTGCATATGAAAGTTGTTGGTGTCTAATTTAAAAATAACCTTGGAAAAGGAAAAAATTGAAATGCTGTAAGAAATCTAATACAGTAATGAAATGATTTCCAGATGTATATTAATTTTGTAATTAAATAGCGTGAGTGGAAAAACTGAGGTCTAACAGTTTACATGTTGGTGTTAATTCTATCTGGCCAAAGTTCTGTACAGTGGGGCTTAATATCGGGGATATATTTAAAATACATCATGGTTTCCAATAATTACAAAAGTTAATTCTACCTGACCAGAGTACCTGTATATTGAGGTGTTAATATCAGGTTCCTGATAATTACAAGTCTTGATTCTTCATCTGAGATAATTCTATATGGTCAGGTGTTATATTAGGGATATCATGGTTCCTAATAATTGTATATATATGTTGTGTGATAATTTGTATTTGAAAGAAAAAAGTTTGTGACAGGTGCCTTATGTCAAGGTTTGTCAAATGGTAGGTTCCCACTGTCGTGCGATGCGTTACGATAGGATTGTCCCTCTGAGTCCAAGATCTGGTACATGCAGATACGTTTTATGCTAAGATTGTCCTCAATATATGATAGGATCACATCCATGATTACTCTACGAATTCAATCGTAGCGTGAATCATGATAGTGGGAACCTAGCATTAGGTAGTCCGAGTTCTGTATATTAAGGCATTAATTCACGGTTTCTGATAATTACCGTACAAAACTTGATTCCGAGTTATAATACATGTATATTTGACACCTGCGTCTGCTGTCTAATAACATATTGAATCTGGATAAAGACAGGTTTCAAATATCAGGAAGTTGTCAAGCGGATACATGTCATCGATTTTACCTACAGGTTACACCATGTTTTGTTGTACTACACAATTGATATTGAAAACACAGGATATTCCGTTGTGGTTTCCCCTTTGTCAGTGGTGTAGGATTGGCGTGCACGTTAAAGAACCCTGCAATAAGAGTAGGCCGCAGTGCCACTGTCTGGACAAAATTTCCCTTATAGCACACTGTATGGTATATACCTGTCTTCGTTAACTCGTTAACAGAACACAGTTTTTATGGGAAACAATTAGTGGTTTATTCTAAAACCGGGGGGGGGGGGGGGGGATTGGGTTGGATGACTGAATGGTTAGCGTGCACGCGCTGTATCATAAAGTCTGTCATTGAGTCGACTGGCGTGGTTTCGAATCTCCGGTTGTACGTGACAAGGAGTAGGGTCACCTGTCCAACCTTGTGGGTTTTCTCTGGGTCCTCCGGTTTCCTCCCACTGCTAAAGACCCCTACGCGCAAGCGAATTATGTAAATAAAATTAAACCATATGTTAGTCCCAAAATGACCTAGTTTGTGTCGAGTGGACGTTAAACCCCATTTCTCTCTCTCTCTCTCTATTCTAAAACGATAGGAGGATACATGTCGAAACGTTGTGCTTTTAGAATAAAACAGTGATTGTTTCCCATAAAAATTCTGTTCTGTTAATGTGTTTCCCAATCGCTAAAAGCCACTTAAAGATTTTGTTAGCCCAGTTGGTGCAGAAAAGTAGGATGTTAAACCCTATTTCATTTCATCTTTTCTCCCCTCGTACAACAAAATCCTTGCGGAAGGAAGTTAATGCCCGTCTGCTGTAAGTAAGTTGACCTTCATCTTAATGAAACCATCCATTTGCTTTTATAAAGAAACGCGTTCTAATTACTGGCGTTAAGTTACAGACTTGATCAACATAACACACAACACATGTTATGCGCTTCAACGAAAACAGGCCTGTTGTAATGTTTCAACATAGTCGCACAGTTTAAACACCAGCCATATGGCTGTATAATATGACCTTTTGTAATTCAAGACGGCTGCAAAGGTTTAGTTAGAATTTCTCACAAGTGAGTAATAATTGGTCAGAAATATGGAATTTTCTTCTCAATATGAAAATTTCAGGGTGTCTTCACCCCCAACACTACCGCAAATACACTAATCGAATCCATACGCCTGAAACAAAGAAACATGCGCAGGGATATATTAACATTTGTGTTATTTGGTTAGTTGTTGAATCCTTTGCTTGCAGAAGATCGCTAAAATATTTATATAAACATTATTAGGGCTAGGTTGTTTATGCTAGAAAGACTGCAGTATAATGTTTGAGAGGGAGAGAGAGAAAGAGAGAGAGTTTAATATCCACTAGGTCATTTCAGGACTAACATGATTCAATTTTGTTTCCTTAATTCACTTGTGAAAAGGGGTCTTTAGTAGTGGGAGGAAACCGGAAGACCCAGCGAAAACCTTCTCACTACAACCGGGGAATCAAAACCACGCCATTTGACTCATTGACAGATCTTATGATATCCAACCCCCAGACATCTTGAATAGAATTAAAGGAATGGGAATTCATATCAAGAGACTACCATATGGTTCAATTATATTTCAATATGCTATTTTTCATGTAGTTGAGTTGTTTACAAGAACGTAGAATTAACGAAGCTTGTATAGATCTTGTTGCCACACTGATATAAAATATAAAACACACATTTCAAATTAACATACCTTGTAATAAAGGGGAGGTGTAATTGAAAACAAGGTCAGGTAGGGAGACAAGTGGACACACCTGCGTCTGGTCAAGGGTATAGGATCAAGTTGGCTGGTCAATGAACCATGACTGTAACAATACCTGGTCAGATTCACAATACCATGACCATATTTCTTTGTGTACAATCATTGTTTATATCAAAGATCCAGTGTAGGATGTTAAACCACATTTCATTTCATTGTTTAATTAAATCAAGGTTGGGATAAAGTTCCTGTCTGAAATAAGTCTAATGGAAAAAACATTTACATTAACTCTTTGTAAATGAAATCGACTTAAGTAAAATATTTTTTTAATTTACAAAAGATTTCTAATTAAATGTAAAGGAGACAGTCTGTGTACCACCATCGAAGGGGGTTGGATGACCGAATGGTTAGCACGTGAGCGCTGTATCATATGGTCTGCTAAAGACCCCTACATGCAAGCGAATTATGGAAATAAAATTGAACCATGTGTTAGTCCCGAAATGACCTAGTTCGTGTCGAGTGGACGTTAAACCCCATTTCTCTGTCTTTCTCCACAACCATTAAAATTAAATGGCTAGAGGTACATGTATAACACATACTTATGGGAGAATAATTACTAGTTTATTTGGATGACATTTCGAAAGGATAATCTCTCTCGTACTTCAAGCAAATTATTTTGCTGTTCTTGAATCCATCTTGTATTGGGGGGTTGGATGGCTGGATGGTTAGCGTGCGCGCGCTGTATCATAAAGTCTGTCATTGAGTCGACTGGCGTGGTTTCGAATCCCCAGTTGTACGTGACAAGGAGTAGGGTCGCCTGTCCAACTTCGTGGGTTTTCTCCGGGTCCTCCGGTTTCCTCCCACTGCTAAAGACCCCTAAGCGCAAGCGAATTATTGAAATGAAATTAAACCATATGTTAGTCCCGAAATGACCTAGTTTGTGTCGAGTGGACGTTAAACCCCATTTCTCTCTCTCTCTCCATCTTGTATTGTATTGGGCAATGATTTGTTTTATATGAAACAGTGTTTGTGTTCTCATATTCTGTTTGGTATTTTAATTTAAAGCCAGTATTTTATGGGATTATGTTTTAATAACGAAGTGGATTACAAGATGTGTTATTGATTTGAATCAAATGTTAAGTATTCTATAGCCGAAGCTAAGTCTGAACTTATCCTGATCAAAACTTACACAATATAATCACATAATATGTAGCAATATCCGAGCTCTACCTACTCACATACATAGCCAATACAACCACATACGTAACAATACAAACACATACGTAACAATACAACCACATACGTAACAATACAAACACATACGTAACAATACAACCACATACGTAACAATACAAACACATACGTAACAATACAAACACATACGTAACAATACAAACACATACATAGCCAATACAAACACATACATAGCCAATACAAACACATACGTAACAATACAAACACATATGTAGCCAATATTCATCTGAGTTTTACCTGTAGCTTGATTATATTTTTACCTACCTGTATATTGATTATAGTTGCGTAGATTAACCTAGATTTTAATTGTCACCACTTTTATTAATTTATTGCACAAGTGAGAATATAACAAAGCATGACCATTCAAAATGTGTAACCGTGACAAAATATATAACAGTGGCCCATGCAGGATTTGCAGATATGTGAGGGGAGGAGGGTTGGATGGCCGATTGGTTAGCGTGTGTGTGCTGTATCATAAGGTCGGTCATTGAGTCAACTGGTGTGGTTTCAATTCCCTGGTTGTATGTGACAAGAAGTAAGGTCACCTGTCCAACCTCATGGGTTTTCTCTGAGTCCTCTGGTTTCCTTCCACTGTTAAAGACCCCTACGTCCAAGTGAATTATTGAAATAAAATTGAACCATATGTTAGTCCCGAAATGACCTGGTTTGTGTCGAGTGGACATTAAACCCCATTTCTCTCTCTCTTTGTGGCCAAGATATGGACAGAGACAAACTTGACAAAGTACTAATTCCAGATATCACCGTTCTTTGCTTTATTCTGATTTTGTTCCCTGTAATTTTTTTGCACTGTCTTGGATGAAGTTTTTATTTGTTATGATCGATTTACTCAAGTTGTATTTTATTTGTATATTTACAGGTGAAGCAGGTGGTGCTACCTTAACGGAACGAGATGTATACATCATTGCCAGCGTGTGTGGAGTTATTATTATTACCTTATTAATTATACTTATTATATTTATCTGTCGTAGAAAGAAAAACCAAGGTAAGTCGTATATTATTTATAGGGGGTTGGGTGTCCGAATGGTTTAATATGTGCGCTTTAGATCATAAAGGTCTGACATTGAGTCATTTGGCATGGTTTCAATTAACAGCTTGTACATGACAAGGAGTAGGGTCATCCATCCAACCTCAGGGATTTTCTCCGGGTCCATCAGTTTCCTACCACAAACATCCAAACGTACACGCGAAGTATTAAAATAAAGTTGAACCATATGTTAGTCCCAAAATGCTCTATTTTTTGTCGAGTGGATGTTACACCCCATTTCTCTCTTTCTGTAGGGGGGTGGATGGCTGAATGGTTAGCACGTGCGTGCTGTATCATAAAGTCTGTCATTGAGTCAACTGGCGTGCTTTTGATTCCCCAGTTGTACGTGACAAGGAGTAGGGTTGCCTCTCCAACCTCGTGGGGTTTTTCCGGGTCCTCCAGTTTCCTCCCACTGCTAAAGACCCCAACGCGCATGCGAATTATGGAAATAAAATTGAACCATATGTTAGTCCTGAAATGACCTGGTTTGTGTTGAGTTAAACCCCCATCTCTCTCTCTCTCTCTCTCTCTCTCTCTCCTCTGTGAATCGAGTAGTTTTAAGTTTTTGATAAGTTCTATGTCCAATAGAACAAAAAAAAAAAATGCCACTTGTGTCAAATATTTCCATATCTTCCTCTCCTGTTTCATACGGAAATATTCCAAATGGTTTAAAAACAAAGGGACATCTCTTTACTGTTAAAAGTAACTTCCCATTGTCGAATCTCACACTGCAGTTGTTATGGCAACCACGAGATCTTCAATGTCTGAGTAAATAAAATGTTTGTTTGTGGTGGGTTCGATAAACTTCAGATTATCCAGCCTTGTATCTCATCACGGAAACTAGACTTGTTTTAGAACGGACTTCCTTGCACTTCAAAAATCCACAACCGCGACTCTCTTTTACATATTTATGTGACATCGAATGAAAAAACAGAATGTACGAAATTCCTTTTGACACAGAAATAAACACATGTCCATTGTTTCATTCAGTCCTCATTTCATGAGATTTTTTGTCCATAGATGTTTTGATTCAACTGATTTTTAAAACCTGGTTTTTTTTTACAAAACGATAATTAATTTGTTGAGTTTTTTGAGTACATGTTATTCTTTGATTGCGCTGGTTTTATTTTATACAATTGTATAATTGAAATTTATTTGATTTGAATTGGATGAACTGAATAATGGAAAGCGAATCTATTGCTATTTATTGTAGTGGATTTTTTTTTTCGAATCGGTTCCGGTTGTTTGATTGAATGATGTCACGGACTGAACAAAATAATGTTTGTATTCTGTTAAGCAAATATAGTTTTTTTCGCTAGTGAATGAAACAAAACGATCTCTGTTATTCAGATGTACTTACATTTATCCTGTCATTACTTGAAGGCTGTAGTTGAAGGTTGGATGTTTGATCCCTGCATTGGTGAGCCACAGTGGCTAAGTGTGTAGGACGCTGACTCGCTAGCCTAGAGGTCGCATGTTTGATCCCTGCATTGGCGGAGAAAGTTCATCAGGATTTTCCAGCATGGTTTCCCCATGTCAGTACTGCAGGACAAGAGGGCCTGACAAGGACAGCTGTCTAGTTATTCGGATGGGAAAAAAATATGAGGTCCTGTGTACACATTGGCGTGTACAGTTGGAATTCGATATAAGAGTAGGCTGTAGTTCCGCTGTCCGGGCAAAATTTCCCTCATAGCACACTGTATGGTGTATGCCCATCTTCATTAGCCCAGTCGGAGCAGAAAAGTAGGACATTAAACTCCATTTTATTTTTACTTGGAGTGCTATGTGTTAATTTGTCCGCTCGAATTTGATAATTTTGCTGTTCATTAGCCCACTCGATATGTGATGAAGCAGTCAACATTCATTTGCGATATTGTTTACAAAATATGATTATAATTTTTGACACAATTTACGCGATGGAGTGTTAATTTGTAATACTGTGAAGAAAGAATGATTATAATCTACCCTTACTTGATTTGTTCGCTAGTTATTTGATGATAGGTTCACAGTTAATTTAAAATATTGTTCAGAAAAAAAAAGATTATGTTTGATCCATTTTATGCGATGGAGCGATATCCGTTAATTTGTAATATTGTTTAGAAATCGTAATTATAATCTACGTGCTTGTTACTGTATGAAAGGTTCGCTGTTGACATTCTGCATTTATACAGTCAAAGAATTGGTTGTTTGTTCGTTCAGAATTGTCCGTTCGTTCGTCTATTATAACAAATTATTGTCTTCAGGTCAAGTCATCAGGTTTTTCTTTGAAGGTCAACGGTCGATTAAGACGAGGAATGCATGCTGGGATATTTTTGGACCTCGTTATGTTTGAATTATTTCAATAAATCTATTGTACATTATTTGAACACGCAGGGCATTTACAAAATTACCTTAAATTTGTGATAAATATTTGATTTGATTGAATTGATGTGGTTACATTAAACAATTTGTCATTAAGACGTTTTATCTGACGTTCAAATATTTGATAAACTGTTGTGATATTGGCTGAAGACTAGGGGGATATGCAAGCGAACCGTGAGGTTGCACCCAGCCCCACAACTTTATCATAGCCAAAACATTTAACACAAATTTAACATCGACATCCTGACCGAATATTGTTTTTGTTGAGCCCTTTTACTGGCTAGTTTTCTTGTTTGATATAGGCCTAGGTGTTTCAAATCAAACATCTGTGATTCTGCTAACATTTTGACTTGGAAGGAGGAGGTGGGAGTGAGGGGGGTAGGGTAGGGGGGGGGGGGGACCGTATAATATCCTCTGCACAGAGAGTCTGATTTGTCTTAAGGTCTGCACTAATTGTTCATTAATTAAATAGAGGAACATGTTTGTTTGAATTAGAAAAGCATATGAAAATGTGTCAATGATTTGGATCTCCTCGACCCCATTATTAAAGAAAATGTTGTCCGTGAACTAATAGGAAAATCTTTTGAAATATTCATGTATTTATTTCTTTTACTTTTTAGCCAAATATGAAGACAATAAAACAGATACTGAGTAAGTCATATAAATTTTATAAAATTTTGAGAAAAAGTGAAAATATTCCAGATGTATTACAAAATAATAACAATTGAATTTGTCAATTTCATGTGAGGTACGAATGAACTAAGTACGAAACAGGTTGCATTCCTATTTTTGATTGTCAGAAAAAATGTGTATATAATGTTGAAATAGGGTGAAATTTTTATTATTATTCACCACAACATGTATGTAGAACAAACGTTTTAAAAGATTTAGTTGATTTTGTTTTATAGGAGGAGAACTCAGCCCGTTAATGGCGTACAACAACCGAAAAAACAACAGGTTTATGAAAATCAAGGTATGACAATGAGTCGCATTCCTGGTGTAGACTTGGATGATCCAGTTCCTCCTTTGGGAATTTATAGTCTTTCTTATCCAGATGCTAGTAGTTCTAATCCCACTAATTATTCTAATAGTTGTAAGTATTGCATGAAATGTTACACTCACTAACTTTACCTCTCTCATCAACCAAATTCATAAAAATATTACAATAACATGTACGCTTTAGATTATTAGGTTAGTCATTGAGTCAAGTGGCGTGGTTTCGATTCCCTGCTTATACGTGACAAGGAGTAAGGTTATTAGGTTAGTCATTGAGTCAAGTGGCGTGGTTTCGATTCCCTGCTTATACGTGACAAGGAGTAAGGTCGAAGATACAACCTCATGGGTTTTCTCTGGGTTTCCTCCCACTGCTAACGAATTATAGAAATAAAATTGAACAATATATTAGTCCCAAACTGGCATAGTTTGTGTCTAGTGGACATTAAACCCTATCTCTCTCTTTTTTGGTTAAATTTTGAATTTTGGGGAAATTTTTTGCCACTGGTCACTTCAGTAATTGACCCGTAATGCTATCAATCATCCTAGGAAATTAGTCTCCTTGATTTTGAAAACCGTTTGAATTTGACAAATGAAGATAGAGAAATGCCACAAAGTGTTCTTATCTGTGTGATTTTACCGAGTTTTTGAAAACTTAGGAGACGCAGACAGCTTCAAAGATAATGTTATTATGATTTGGTGATGAGAGAATCAGATATTGTAGCTTTTATTCCGTCCAAATGAAAACAGCATTTTGATTTAGGAGAAAAAAAACAATAAATAAATGAATAACTGTATCAGTAATTGATGTATCTTACTACTCAAAAATGACAATAAAAATTTTAAATTTCAATCAAATAACAAAATAATAAGAAAATTGATACTTGATTTGAATTTTTTGGAAAAAAAGCTACAATATCTGTGTTTATTTATGATATGGATATAGGCCTACATGTAGATAAAGGCCTTCATGTAGATAAAGGCCTACATGTAGATAAAGGCCTACATGCAGATAAAGGCCTACATGTACATAAAAGTTGATGACCCTTTTTAATTGGCCATCAGGTTTTAGGTATGATTTCTGGGAGGAATGAATATTACCCAATCACCACCAATATCCATATCGTAGTAACGTATTTCACATCTTCACTCATATTTTGAATGAAACCTAATTTCACCTTGTTCTGATCTAAACTAATGGAATGTTGGTCTGTAGGCCACGCAAATCTGATCTTCAGTTCTTCGGGGAAATTTGTAAAAATTGTCTTTCTTTCTTCACAGGAAAAAGACTTCACAGGAAAAAAACTTGTTTAAAAACTAAAAATACTTGGTTAATGCTAGGTTCCCACTATCATGATTCCTGCTATGATTGAAATCGTGGTTATAATCGTGGAGTAATCATGGTGATCCTATCAGGTCTTATCATATATTGAGGTCAGTCGTAGCAATCGTGTTGACCGTATCGAAACGTATCCGAGCGTATCTGCACGTAGCAGATCGTAGACACAATAGGGACAATCCTATCGTAACACATCACACGAGAATGGGGACCTGGCATTGCTTTAATGCTTTTGTAATTTTAAATAAAACATCTTTTATCTGATTCAAGTAATTATTTGTTATCAAAACCCTGAAGAAACTGAAAATTAAATTTGTGAGGCCTTTAATTGTATCTATACAGATTCTATCACAACTTAATTCCATTTTGAATCTTCGAAACAATCAACTAGAAATCTTTTTTTTTTTTTAAATTTACTGACTTCCATCTTACTTCTTTTCCTCTTGTCAGGAATTGACCTTCGACCTTTTCTTCTAAATTTTCTTATATCTGTAATAATGAATGTCTCTTCTATTCGTTCTGATATAATCTAGAACTTCATTAAACAGGAATACGTCAGAAATTTTAAAACTAACATATTGGTTTCTGTACTGACAAACATCGTTTTCTACTAAAACACATTTTCATCGTTCAATCTAATGTTTAACAACACAGCCATTTGTCCGATTTGATTTTGCAAATTAATGTTTTTGAAAAGCATGGTGTTGATTTTATTTTTAATTTGTTGAATGACTCATTAGATCATTTTAAAATCATTTCGTATCATACAAAAAAAACATTCACACAAATCGTGTAAAATATTTAAATAAGATAATATGTATTACTACTAGTTTATCAATCCCACAATGCTATTAAAAGCGTCCCTGATTTTTCTGCAGACGGACCTTTGGATTTGAAACATAACCATGGAAACGGTTACCTACCCAACGGACATGCAACAGCCAATGGTCACGTACCTCACGACACATCGTATGATTCACACGTCGATAAGAGGATGTTTGAAAATGAAATGAATCGGAGAAATGAGAGTAAGTGTTTCCGCAATAATAGAAAAATGGAGACTGGGATTATTATCAGCTTGCCTATATATATAAATCTCTTCTTGCTTAATATAATGCTTAAAATATTTTTAAAAAATGTCTTTTTGCTACAAACAATCAAATCCAAACAAATCTAAGATTGTCCAGACTGCTTGAATAGGTTATTTTTAATAAAGTGATACCTGCTTTCTATCCTCTATTTCAACTTTCATACAAAATTCTCCTCCAAATAGACCATTTGTCTAAAATTAAATAATATCATTCTATCTGCTTTCTGTCTTATATTTTGAATTCTATACAAAATTTTCCAAATGAATCGTTTAGCTTTTTCCTCAGTTCTTCGCTGATAAACTTTTCTTTTATTTTATTCTTTAAACCCTTAATCCCATCTCTACAGCAGATTTCTCTTTCAATATCATATCATATTTCACTATATTCATGTTTTATTTATCTATGTTACTATATCACCCTCAAAGCACTTTTTATAGTATTTTAGATATGCATGTTAGTTGAATGTTTTCTATATATTTGAAATATTTTAATTTCTGTTAGCCCCTATAAGGTACCAAATGGACTGTAAATTCTCTAGGTTGTTTATACAATCTGATTAAAACACAGATCCTATTTCGTTTCGTTTTTTGTAGTTCAAAATTTCGTTTTACTTGTCTTTACTACACTAGGATCTGGAAGAGTAGTTATATAACCCGCGTTTAGCTTGATGTGAGGGATTAGCCAATGAAACAGTCTGTTGCAGCGAGTTCTTGGCGTGCGAAGCACGAAACTGTGGGTATCCTACTAGAAACATCAACGCTGATTGATTAATCAATGGCTAATGTCATATGGTCAAAAGCCGCTCGTATAACACCTGACGCGACCTTCCACTACAACTGATCAGATCTTAATGTAGTAGAGGCCATCGAATGTATAAAAAAATGAAATGAAATATAGATCTGTATTTTAATCAGGATTGAATTGCAATTGATCTAAGAAAATCAATATGGTTGATTTGGTACCTGATGGAGTATGTTTTTCTGTCTCAATGGACTAGATGCTTCATAATTATGTTTTAGTTTATAGATAAATATATAACAGTCTGTAAGGCTGTTTTAATGTTTTATTATTGTAGCATGATCACTTGAAAACAGAGCCCTGTTTCTCGAAATCTTAACTCAAGATAAAATCCAAATTTTAGTGGATACTTCAATTTTGATTGGCTAAGCACTAAAATCAATCTTATATTATCCAATCAAATTACTAAAATTTGGATTTTATCTTAGTTCAAATTTCGTGAAACAGCCCCCAGGTTTTTTCAAATTTCACATTTTGGAGTTTCTTGATGGTTAAAGGGAGATAATTTGTATTTCAGCTTTTAAATTTGAAATTACACATTTATGCTTGTGTATGATACAAGGAAATACTAAAATTTCTCAACATTGTAATTATCTGACACGATGGTCATACATTAAAATTTTAACATGTCATATCTTAAGAACGTTTTTATGCACATACATGTAAGCTCTCGTACAGCCAGTAAAAATATGAGATTATACTATAGATAGACATATGAAACGTTTATATTGGGGGTTAAATGATCATTTCTGCTTTAGTTTTAGCGCGAACTATCATAGGATACGTAGTTTGTGTGCAGTTAGAGAAAACATTGAATAAATCTGTGAACGTGTGACATTGTTTTTGGGGAGTTAAATGATTATTTATTGTTACAGTTATGGTAGGGTGACCCACCATAAATAAATATCTCCATATATCTCGACAATTTCGCCACAATATTTATATATATGCCAAGCCTCAAATCAGTTTCAAACAATTACAGTCACTAAATAAACGATCATGTTGTACTTAATAAGCTATGACCATTAATCATCTATAAATAATAGACTGAAAACTGGTTCCATGTGTCGTCCATAACATCCAGACACTTTTGAGTAAAAGATAGGTTACGTGCCCTTGTTTTGAAATTAGTCTCGCTTAACCAGTCTATCGACCATTCTAGGGCTGATTGACAGGTCGGGATAATCAAGACTACTTTTTTACGAAACATAACAGAAAGCTAGAACAAGAAATTGAATTTAGAAATGAGCACGTTAGCTAGCTCAACAATTGTTTTAAGAAGCTTGTAAAAGTAAAATGAAACTACTGCTAGTATCATGTTCCTGTCTAACCCGAGTGTTTCTGAGATATTATTTGTACTAAACCAAAAGATGCCGCTCTTAACGGTATAGTTAATGATAAAGCGATTTAAAAAATGAAACGAACGTAATTTCTAAATCTGCTGTAATAACCAAGAAGCTTAATTTTACTGCTATTCAAAATCGTCAACAATAATTTTTTTACGGCTGTAATAGTTGATAGATTTGTAGAGAATTGCACGTGCCATGGCTATTTATAGTATCATACTGTCAGAAAGTTGGCCTCGACACGGCGAATGTGCACGCTCCAGTGGTAGTCTCGAACTATCAGCGGTTGACTGTATTTCTGTAGGTGCGTGGGTCACCCTAGTTATGGTAGTGTTAAACCTATTATTTATTGTAATATTTGATTATTTGTAGATGTTGGTCGAGTAGATTATAATAACAGACAGGGAGCAGGTTAGTATTCTTTTAAAAAATGTTTTGAATTTTGTCAAATTCAAGGAGCAGTGTCTAGTTATTTGGATGGGACAAAAAAAGGGGGCCTGTCATTGAGTCAATTGGCATGGCTTCGATTCCTCGGTTGTATGTGACAAGGAGTAGGGTCGCCTGTCCAACCTCGTGGGTTTTTCTCCGGTTTCCTTCCACTGCTAAAGACACCTACACACAAGCGAATTATTGAAATAAAGTTGAACCATATGTTAGTCCCAAAATGACCTAGTTTGTGTCGAGTGGATGTTAAACCCCATTTCTCTCTCTCTTACTCCCATCTTCATAAGCACGGTTGATGTAGAAAAGATTAACGTCAAACACCATTTGATTTTATTAACTTTATGGATTTATTGTAATTTGTTTCTGTCTATTTTTCAGATATACATTTTCACGGTGTACCCAAAAGTCCATCCAAGGACCAATACATCGACCTTGAAGAAAAGAAGGAAGGTAGCCTACAGAGTAATCCAGAGAGTGGCTATTCCACGCCTGACCCCTCCAAACCAAAAAAGGTTATTTACGAAGTTGTCGTCTGATGTTTCTCATGTTTTGTCCTGTGTCGCTTTTCTTCGAAAAACAAAACTTTTTATATGTTCGGAATCTTCAGATCTGTTGGCGCTGGAACTTTTTTTTGTAAATTGTTGAAATTTTTATTTCGCTATTGAAGATAACATTAGAATGAGATGAGCTGTACGTTAAAAAACAAGCGCTTAAAAAGATAATTAAGCGTCGACAGTGCTGTTAAAAGATAGTCAAAGATACGGAAGTCAGAAGATCTCGCGTTTTAAAAAAAACAAACTTTCTATTAATTAATAAAATATGTGATATTTTTGTGTAAACTGCTGTCGCTAAAAAGCATTATCAAAAATAGACACTTTATCGACGTTTCGTACAAGTTTGATTTTCTGTGCTTCCTGGCCAAACAAGGTCCCATCTGTTTGTTATGTGAAGTCTAAGAGCATGCATGAACTTTGAACTATGACCTCACCTTTGAACTGTGAAGTGACCTTTACGTCAAATTCTAAAGTGGTTATATGTTCACGTTACCGTTCCGTGTCGAGCACCATGTTTTTACAATGTACTGTATTTAGATATTGTATCATGTGATGTTTTGTTTCTGGGAAGGATTTGTGTCAAGTGTTTCTATTGGAGCAGGCTGTGTTCTGTGCTCTTTTCGTCCAATCAAATTGTGTGTTACATGGTCTCTGTAGATGGCTGTAGACTTTCATTCAGTTGAATCAGACTATTGGCACAGCACAAGAGAAATTATGGGATGGACACTCTGCAGAAGCAAATGTACGGTATTTACACTGTTGTGGCAGCTTAAAACAATGGAAAAAATGAGAGAATATGCGCAGTGACTCAAATCAGAATGAGACGGACATTTCGCTTTAAGGATAAAAAAGATTCGTAAACAAAACATATGTGACAATACCAGTTGTATTGAGAGTTATGGGACTTGATATTAACTCTTTAACAAAGAGTCAAAATAGGTTAAAGGTCAAGTATTTGACCAATGATATTGGGATATTCTCCTGATAGGTTAAAGGTCATGTAGTTGACCAATGATATTCTCCTGATATGTGTATAAAAAAAAAACTCTATATATTTGTTAATATATTATAATTTTTTTAAAACCTTCAAAAGGTACACAATCGTTCCACAGAAAAACGGAACGGAAGATATAAGTTTGATTTACCGTTAGTTAATCATCTACAGCAAGAGTTTTCTTTTCGTACTATGGTGCTCTTATTAATATGGTTATAAATTTGCTAAACAAAAAAACTAACATTGGTGCAAAAGAAAAGCAATAATCCATTTACCAGAAGGTGAAAATATCAATCCAAATTGAAAACATAGCCAAATTAGAATAACTCCCATATATAGCCTTATTATTTTACTTGCACCGTCCACAACTTACACAATCATAATGATGGTCATTTTGCCCAGGCAGTTTTAAGAGAGAGAATGAAGCATTTAAAATTGTTCACCAATTTCAGCACCAATTTTCAAATTCTTGACCCGTTCCTTATGATTTCGGTTAAACAAATATAATGTCTCGTGGTTACACCAAATACTGATTTTACAATTTAAATATTCTACTAGTAAATGCAGGAGGACCGCACTACACACAAAACAAAAATCTACAAGATAAACCTGCGGACAAGACAGAATATAGACATTGCAAAATTATCAATTCAAGTGAATGTATCCGTGGGCGTCCCCTGCGCTGTACAGTCCCGGGCCTGTTATTTGTGAATGTTGGTTTATTATTCAATCCAACTGAACTGATCAATTCTAAATTGTATTTGGTGCATTTTCAAAATTCTAAAATTACCATCGTTTATCTGTTAGTTTATTTTTAAAAATCAGTTTTTTTCGTTGAATTAATATTAGTAAAAACAAATAAGATTCCAGGGGTTTTAGGAAAGCATCTTTTCCATTGGCTAAGAGTTAGGATCTGTTATAGGATTGTAGTCGCAATGAAAAAGTTACGTCCTTGAAATATTTCGTAAATAAAACGCAATTTGAACAATGTCTTTCGTACAAAATGCCTGGGATGAATATGGCTGCGGGATTACTCTAAAAGATATGTATGCGAAATGGGACTTTTGGAATTATTAAATTTACTAATCAAGGGATTTATTAATTAACTATATACAATATTTAATTTAAGACTGGTTGTATTAAAAGACAGATTTCCATCCAACCAAAGTATGTATTTTATATTTAAGGCCTTCATTATCATTTATTGACAATATTATTGATATCTTTCCATCCAAATTTGTCCATTTTAAACAATTTTATGCAATTTAATATGAAACTTGTGAAGTATTTTCTCCATCCAGATTTAATATTATGCAAATTCCAGTTGTTGTGAAACAGGTCTTGCCTTTAATTTAACGATTTGGTCATGTTCCTTCAGGACAGGTATTCAGATATTGCTTCGTATTTCTAGGGAAAAACAATACCCACTTGGTTGCTATCCTCAAAAACTTTCTATTTTAAAATTTAAGTTTTTAAATTTTAAACAAACCATTTTTATTTATTTAGACCCAGCACTTGGTTGTTATCCACAAAAACTTTTAGTTCAAATTTTTTAATTTTTGAAATTTTAATCAAAACTTAAGATCATGAGACTTGAATATCTATTTATTTAGACCTTGACGAACTAAATATTAAATTACCTTGGCCTAATATTAAAGTTTTATACATAACACAGTTTTTTTTTTATAATTACAGATTTCGTTTTTCGTTTATAGATGTTCAATTTTATTTAAACGGACACTTCCTACTTACACATGTAATATTTTATTTAAGTAAATCCAAGTTTAGTTTTCATATTAAAATATTTAAGACGCAAAACTCCTGTTTAATTTAATTTTTTTTTTTTTTTAAATAAAAATATAACTGTTTTATTATATTGTGTAAATATATCATTATTAATACAAAAAGTTCATATAAAGTGTAATTAACATTTTTTTTTCTTTACATTGCATGTGTGTGATTGATCTGTTAATTAAGTCTGTGTGAACTGGTAAATGAGTCTGTAGAGACTGGTAAATCAAGTCTATATGGACTGGTAAATCAAGACTATATGGACTGGTAAATGAGTCTGTATGGGTTGGTAAATGAGTCTATATGGACTGGTAAATGAGCCTGTATTGTCTGATAAACCAAGTCTGTATGGACTGGTAAATCAAGACTATATGGGTTGGTAAATGAGCCTGTATTGCCTGATCAATCAAGTCTGTATGAACTGGTAAATCAAGTCTGTATGGACTGGTAAATCAAGTCTGTATTGTGAGAAATGTATTAAATGCATGTTAAAAACAAATCAGGAATAAATGAGAATTGATATTCTTGTTATGTCATATTATTAAGTTTGACAGAATCAAACACATTAAAGATATTATTTTTCATTAACGTGTGAATGAATCATTGTTTGAATGGGGGAAAGAGAGTTGTCGTTAATTTAGATACTTCATAAAACTTGGCTTTACTGTCGGAAATGTCAATTAAAATCCAGATGTATTTGAAGAATTTGGTTTTTGATAATTCTTGCTTCGTAGCTCATGTGTAAATTATTATACAGTAGGAATAAACAATGGTCACAGTTGTTCTATTAAGAAACTAATTCTATTTTGAACCAGAGACCTCCAATTAACCATTGTCTATATAAATATTCAAAATTTTTAAACAATACGAATTATACCTTGAGCTAGCTACCTGTTGAATTATACCTTGAGCAAGCTACCTGTTGAATTATACCTTGAGCAAGCTATCTGTTGAATTATACCTTGAGCAAGCTACCTGTTGAATTAGTTAAGAGTAGATGAGATACAAAATCAACACAGGTAGAATTTACAGAATATGAGTATGAAAGAAAAGAGAGAAAGTCATATAAATCTGTAATTATGTATGTAAAATGTAAAAATATAAAAAAAAAACAACAACTAAATTTCATACGAGAAATAAAGAAAATATCATTATATCGCTATGGTGACAGAGTTTTCTTTTAATTTGTTTCATCTAGAAGACAACAGTTTGTGAAGTTGTCATTGTTTTACGCTTCCCAATGCTAAAGACGGTCCTGTGCACCCGGTACATGTGATGTATGTAGATAAAGAATTATCTTAGTGCTTTTCAAAAGGGGGTTGGATTGCCGAATGGTTAGCACCTGCGGGCGTTACCATAGGTCTGTCATTGAATCAACTGGCGTGGTTTCGATTCCCCGTTTGGTACGTGACAAGGAGTAGAGTGGCCTGTTCAATCTCGTGGGTTTTCTCCGGGTCCACCGGTTTTCTCCCACTGCTAAAGACCTATTCGCACAAGCGAATTGTTGAAATAAAATTGAACCATATGTTAGTGCCAAAAGTCCCGACGCGAGTGGACGTTAAATCCCAAATTAAACTAATTTGTAGCAGGAATTGTTCATAGGAGGGGCACATCTAATAACCAAAGCAAGTCCCTGCTGCTTCCGTCTCTCTCTCCGTACATGTAGCCGTAAGTGATCAAGACAAGTCCAGGCTACCTCCGACTCCCTTTCTGGTACTTATATTATATAAGCTAAAATAATCTGTTGAATGGAATTGTCATAGGAGGGGATTTTAAACAGGTGATTATAGCGAGAAGTTGGGAGTTTTCTTGTAGTTAGCCAGAGGAGCACATATAATAATAGCCAGACTTGAGCTTGAAATTCTTCTCTTTAATAGTAGACTGAAGTCACCCCACCCCAAACCCTCCAGACACTGTTTTCATGTTCCTGTACCCACGTTTATAAGTTCTTGTTCACATGTTGGAGAAGGTAATAGCCAGAGATGAGCTTGAACAAACTTTAATACTCATACAAAACTTACGATGTCTGTCTTTAATTAGCTCTGCTTGAAATAAAACACGGAGCTAGTTTGCCGACATTTTATTTCCTAAATATGCGATGTTCGTGCAAACAATTGAGCATATTTCGAGCTTTTTGAGAAGTACGTGTTCCATTCATTGAAATTGATAATATTTGTTTGGTCTTTGTGTGTGGGAAAGGTGTAAAAACGGATTTGAACGACATTTCAAAACTAGAATCTATCCTCAAAGTTTGACCAATATTGAGTGCATCAGGACATTTCTAAAATGAAAATCGAAGAAATGGCTCCAGAGAAATCAACCAACAACTGGGACAGGGACAGAATCGTACTAGACAACGGCCACCAGAAGAAAATCAGAGAAGAATAACCAACTCTAGAAAGATAATATTTCTTTACGTTACGTTTGTGTTATTTTTATGTGTTTATTTTTATTCTCTGCATGCAGGCATGGTCTTCACTTTGACTTGTGTTCTCTCACACCGTTTAAGTGTTCTGTTTAACCGTTCAAAAATGTATACACATAAACCATTGATGAATTAGAATAATTTTCTGAATAATTGAAAAGTTTTTGAAAGGTATCCAATTTTTACTTTAAAATATGATGACAGGCTTGAATTTTAATAACAAGGCCTCTATCCTGTACACTTCCAGTTAGATTTTACTTTGCAGGGACGGATCCAGGAAATTTTGCAGGAGGGGTTTTTCAGGCTCCTGTTAAAGGGACAATAACACTCTTGCTGGCTTTAAAGCTCCAGAAAATAAATAATATCTCTATCTAAGTACTAGATGTTTAAGTGTCCTACCTGTTGTGTAAATTATCCATTACATCCTATTTTACTTGTCCAGAGGGTTCGAAAATATTTTTAAATCGAAGTTTCATTTGAAAAGGTTTACGTTAGACGTTTCAAACCATTATGTTGAATTTTTCTAAATCTTTAAATAAGGTGTGTTAAGATGAAATTTGTATCATCAATTAATTGAAATATTCTAAAATAGTACAATTTGTTGACCAGAATAAAGATTGGGACATATTATTCAGTTACAACAAGAGTGGTATTGGGTCTTTAAGAAAATTAAACAGTACATTGCATGATGCCACCATCGTGTCTAAATTACGAAGGCGTGCATACACACTGGACTTGTTAAAGAGAGAAATCCAACACATTGTGATTCAATTTCATTGATGCAAAGCATTAATTGTGATATCACACATGACTATATCATTATTTCGCGCTTTGATTATTTCGCGCTTTGAATGCCGAATCCCATCCCACCATCTGATGATAAAGGATAAAGCACACGACCGTTACACTTTTCTTATAAATTGTTGTTTTACATTTTTCTTATGTAGCTGAGCAGGGTGAGGTTTGGGAAAAAAAACACCCCACCCCCACCTCCTCTGGATCCGCCCCTGCGTTTGTGCACGTGTGGTTTGGTTTTCTGTTTGGTAAATAGAAATACTAGACTTTTTCTAATCAATCACATTAATGATTTATTTTATATTTCAGTTCTTCAAATTAAAACACCGGCAACCAAATGCTTTGCTGTATTCTGATTTTGCGCGCTACTCTCACAACCCGCCTGGTCACACGTGTGGTCTCCCATGCTGCCGGGAGGACCTTCAGCTAGAACTTCAGAAACAATTCCAGGCTAGACCGCGAGGGCTATCTGGATGCATCCCAGCTCCTGTAAAATATTCAGAACCCAACTTCACGCTCACGACAAAACGTAACCTAATCAAGGGACGACCAACGTTTGCAAATAAATTCCTGTCCTTGCAACCCAGTAACCTGGCAACTAACGCTAAGCAACGGGCGGCGCTACCAGATTTCCATGATGACATCTTGGTGGGAAGTTGCTATTCGTCATTAGTTAACAAAAACAAAACCCACCAAGTTTCAGCCTGGGATCATTTTTATCGTCAAGAGATTGCTCTTCCCCAGCTTCTGGAAGACGCAGATCATCTGGTGTTGCTGGATCACGAGGTTGGCGAGACTCTGGATGACCTGGACAATAATGAAATAGGAATAATCGAAGTTCATTCGGCGAACAAGAGTAAAAATAAACCCTTAATACTACCCATAATAAACAGGGCACTGACAAATATCTCCAGCACTATCGGCGCAAGGGAACCTATTGATCTTCCAAAGACCGAAACGGCCATGGATAGTCCAATTGATGAAGGTTATGCCCCGGGGAGTTCGTCTGATCGCTTGACTGATTGTGAGACCTCGGACAGTGACTATATCACCTCCTCCGACCATTATTACGATGTAATTAATCCCCTTCCCCTACCGGCAAATTATCCTGCAAATACCCAAACTCCTAACCCCAACTACCCACCGCAGATACCCAAATCGTGTCTGAAGAAGAACCAGAACGGCTATGCTCAATCGCCGACGCTTTCCAATAAATTTTCCACTTTGCCTAAGCATTTTTATCGCTCACAAGGAACTAATGTTCAGAAGAAGTCTGCGGTGCCATTTGTTGCCCCGCCTTTACCGACTCCACCAGCGATTACGCCTGGTGATCAAAGGCCAGAAATTTGGACAGTTCCGTTACCGCCTTATCCCGAGCCTCCAGAAGAGATTTACGAAGACATCGCCAGTCTAGCCCCCTTTGTAAATCCTGGCGATGTTGACGAGTGGCCTCCAATCCCTGTGTCTTTATTCTCGCATACGATAGACGGAGAAGTTGCAAGTTGTCCAAACACACCAGCATGGAAACCTTCTCCCATGAGGAAAAGATCTTCATCCATAGACGGAGATAAGATCTCTCGGACAGGAAGCTACACGGGTACCGACAAATCAAGGAAAAAGGTGTCATTTGTGTTGGAAAGATCGTTTGATCCGAAGATGTCAGGGAATATAGAAACATTTACCTATCAAACATATCCCAATAATAAACAGAGGGAACCAACAAGTGATAATCATTCATGTGATAATGTGACGGTTAATGAAACCAGTAATCTCTCGGAAAACTCTAGCAGAAAACGTTTATCGACCACAGACAATATAGACTTGAATACAAATTGCCCAGGTGGTCATAATGTGATACGGGAAAATGTGTCTAATTCAAAACTCGCAAATGATATATCGAATTTGAGTTCACAACTCAACGAAACTCGTGTTCAAGAGGATAGGAACTCCAATTTTACGGACTTGAGCTTACTTGTAAAAAGTCCTGTAACCCTTATTCTTTAAGACAATAACTGAAATCTGTTATAGGCATAGAAACGACGCTCTTCATTGTAGCTTAGTGAAGGTACATTTTGTCCCGGGACCTTTGTAAAAACTACTGATCCCGGGGCGTGTGTAAAAGTCCCACATTTCATATCGAGGCGTGTGTAAAACAATCCCCCATTTCATACCGAGGCGTGTGTTAAACAGTCCCACATTTCTTCCAAGGTGTGTGTTAAATAGTCCCACATTTCATACTAAGGTATATGTTGAATAGTCCCACATTTCATACCGAGGCGTGTGTTAAACAGTCCCACATTTCATACCGAGGCGTGTGTTAAACAGTCCCACATTGATTACTTCGACCAATATTCTTTTGATACGAAGTCTTCTTAGTGCGTTGATCTGAAAGTCTGTAGTGTGGATTATTGTAATTGTTTGTGCCTTTCCATTAACAAAGCATTACACGACCAGAGAAGGTGATGGTTCACATTGGTGGATTTGTGACATTAACCTGTGTTAGTTTTGTTTAAATCAGGTCTTGGTGTGGATATTCGTGTCTCCACTCTCTCTACTCCAGTCAGTCAGTCTTACTCGAAACACACCCATCTAAGGTATCACTAACTCACGACATGTCTGTCGGCTGGTTGTCTGCTCCAGTGACGTAAGGAGCGCATCGTATCGAATAAGTAGAGGCTGTGCGAAGAATGAGACTTACACGCACAACAAACCCTGCGATTAAACGACGGAAAAAAATGTTGACAGAGGATAATACAAGTATTTACTTAGGCGTTGATATTTATGGTAAATGGACAGCAAGTAACGACAAATACAAGATGAATTGAATTATCTCTCGATTAAGCAATCTGATTAAAACACAGATCCTATTTCGTTTCGTTTTTTATAGTTCTAAATTTCGTTTTACTTGTCTTTACTACACTAGAATCTGGAAGGGTTGTTATTATTGACATGTTCTGGATGATGTGAGGGATTAGCCAATGAAACGGTCTGTTAAGGCGAGCTTTTGGCGTGAGGTGCACGGAATTGTGGGTAATCCACTAGAAACATCAATGCTGATTGGTTAATCAAATGTCTGACGTTATATGGTCTAAAGCCGCTCGTATATGACCTCTGACGCGATCTATCGCTACAACCGGCCAGATCTTCATGTAGTGTTGGCCATCGAACGTATAAAAAACGAAACGAAATATAGATCTGTATTGTAATAAAATTGTCGATTAAGTCACCTGACAATAATTTAGGTTGCTTAAGATAGAATTTTACGACTTGGGGTTGTTTTCTTGGGATTAAAATGCTTGCAAATGAAATGAAATGAAATGGGGTTTAACGTCCTACTGTTCTGCTCTGAACTGGGCTAATGAAGACGGGCATACGCCATACAGTGTGCTATGAGGGAAATTTTGTCCGGGCAGCGGCACTATCGCCTACTCTTATATTAAAATGCTTGCAGCGGGATTTGAAGCAATACAGTGTGATATATAAATTAGTTTGAATATGTTTATAGTCCAAATATATCATCAAATCACACAGTTTGTACGTGGGAAGACAGCTTTAAAATCTGGATAAATCTATTTGTTAAGGCCAGCTAAATTTTTGTCAAGGTCGCTGAGATGTAAATAGGGTTAGGGAACGTGATTGTTGGCGAGATTGTAGGTTGGGTTTAGGGTAAGCATTGGGGCTAGGTCCAGGGTTAGGGTTGGGATTAGCGCTAGCGCTGTTTACATCTCGTGACCTATGACGAACAATATAGCTGGCCTTACCATTTAGCACCAACCTTGGAATCCTGGGCCCTTATTCACGAAAACTTAAACTAAGTTACAACCGAAATTTTAAGAAATACTGCAACTTCATTGGATATATGCAAATTGATTTTACTGGTCAGCCAATCGAATTGCAGTATTTCCTAAAATTTCGATTGTATCTTAGTGTAAGTTTTCGTGAATAAGGGCCCGGATAACATATTCCATGTATACGTAAAATCGATGGACGACAACGATGTCCTTTATTGCCTACTTAGAGTTATAGCAACACATATACTTATTAATATGTAAATTAATATGGAAACAAATATTTTATATATTTTCTAAATAAAGCCATTTATTTTGAAATGGAGTTGAAATATGATAAAATGAAGGCAGTGTGATGTTGTAGGAGTTCACATGGCTAAAACTGTTTGTAGTTCTATGGCGAGGTTTGTAGGTTGAAAAAGGTCGGCTGCCCTTCGGTTCATCCTTGGCTTGATAATTATGGGTCAAATGAAGTTCTGGGATACAGTACCGGTTCGACAATGGGGCGCAGTGGGGCACGGGCACCACCCACCCATATCTCCATCATCCTCAAGTAATGTCAGTGGCGTATAATACAGTGAATAGGGTGTATCCGAGGAGGACCTCACGAGTCCGAGAAGAACCGTGGCGTCCATATCGTATTCCTCCCTTGTACCGGACTATCGTGTACAGGGAGAAGCCCCCCCCCCCCCCCACCCATACTCCCGGTTGTACGTGACAAGGAGTAGGGTCTCCTGTTTAACCGCGTGGGTTTTCTCGGGGTCCTCCGGTTTCCTCCCACTCAGTACCGGATCTAAGGGGGGAGGGGGCAAAGTGGGACAAATGTCCCGAGCCCCCCACATTTAGGGGCCCCCCACAATTCTGGGTCATACTAATATTTTATCCCGGACGGAGCCAACCAGTACCTGGGCTGAGGGGGCGAGGATTGGGGCCCTGGGCAGTAAGGGATATTGGGCGCCCCGGGACTGGTAGGTACCAACAGATTTTCGGGGGCCCAGGAAATCGCTGCCTAAATTGTCTCAGATGCACTGAAATTAATCCTAATTTTATAAAAAAAAAATTCCTGGAGGAAAACACCCCAGGCACTCAAGGGGGTGGAGTACATACTAGTACCATGCGAGGTCAGTACGAACAATTTCAACAAACAACAATGGGGCCCCTGCACAGTTGCATGGTATGTCCCGGACCCCCCACAAGGTTAATCCGGCACTGCTCCCACTGCTAAAAAAGATCCCTACACGGAAGCGAATCATTGAAATAAAATTGAACCGTATGTTAGTCCCGAAAAGACCTAGTTTGTGTCGAGTAGACGTTAAACCTATCTTTCTCTCCCCCTCTCTCTTTCTCTCTCTCTCCAGCGCTTACTACTATCATTAATTAAACGACATCTGCTGGTTTGCAAGAAAAAGTAAGTCGCGTTTCAAGTTAGAGTATGTATATTCAAACAGGAGATTACGGGTTTAGTTTGCTAGTTTACCCTAACCCCAACTCAGTGAAAACAAACTACAGGCTATTTGCATAACGTCTAAGATGATAGATGCAAGGGACATAACTCCATTTTACGCCCGACTCCAAAGCATAAAAAGCAATCACAAACGACTGATCCAACATAATCGTTATAATATCTACCATATTAGTTTACGTCGTTGGATGGACAGATTTAACGGTGGGATTGAACGGTTCCCAGGATGAATTGGAGAATCCGGAGATGCGACCCTAATTATTGCAGGGCCAGCGTATGGATGTGGCCCAGTGTAGACAAGTTGATCAATCTGATTACAATACAGATCTATATTTCGTTTCGTTTTTTTATACTTTCGATGGCCTTTACTACATGAAGATCTGACCAATTGTACCGGGAGGTCGCGTCAGGGGCCTAACGAACATTTTTCGCCCCTATGACGTCAGGCATTGATTAATCAATCAGCGTTGACGTTTCTAGGGGTTTGCCCACAGTTCCGTACAGAACAAGACAAAAACTCGCTGTAACAGACCGTTTCATTGACTAATTCCTCACATCAACTAGAACTCCTGTTATATAACAACTCTTCCAGATCCTAGTGTTGTGAAGACAAGTAAAACGAAAGTTTGAACTATAAAAAACGAAACGAAATAGGATCTGTGTTTTAATCAGATTAACTATTGATTCAAATGAAATGGAGTTTAACGTCCTACTGTTCTGCACCGAATGGGCTAATGAAGACGGGTATAACCATGCAGTGTGCTATGGGGGATTTAGCCATGCAGTTTGCTATGGGGGACATTTTGCCCTGACAGCGGCACTACGCCTACTCTTATTTCGAATTCTTACTGTTAAGGGATCTTTTACGTCACGCCAATGTGTACACTTGTATACCTCTTTTTTTTGTCCCATCCGAACGACTATACACTGTCCCTATGTATAATTTAACGAAACGTCATTTTGGCCCCTGTACAGCTGGATTTGCACTGCTTATTACTTGTCCCGTATAAATATGGGATGGAACTCACGGCCTTGCATAGATGACAGACCTGCATAAAAGTAAGACATTTTAAAAACACCATTTCAGTTTATTTCCGGGAGCCGCGGCGGTTCAGCGAGTAAGGCGCTGCCTCACTAACCAGGCGGTCCGGGGTCCGATCCCAGTTTTCGCCGAGAAAGTTCCCCGGAATTTTCAAAAGTGGTTTCCTCTTGTCAGTAAATGTAAGACGTAGGTTTAGGTCTAGATATTAAGGCCATCTGCAGATTTCGTCAAGGTCACGAGATGTAAGTAGGGCTAGCGCTAACCCTAATCTATAACCCACAATCCTCGGCAACAATCACCTGCCCAAACTCTGTTTACATCTCGTGACCTTGACGAAATCTGCAGGTGGCCTTAATATTTATATCTCACCGGGCCTGGCACGGATGGTAAGAAAACAAGGCCGTTTTTCTTCAAACGTTTAAAATAAAACCAAAATATTTAACGATTTCATGGCTGTTGTCGCTCTTTTATAATTAAAAAAATGAAATACATGGCTGTTGTCGCTCTTTTATAATTAAAAAATGAAATATAACGTGTCAAACCCGCGACCCCTTACACATTTGTCCATAAATATATGTGTTAGTTTTATTTAACTTTTATTTTAGACATTTGTACATTTGATTTGTCTATTTTTTCTTCTTTTTTTAATGTGCAAGAACGTGAGCAAGTGCAAGAAATCCGCTTATTGATGTGTAGTCATAAATATCTCAAACACGTTGTACGTTTACCAATCATTGCATAATGGACATAATAATTATATTGACTTTCTCCATTTGTCTTAATTAGTAAATTTATAGTTAATACAGAGTTAAGGCGTCTATTTATCCAGCTCAGCTGACAATTACACGGTAACTATTACAGAGGTTTTTGTAGTTGTTGGGTGGGAGGTGGAAACCATGTGCGCCATGTAAATCATGGGATCTGTCAACACAGAAATGGGCGTGATCATGAGCTGGATTTGCACGATGGCACATGTCAATTAGACCGTGACTTACTTCTGTTTGATCAATGTCTACTGGATCAATCGAGGCTATAGCGTACAGGAAGCTAACAGTTTTATTAGATTTATCCATAAACTCGATTATTTTTGCAAATGAGATTTGAGAAATATAAAGAGTATTTATTATCCCAGCAGAAGAGACACAAATATTTATCAAAATCCGAATTATTATACTTTTATTTCGCTGATAAACATTGCCCTCCGACCTCTTGTCTGAGACTGCAAGGTGCCCGTGACGTCATTTAGCACGTGACTAGGTGGGCAGTATCGAGTAATTGACGCCCGCCATTTTGACGAAGAGTGACACTGTCTTGTTTTAAGGTAAGCTGCCAATAAGCATGAACTCAACGAATCTGTGAAATTAGTTTGTTAGAACCAATCAAGTCAAGTCTAGTGACTTCTAGTTACTAGTTATCAATAATTAATTAATGCAGTCGTTGATACTTCTAGAACCGTGTCGATAAATAACACGCACTGCTGCTGGGGTTGTTTACAATGAAGTCTGTCCGTGCTCTGCACAATAAACGTCGACAACACATTTAAAAATTAAAATCTTTCAGCTGAGTCGCTTGAGCGAAGGCTCGCTCGCTGGCTAGACCCGCCTTGTAAAATTATGTCGTCTTTTGACACACGACAAAAGCGATTGATTGATGCGAGATTGTCATATCTGACGTTTAGACGGAACTGATCGACACGAGAATGATGGGTTGAGGTGGGGTTTTACTTTTTAGCTCTACACAATTCTGAATTCGTTTCAAGCCAGTCGTGTAGGCCAGGCCGCTCGTGCAATAATGTTGCAGTATATATTCATTGGATCGGCAAACAGCGGTTAATCTATAACGGTACATTGTTTCTCGCCTTGCATTATGCACGTAACGGTTGTGAATGTGATGGTATTACTGAGAAATATTATTATTACACGTGACAGTGTACAACATTGTATAAATCCGGGTGTTCCAAATCTTGCACGTTTATAAGTATAAGTCGTTGAATATATTTTAGCCGAGGAAAAACGAAAAGATTAACTAAAATTATCAATTTAAATTCGAACCTGTTTGTGATTTTAACTAAGTAGTAAGGTAGTAAAAATTTAAAACAGAAATAAAGAACATGTTTTCAATCCAACCAATGCATCCAAAATATTTACCACTGACCTCTTCAAAGTTTTTATAAATTTTTGTTGTGCTAAATAGTTCAACATTTAATAAAAAATTGAACAAATTAAAAAAAAAAAACCTGGTGCAAGTGAAATTGGAATCAGGCCATCAGCTAATATATAATTAAATATTAAATAGCATTATATCAAATGCAAAAGGTTAGATTGGAATTGGAATCAGGCTATCAGATTAGCCAAAAATTACTGCGCACCACAGGAAATGGGGTTTAACGTCCTACTGTTCTGCTCCTATGCTGGGCTAATGAAGACTGGCATTTTTTCTTGAGAACAAAAATGTCAAATGTTAAGATTTCATTAGCTAAAGAACATTTTTCAGCCTTTAAAAATTTTGAGTATATATAGGCCAAATGTAGTTCAGGGTGTCGCTCGGTGTCCAAAGGGTTAATGTCTGTGAAAGTTAAATCTGTAAAATGAATATTGTTTCAAAAATAGGGGGGGGGGTTGGATGGCCGAATGGTTAGCATGTGCGTGCTGTATCACAAGGCCTGTCATTGAGTCAACTGGCGTGGTTTCGAATCCCCGGTTGTACGTGACAAGGAGTAGGGTCACCTGTCCAGCCTCATGGGTTTTCTCCGGGTTCTCCGGTTTCCTCCCTCTGCTGAAGACCTCTACGCGCAAGCGAATTATTGAAATAAAATTAAACCATATGTTAGTGCCGAAATGACCTAGTTTGTGTCGAGTGGACGTTAAACCACATTCTTCTCTCTCTGTTCCAAAAATGGTCTCCATTCAGTATTTACATGATGATGAATTAAAAATTGCCAAAATTCAGAATCAACTGATGGATATGTTGAATTGAAAATTTGGCAATATTTGTAATTCTCTTCAGCAAGGCAGCAGCAGCACCACCTAAAATCTTCTCTAAAGCTGTTTGATGGTTCTGTTTTTAATCCGACTGAATCGACCGTTGATACATTATGGGAGATTCGATAACGAGTTGGCAATTCTCACTATAATAGTTAAAAACTAGATAACGTAAAGGCAATTTGCTGAAAATTTCATTCAAATTGATCCACTATGAACCGAAATCTAAGCGAATGAAATTTCGGCCTAGCCTCGGTCATCATTACTAAAGTCAGTACGATAAACAGCATAGTCTCGATTATCCATTTAATCGTTTAATCGAGAAGGAAAGTTATGCTGTAAATCGGCTCACAATCCACTTAAGATCGCAGGCTAGCGCTGCCATCTAGAGTTGATTATGGTCTGGATAAGTTAATTAATGTCTAATTAATAATTTAGATAACATTTCAGACCTAAAGAAAGACCTGCAATAGACAGATTTAGCTCTTGCATAATGCATGTTTAATTAAATGTTAAAGATGCATTATGCAAGAGCTAAATCTGCCTAATTGCAGGTCTTTTGTCTGGCTTCAAATGTTGTATAAATTATTATTTAGACATTTATTAACATGGCAAACCCATAATCACCTCTCTGGGCCATCCAATGGCTCTGATTTTAAGTAGATTCTAAGACAATTGCCATTTACAAATGTACTAATTTAATTTGAAAATGGATGATCAAGACTTAATCTAGATTGTCAAGTACCATTCTCATTAAAATAGAGTAATTTAACTAAAATTTCAGTATGGCATCAGGGGCTAAGTGAGAGGGACACAATGACGCTTTTTGCAGCATGTGTGCCCCCTTGAGATTTTAAGCCCCCTCACTGTTTCAATGCGGTTTTCAACATTCATAATCATAATGCTTCACCAGTGTCAAACATATACCTTGAGTCATATATGCTACAAACCGCCTCTAGCATGTTGCACACAGCCCGATATTACTCGGCGGCACTTTGAGCCCCAAGGGGGGGCATATAAATATTTTTTCTTGAATTTTAGAGGAGGGCACTGGAGGATTAAAGTCCGCTTCCAGCTACATGTAGGATGATATCACAGTAACCCTATTATTTTAGCGAGGGTATCAAAGGGTAAACGGCCTCTTCCAGCTAAGGTGATATCGCAGTAAATTTTAATATTTTAGCAGAGGGCATCAGAGGGTAAACGTCCTCTTCCAGCTAGGGTGATTATTGTGATATCACAGTAACTTCATTATTTTAGCAGAGGGCATCAGGGGGTAAACGTCCTCTTCCAGCTAGGGTGATATCGCAGTATTAACTTGATTTTTGTTATTCTCTTTTAAAGGTCATGTCCGTAATATCTCAAGGTCAACTACCATCCTATCAGGAAGCTCAACTTGGTCATGTGACAGCTAATAATGATGACAGGTTCGTTAACTAATTACAATAATAAGACTTGCTTGATAACGTTGAGAGAACCTCCATATTATATTTATGTGTTTATTATGATATGGATATCCAACCTCATGGGTTTTCTCCGGGTCCACCGGTTTCTTCCCACTGCTAAAGACCCCTACACACAAACGAATTATTGAAATAATTAGTCTTGAAATGGCATATAGTCCAGTTGTTAGTGGAGCAGGATAGAGGTCCTGTGTAGACATTGGGATACACATAACAGATCCCTTGAACGCTGGAATTCGATACAAGAGTAGGCTGTAGCACCGCTGTCCAGGTAAAATGTCCCCCATGACGTATCTCTGTCTTCATTAGCCCAGTTGGTGCAGAAAAGTAGGACATTAAAACCCATTTCATTTCCGGTTGGGGGGGTTGTATCATAAGGCCTGTCATTAAGTCAACTGGCATGGTTTCGAATCCCCGGTTGTACGTGACAAGGAGTAGGGTTGCCTGTCCAACCTCGTGGGTTTTCTCTGGGTCCTCTGGTTTCCTCCCACTGCTAAAGACCCCTACGCGAATTATTGAAATAAATATAAACCATATGTTAGTCCCGAAATGACCTAGTCTGTGTCGAGTGGACGTTAAACTCCATTTCTCTCTGTCTCTCTCTCATTTCCGGTTGGTACATGTACAATACAAACCCCATTTTATTTATAATTTTATTTATAATTTTATTTGTAATTTTGTTGTTTTTAGGGAACCAATAAGTGGAAATATGACAAGTGAACATAGTGAAGAAGAATTGGCTCACATAGAGACTTATAAACAAAGTATATACAGGTAATTATTTATTCTATAAACTTTTACATGTCTCGGACCTTCAAACAGCTGTGATTTCATGACCTGTGACCTGATGCAATCTGGGGTTTTTTTGTGGGTTTTTTGTTACCCTTTTCTAATTTCTCAGGGATGGATCTGTCTTTACATGTACATGTATATAGCATGCCACCTTTTACTACTCTCTCAGGGGGTGCATCTACCTGTACCTGTAGATTAATCTTGCCTTTATTTTGAAAAATAATGTCAATATCACGTCATATTGTATATTCGTTAGCTAGAAATGTAATTGGTGTGTACACGTATTTGCTATTTGTTTTGATTAAATAAGATTATATACTCAATCCTAAAGTGCAAAATTAATTTCAAATTTGAGAGAGAGGGGGAAAGGGAAGAGAGAGTTTAATTTCCACTCGCCACAAACTAGGTCATTTCGGGACTAACATATAGTTCAATTTTATCTCAATAATTCGCTTGCACATAGGGGTCTTTAACTTTAACAGTGGGAAAAAACTGGCAAACCAGGAGAAAACCCACGAGGTTGGACAGGCAACTCTACTCCATGTCATGTACAACCGGGGAATCAAAACCACGTCGGTTGACTCAATGACAGACCTTATGATACAGTGCGCACGCTCTAACCATTTGGCCATCCAAACCACCAACCCCACCCCCACAAAGAGACAAACCAGGGGAAGTAGCAATGGGGGTATGCATATTCTACCTGATGCACAAGACTTTTCATAACTTTAATAACACATAAAAATCATAGTAAACCATATGTCGCTATGGCTACATATTAAGCTGCAGTACATGTTCATGTATTCCTCCAGTCCTTTGAATGAGATCTAAAGGGCAGATAACTCTGTCAGTAGGACTCAGACTGGTAATTATCATCCTATAATCTCAATGTTCAGTCCACACCTTTTCGCGGCTAGGTCAAAGGAATCAATAGGCTGTGACATCATTTTCTTTTTACCTCAAAATCATTGATATTCACCGAAAAACCTGACATAATATGTCGATTCTACACCAAAAAGTCAACAAGAAGTAAAAAATTGCTATACATGTAAATAGGCAATCTGAAATTGTCAATTGTCATTAAGTTAAAGGACAATATGTGATAAAACTGGTTGGTGTTAAACACGTTCCAAATATAATTTTACCACAGAGATCATTGCTATGATAGATACATTATGAAGTTTTCAAGAAACGGAAATGACGAAAGCAAAAGAAAACATGAGTTATCCTTCTATATAACTGGCTGAAATGATGAGTGATAACCGATACACAGGCAAATTTCGGCTCACTAATAATTCCTTGGAAGACTGTGTTGAAATTATATTTGGAACATGTTTAACCAGTTCTATCACATATGTGATAATGACTGACAATTGTTCTTTAAAAGAATTGATATTATTGTTGGGGATATTCTCTCAATTCCAAAAATAGTGTCAATCAAGTCAAAAGGAGAAATGCGGAGTACAACGCATGTGCCGACTGCTTAAAAAATATCTCAACCAATCATGACAACTGAAACATATTTGTGACTTAAAATACGTCACGTTTCTACTCACGCCACCCCAGCTGTCGGGACTGGCAGAACTGTGACATGGCTGAATTTCATATCACTTGATAGTTATTCTGTCAATTCGGGACGTTCCAGCGTGATAATCGAGCACCCCCTAGTTACCTGGAATATAAAGGGAGGTAATTACATGTACCAGTCTTACTCTGAGGCTGATTACAATTGTAATATTAACATTTATCATTTGATCTTCAGACATCCACTGTTTCCACTGATGGCCTTACTGTTTGATAAATGTGAGCAGGCTACCCAGTCCTCTGATGTACCTTCTAGTGAGAGTTTTGACAATGACATCCAAGCTTTTTTACAGCATCAAAAGAAAGAAAATAAAACCGTGTTTAGTGATGACACAGAACTGGATAATCTGGTATAATAATTTGATTTATTTTATATATATATTAAGTATAGAAGGTCAATTACCCATACAGGGGCAGATCCAGGAATTTTGCAGGAGGGAGTTTACCAGGTTCCTGTTAAAGAAATTTGATAATTGACAATACGTGAAGCCATCATCATGTCCAAATTACGTAGGCACACACTCTGAGCTTTTTAAAGAGAGAAATCCAACACCCCATTTGACCTCAATTTTGAATTAATAGGATCAGATTGTGATTCAATTTTATTGATGCAAAGCATTAATTGTGATATCACATATGTCTATATCATTCTTTCACAGTCTGAATGCCCATCCCATCCCACCATCTGATAATAAAGTATAAAGCACATGACCATGACACTTTTCTCATATCAGTGTTGTTTTACAAAAAACATTTATGTAGTTGATCTTCATGTAGTGTTGGGAGCCACGGTTGCTAGGTGGTTAAGACGCTGGCTCGCTAGCCTGGAGGTCGGGTGTTCGATCCCTGCATTGGCCGAGAAAGTTCATCCCGATTTTCCGACGTGGTTTCCCCTTGACAGTGATGCAGGACGGAGGGCCTGACAAAGACAGCTGTCTAGTCCTTCGGATGAGACGAAAAACAGAGGCCCCGTGTAAACATTGGAATGCACGTAAAAGATACCTTGGCAGTTGGAATTCGATATAAGAGTAGGCGATAGTGCCGCTGCCCGGGCAAAATTTCCCTCATAGCACACTGTATGGCGTATGCCCATCTTCATTAGCAAAGTATAGGAGCAGAACAGTAGGACGTTAAAACCCATTTCATTTCATTTCATGTAGTGTTGGCCATCGAAAGTATAAAAAACTAAACAAAATATAGATCTGTATTTTAATCAGATTGTGTAAAACGCTAAAAAAATGAGTTAGTTGTTTAAGTTTTATTTATTACATGTGTTGTGTGTTTTCAGATGGTAAAATCTATTCAAGTTTTACGGATTCATCTGTTAGAAATGGAGAAAGTCACGGATCTGTGTAAAGATTTCTGTTCACGGTATATATCATGTCTGAAGGGAAAACTACAGAGTGAACAGCTTCTTAAAGTTGACCTGTACGACTCTGACGACGACTGTCCATTGTCACCTCCCTTACAACCACAAGGTCAAGTTCAAGGTCAACAGATGACAGCTCAGGTCGTCAATGGTAACATGGTGTTACAGCCGAGTTTACCCCAGTCTGCACTCTCCATGGCAACAATAAGTCAAGGTCAGATTGTATCGGGTAATACTGTATACCAGATGGTACAAACACCACAAGGAATTGTAGCACAACCAATACAGGTACGTGTTAAAGATTTGGTTGCCATGGGCACAATCTTGTACAAGTTGATGTTATCTACTGTAGCATCTAAAGATGGCTCACTGAATTCTGACTCCAACAGGCCGGGGGGGGGGGGGGGGGGGTGAGGGGGGGAATGGCCGAATGGTTAACGCATCTGGCGTGGGTTCGATTCTCCGGTTATACGTGACAAAGAGTAGGGTCGTCTGTCCAACCTCGTAGGTTTTCTCCAGCTCCTCCGGTTTCCTCCCACTGCTAAAGACCCCTACGTGCAAGTGAATTATTGAAAAAAAATTGAACCATATGTTATTCCCAAAATGACCTGGTTTGTGTCGAGTGGACCTTAAACCCCATTTCTCTCTCTCTTTTTGGGGGTTCAATTTTCATGATATTGTAGTTGGCAAGGGATTTAAAGCCAGAGACTATCAATGAAAAACAGATTTTAGTTCCAGATGACAATTGATGAAAACATTTTATTACTGTAGATCCAGACATCAGCCATGACACCTCAGATACCTGGTCAGGTTCTACAGGGTTCTACAGCAGTATCACAGTTAGGTGTGATGGGTTCTCCAACAGTTATAACACAGCAACAAGTACAACAAACAGGTATATAACCATTTTTACAGAGTTATCTGTCCCTTATTCTTTCAAACAGAGTTATCTGTCCCTTATTCTTTCAAACAGAGTTATCGGTCCCTTGTACTTCCCTACAGCCTCTCTAATAACAGCATGTGTTAATACCCAACTAGTTCAACAAATGTTTACATAACTCTTCTTTTCAAACAGAGTTATCTGTCCCTTGTACTTCCCAGCAGCCTCTCTAATAACAACTTGTGTTAGTACCCAACAGTTTCAACAGATATGTACACAACCATTCTCTCTCAAAAAGGGAGCCATCGGTGACTAAGTGGGTAAGACGCTGGTTTGCTAGCCTGGAGTTCACGTGTTCGATACCTGCATAAGCAGAGAAAATTCATTGGGATTTACCAATGTGGTTTCTCCTTGTCAGTGGTGCAGGATGGAGGGCCTGTCAAGTGGTTCGGATGGGATGAAAAACTGAGGTCCTGTGTATACATTGCCTCACGTAAATGATTCCTTTGCAGTTGGAAACAACTTTAGGTCTTTGAATTTGAATGCATTGTTAGTGAGCAAAAATTCTCCCGTGCATCTGTTATCACTTGTCACTTCACTGACTTCAGTCAGTTATATAGAAGGATAACTTGTGTTTTCCTTTTGCTTTCGTCACTTGAAATCGTAGCAATGATCTCGGTCTTAAAATTATATTTGGAACGTGTTTAACCACTTCTATCTTGTCTTTTAAAATAATTATATAATCTAGTGGGTGTGATAATTAGCTATTTTGTTTTGTTAATAAAGTAGCAATCTGAGTTGTAACTTCCATTAATTTGTTTTCTATTTATAGTTCCTGTATCAGCATCACAGACACCAACGCCTGCTAATTTCTCACATTTACTGGACGACGACATCGGTGGAAAACATAAAAATAAACGAGGAGTTTTACCAAAACAAGCGACGCAAGTCATGAAATCCTGGCTCTTTCAACATATAGTGGTAAGTTTCAAGATGACTTTCATAAAATGAAATGGGGTTTGACGTCCTACTGCTCCAACTGGGCTAATGAAGGTGGGCGTAAGCCTAATGGAGCCGGGCATACGCGATACAGTGTGCTATAAGGGATATTTTGCCCAGACAACAGCACTACAGCCTACTCTTATATCGAATTTCAATTGCCAAGGGATCTTTTACATGCATAGCAATGTGTACATGGGACCTCGTTTTTTTCGTTCCATCCAAATGACTATACGTAGTCCCTTGCTAGACCCTTCGTCCTGTACCACTGACAAGGGGGAATCTCCCTGAAATATCCTTATGTACTTTCTCGGATCAAACACGGGACCTCCAGGTTACTGAGCCAGCGTTTTACTGAGTATGGATGACCGAATAGTTAGCGCATGCGTGTTGTATCATAAAATAAAGAACAACTTTCGGAACACGATCTTTAGTTATACGTCGAATGATATCATTATAAAGTTAGCTGAAAGTCCCCAACCTGCCAGCATGAAGGGATTCATCCATCTGTCCCACTAGAATTTTTAAACTTGGTTTAATTGTTCATTAGGTGAATATTTTGACCTAGTTCTCATATTTAAATATATTTTTGTTTTTCAGCATCCATATCCAACAGAAGATGAGAAGAAACAAATAGCAGCACAGACAAATTTAACACTGTTACAAGTTAATAACTGGTATGGATTTTAACTTATATCAATTAGATGAGTCTCATCTCTAGTTTGTGGGTTGGATCATTAGGTCTGTTTATATCAATTAGATGACAGGTTGGATCATTAGGTTGGTCATTGAGTCAACTGGCGTGGTTACGATACCCTGCTTATATCAGTTAGATAACAGTCTCATCTCTAGTTTGTGGATTGTATCATTAATCATAAGGTCTGTCATTGAGTCAACTGGTGTGGTTTCAATTCCCTGCTTGTACGTGAAAAGAAGTAGAGTCACCTGTCCAACCATGTTATTGTTCGAATGGGACAAAAATGAGGTCCACCCATGTACAAATTGACAGTGAGATTGTGATGAAATGACTGGTGTCCAATCGGTTGACATTTTACATGTCCACTGCAAAATACGAATAGTTACTCTGTTGTTCGAACTTGGCGTACAGTAGTTGTTCATAAGGTGACTGCCTCGACTGGGTTTGATGATTAGCATTTTCTGCTTTGGCTAAGCAGAGATAAGCAATTTGAGTTGTCAATGCTTTATGAGAAGATAGCTTTAATACCAATTGAGTGAGAGTGATGAAATGTGGTGTAGAGTATAAATACATAAATACCTTGACTAAATTTGATAACAAGCATTTCTGTTCAGTTCGATTGCTCAATGCTTTATAAATATGGGGGAAGGGGTGGATGGCTGAAGGTCTGTCATTGAGTCAAGTGGCATGGTTTCGATTCCCCACTTGTACGTGACAAGGAGAAGGGTCGTCTGTCCAACCGCTAGCGAGTTATTGAAATAAATTTGAACCATGTGTTAGTCCCGAAATGAACGAGTTCGTGTTGAGTGGACGTTACCCCCCCCCCCACCCCCCACCTCTCTTTATAAATATGCTAGTAATTAATGAATGTCACCCGTTTCATTTTATTTTCTAAGTTTCAGTCCTTCATGTTTAAGGGGAGCTTTTGCTCCTGTTCCTCTCGACGCACGTCGGCTTTCCTTCAAAGGAGTCATTAAAGACTCCTGCGAATTAGCTAAATCGCTCTCCTGAATATTGAGATTAATAAACTACTTTCAGTTTTTGTTTAATTTTAAACTGCATATATTCAAGGTATCAGGAGCTTTTTATGGCTCCCGCACAATTTTATAAACATGAAGGACTTAGTTTATAAATGTTTCATTGTCTGGCAACCTATTTTATTCTATTTTCTAGGTTTATAAATGCTAGAAGAAGAATTTTACAACCGATGATGGATGCTGGAAATCCAGAACAAGCGAAAGCTAAGAAGAAACAAACACCTAGTCAACCAAAACAACGTTTCTGGCCTGAAAGTATCGCAAATATTCAACCCCAGATACCTTCAACAACATTGGGGGATCCAGTCAAAGATGAAGTCGATGATAATTCTAATAATACCAGTTAGTATTTATCTTTCTTTATCGGGATGGGGTAGCCATATTTTTCAGGGGCCAGTTGTTCAAAACTTAGTTATACTCTATAGAAAATAGGATAGCACCCCATCTCCCCTCTCCTCCCTAGAATGTTCTATAGAAAACTACACTGGTATTCTAAAGGACTTACTGCTAAGGGTATACTTTGATTCACACTGATACAGGGTTCCCGTGGTCCTTGAAAATCCTTGAATATCCTTAAATTTAAAATTTCATTTTCAAGGTCTTAAAAAAACTTGAAATTCGCGGAAATAGGAAAATATCCTTGAATTTCAGTTGAAATCCTTAATTTTGTTTCAAATTTCTTCAATTCCTTTTAAATATGAGATTATAACGATAGTTGGTAATGTTTTGGTTATTTTTAAGATGAAAAATTGTAACTTTAGGCTAAAAAATGTCCTTGAAAATCCTTGAATTTGACTTATATTTATCCTTGAATATCCTTGAAAAAATGTTTGACGAAGCCGCGGGAACCCTGTGATAACAGAGCCCAGCACATTCGTTAAATATGATGGCAAGTTAACGACATGTGAAAGTTAAGGCGCATCCAGCAACAGACTTTCTCCCTGTTAAAGTTAACAATCCGTTAACTCCATGTTAACAAGTGGTTATGAACAACCGACCCCAGAGAGAGAGAGAGTTTCGGGACATGCACATACATGTGCGAGGAAACACGGAGGACTCAGAAAACCCACGAATTGGGATGGATGCATTGGGAGTAAACATCAATTCTTGCATCAGTAAATTTGACCCTCCCTGAAACAAAAATTCTTTGATTCAAATCTCTGACATAAGGTCTGTTTTGTACCAACATTGATACTACTGTTTACCATTGTGATGTATTCGATAATATTTTATTTATTACAGTGATGGTTAACGGACAAATCCTCACCTCTGTGTCGATAGAAAACCTACAGCCTTCTACCATTATGAATCCTATATTAACCCCACTTACAACAACAACTACGGACAATAAACTTTGTGACAGTGATTCTAATAGTGACAGCTGATCGGTGCTAATTACGCATTGGTCGACTGTTTTTTTTTGTTATTTTTAAGTGATACTGGAATTCCCATGTAATAAGTGTTTTTATTGCGGTGATGCTTCGAGGGGTGATTTCTAATCTGTTATTTAGTGATATCAACTATTTTCGCAGTGACAGAAAATTGACGCCAGAAAAATGAATATTCATGTTGTACTGGAAAGCGACTTCTGTGACTAAAAGATTGTTGTTTGAGGGAAAAATTTGTAAAGTTAGAAAGGGGTGTGTTATATGGATGCGTTTAGATTGTTTTAGCGTGCAGAAAGTATAGTATGAAGAGCAGTATGAGGAGCTATAATTCTACATTATAAGGCCCGTTATCTACGGTTTGTATATGATGACTAAGGTCGCCTACCTAACGTTGGTTCTCCAGTTTCTTCCAACTTCTAAAATCCTGTGTAAGAGAAAGAATTGTTTCATTTTTTTTTATGATTTATTCTGAGAAACAACTGACTCAGTGTTTTTATACAAATAGTATTTATTGTGTATCAGTTTAATTATCAAAGGGCCTGTAAATAATGGTTTTACATCAACGGGCTTGGGAGTAACGGTTTTATATCAATGGGCCATGGTATAACGGTTTTATATCAACAGGCCTACATATAACGGTTTTATAATGTATCAATGGGCCTAGATATAATGGTTTAGGCCTGGTAATAACGGTTTTATATCAATGGGCCTAGATATAACGGTTTAGGCCTGGTAATAACAGTTTATATCAACAGGCTTGTAAAATAACGGTTTTATATCAACAGGCTTGTAAAATAACGGTTTTATATCAACAGGCTTGTAAAATAACAGTTTTAAAGTCCACAGGTCTGGATGCAATGGTTTTATATTATTGAATTGTTGAACTTTGTACTGGACATGTATGTTTGATACAAAGAAAGACTGGAAATAATGAGGTATTTCTACCCAACAGAATTTAGGTACTACTGAACTTTTTTTGTTGGACATGTATTAAAGATACATTATTCAAGAGCTAAAGTTGCTTATTGCAAGTCATTCGGATGAGACGAAAAACCGAGGTCCCGTGTACACATTGGCGTGCACGTAAAAGATCCCTTGACAGTTGGAATTCGATATAAGAGTAGGCCGTAGTGCCGCTGTCCGGGCAAAATTTCCCTCATGGCACACTGTATGGCGTATGCCCGTCTTCATTAGCCCAGTTCGGAGCAAAACAGTAGGACGTTAAACCCCATTTCATTTCATTTGCTTATTGCAGGTCTTACTTTAGGCCTTAAATGTTATTTAAATTATTAATTTAATGATTTAATTTAAAAATGGAGAAATGAGGCTAAGACTTGAATAACCAGCACCGTGGTTACGATAATAAACAATCAATGCACACAATTTCAATATATTCATTTTGCCGAATCTATTTTTGAACTATTATAGCAAGAACGGTCAGGTCTTTACCTAAATCTTACATAATGTATCTTTAATAATACCAATTTTAAAAAAGAGAAATGGCACCATAAAGATTGGGCCTGTCATTGAGTCAACTGGCGTGGTTTCAAATCCTCAGTTGTACGTGACAAGGAGTAGGGTCGCCTGTCCAAACTCGTGGGTTTTCTCCAGGTCTTGCTGTTTTCTCCCACTTCTAAAGACCCCTACGCGCAAGCGAATTATTGAAATAAAATTAAACCATATGTTAGTCCAGAACTGACCTAGTTGTGTGGAGTGGAGGTTAAACCCCATCTCTCTCTCTCTCTCTCTCTCTCTCTTAACATTTTTAATACCCAAATTATCCACGGAAAACTACGCCAAGACTAGGTTATATAGGGTCTGGGAAATCAGAAAAATGTTTAGGGTCAGCAATTTCGGCTAGAAAAAATCGGGTCGGATGGTAACCTATAACATAGATATATTTTTTTTTATTTTGGTTCAAGCTGTTATACATATAGTGCATGGTACAGACCTGTGACTAAATTGCCAGCAGAAAACAGCATGATACATGTATACACACACACGAAGATATGGCCTGACCTAAATGTGTAATGTTAGGTTCCCACTATCATGAATCCCGCTACGATTGAAATCGTGGTTTTAATCGTGGAGTAATTATTATGATCCTATCAGGTCTTGCCATATGTTGAGGTCAGCCGTAGCAGTCGTGTTGATCGTATCAAAATGAATCTGAACGCACGAGATCGTGGACTCTATAGGGATAATCCTATCGTAACACATCACACAATAGTGGGAACCCAAAATTCCTCGTGGTGTTTCGTTTGATTAGAGATAATCCCATTACTCACTGCTGTAAAGAAAGCGAATTCTTGTTCTAAATTATGACTGGTCAATAGTCCGATTAACAACCAATAGCTAACTGCGTAACAATACCAGAGCTCCAAATTGGACCAAATATGTTTACATAACGTTACGTCATGACTCACGATTTTATTATGCCCAATTTACCAGTGCATAGCAGAATATTGCAGAAAAACTAATTGTGCGACAAACAAGGCTATCAACTGTCAACACGGATATAATGTAAACAAAATTGTTTTGAGACGAACAACACTTTCACCATTTTTGATACCTTAAATCTGTCCAAAATTTTAGGGAAGGCCCCTGATAAAAAGAAAGGCTGTCACGTTGCTGTGTTTGGGGATAGATTTTATCGAACGGGAAGAATAGACACACTCCCTCAAAAGTGCAAGTATCAGAAGCTAATCCAGCAATGGCCAGAGAGGGATTTCTCGAGCAATTGCTTCAGGAATATGGTGGGAACCTAGCATTGGTCAATGTTTAGAACTGTGGTTATTAAAATTATTAATTACATGCCAAAAGTAATTTTAGCTTTAATTATTATTATTATTAACATTTATAGAGCGCCATCTTCCACAAAATGTGTTCAGATGCGCTGTACAATACAATTCAATAAAATATGTAATAAAAATAAATATACATACAGGAAAACTAAATAAATATATAGAAGTAAAACATAACATGGTAGCGCAGAATAAAATCTCATATCACAAATAGATTTTAAAAGAATTATAAGTTAAAAGCTTTCTTAAACAAAAATGTTTTAAGAAGTGACTTAAAAGAGATTAAATTAACAGAAGCATTGATATCTTGCTGAGTGCTTTAAATATATTGGAAATAACAACAATATGAGATGTAGTAATGGGACTTTCCCATAACTTACAATCATAGAAAACTGCTGAATTTTATTGTTTTTAATGTGAATTAGTGACAAATCATTTTATTCAAGCTCTTGTTTTGTCAGTTCACAAAGCAATCTCAGACTTACAAATTTACTCAAAATTGTTCGCTTTATGTTAACTAAAATATAGCCCCATATAAAACTTTTGTTGTTTTAATGTATCAAATACATTAATAAGACACTATGTGCAAAAGTTTTGTGTTTCTGGATCGAAGATATTTCTCTTAAACAGTGATTGAAAGTTGAGTAAATTCTTCACTTAATTCTGTTAATCGAGAAACCCTGACTTTCGTACAAGTATCAGTGGGATCAACACCTGCGCTCGTTACTAGTACAGGTAATTAGCAATAAATGTTTTTGCGATAAATAATAATGTATATTTAACAATGATTGGTTTTATACTGATTCAATGTACAGTACTAGTATGAAATTAGTCCTATTCAATTTCCTCAGTGTTTTAACTAATTCGCGGAGGTCAGTGATTTACTTAAATTCGTGGAGGAAATTTCGATCGTGGCTAACGTGGATTAATTAGCCGTGGTCCGCTATTTTTCATTTCTGCCAAGGTTCGACTAAGGACTAATTTCATACTTCTGTCGGAAGAGTATTGTAGTATTTGTATCTCATTTACAATATGGCCATCAGAATTAACAATGAGTTAACAATATAATTTGACTATTTGTTGTAGTTCATTTACAAATATGGCCATCAGAATTAACAGTGAGTTAACAATATAATTTGACCATTTGTTGTAGTTCACAAACCATTTTAAAACCTACATGTACCTACCTGTATAATTAGGGGTATTCCATTTAGATTTAAACATTGTTTCTCAAGGGGCGTGACCATATTTTGGTGGGGTACGAAAATAGAAATCACATGTTAAATTGAGTTTAATTAACGGCCTTCTTTTCTGCACCAACTGGGGTCATGATGGTAGACATACAGTACGCCATGCAGTGTGCTGCTAGGGAAGTTTGCCTGGACTGGGGGGTTGGATGGCTGAATGGTTAGCGTGTGCGCGCTGTATCATAAAGTCTGTCATGGAGTCAACTGGCGTGGTTTCGATTCCCTGGTTGTTCGTGACAAGGAGTAGGGTCGCCTGTCCAACCTCGTGGGTTTTCTCCGGGTCCTCCGGTTTCCTCCCACTGCTAAAGACCCCTACACGCAAGCGAATTAATGAAATAAAATTAAACCATATGTTAGTCCCGAAATGACCTAGTTTGTGTCGAGTGTTAAACTCTCTCTCTCTCTCTTTTGCCCGGACTGCAGCATTCCCCGCTACTGGAATTGAGCCTGGAAGCTACTTTTTAAACCCCCCAGTTAATTTTAAATGGAGTAGCCCTTAATTAAGGGTGTAGTTACTTTGATGAACATGATCAAGTGAAACCTGTAGATATAATTGAAATGAAAACCATGTTATGTTGTCCCTATCTTTAATGAGGAAAAATATTGTAAAAAATCTGTTTTTACATTGTTTGTTATTTATTGTTACATTTTTATATTAAAACAGCAAATATCAATATACGACTTGTTGTATTTTATTGTTGTCACCCCTGTCTGTTGACTGCCCGTCCACAGATATTTATAAATTTATATTAAAACAGCTAATATCAGTAATGCTTGTTTTACTTTATTGTTGTCACCCGGTCTGTCCACAAATAAACAATGCAAAAATGAAATGAAATGGGGTTTAACATCCTACTGTTCTGCTCCTACGGGGCTAATGAAGACGGACATACACCATTTTGCACTATGGCCTACTCTTATATCGAACTCCAACTGCCAAGGGATCTTTTATGTGCATGCCAGTGTGTACACAGGACCCTGGTTTTTCGTCCCATCCGAACGACTAGACAGCTTTCCTTGCCAGCCCCTCCGTCCCGCATCACTGACAAGGGGAAACCACCCTGGAAAATCCTGATGAACTTTCTCGGCCAATGCAGGGATTGAACACAGGACCTTGAGACTAGCAAGCCAGCGTATTAGTCAGTGACAGGGGAAAGCATGGAATGAGACGGGTCTGACCTTACCCCTTGTCACATACAAACACAAAAAACACAAAGAATAATTATTGAAGCTAGATATTAAAATTTTTTTTTTTTAATACATTGTAAAACTGTCTGAGACAATTTGCTAACAAATTATACTAGTTGAGAAAATAGACTATAGTTTTGGCGAGATATTACTGTTTTTACTGTAATTTCTAATCAGTTATGTTCGGTGAAATAGGTGAAGAATCCAAATTGAATGACAGTCTTTGGTGTCTGGTTATTCCAGTCTACACCAGTAGTATTCTGCAATGGGATATGTTAGCCTCGTTCATTGAGTCGCTTCATTACAAATGGCACGTGAAAGCATTCTGGCAAGCCTTTCTTGTTCCAATTTTAAAATTTTCATTTTGTCTTCAATATTAGATATCAGAAGCCCATCAATGTTGATTTTAATTGACCAATAATTTGTGTTTGCAATGTTGAAGACTGTGGATGATACATCCCAAACTTAGGCTGCCTGTCTACAGCTAGCTCCGCCTCGTATGACGTAGGTGGATCGCTGTGTGCAGTATGTGGATGATATTGAGTTAGAGACTTGCCTCCTTTAATTATAGCTGAGAATATAAACTATATGAACCAAATAGAGGTTAGGGGAGATATTACTGATGTATTTAACATGAACACAGGACCTTTAGTCCCATCCGAAGGACTAGTCGCTGACCACCAGGATCGAACCCCGGACCTCCTGGTTAGTGAGCCAGCACCCTTACCCACTGAGCCACCGCAGCTCCTAGGCACATAACAGTATTTTATATTGCAATAAACAAAATAACATATAAATAAAAAATACAATTGAAAATATACATCAATATTATTATTTGATTTGAAACGCTTCTATAAAAGATTAAGGTAATATATATTCGGACACCACAAATACATATAAATCATTTCAATATGAAATGGGGGCTTAACGGCCTACTTTTTTACACCGACTGGGCTAATGAAGACAGGTATACACCATACAGTGTGCTATGATGGAAATATTGCCCGGATAATGGCGCTATGGCTTACTCTTATACCAAATTCAACTGCCAAGGGATCTTTTACGTGCACACCAATGTGTACACAGGACCTTGGTTTTTCATCCCATCCAAAATATATGAGCGAAATTTAGCCCGGATAGGGAAGTTCCTGCCTATTTTTATACAAATCATCGAATCGGATACCCTGTTCAATTTGAATTCCTATTTTCCGATACTGGGGACGTTAGGGCCCTTATTTTGAATTCAAGTAACACTGACATGGGGGAAGCTACACTGGAAAATTCAGAGAAACTTTAAAAAGCAAGTGTGTCTGATAACAAAACTTTCTGCTTCCTTAACAGTCGTCTGTTGAGCATCATCGCGTAACAAAAACATCGAGAGATGCTCAGGAATAAACAATAATCAATAATGATAATCGTTAGGATCGAGTCTGGTGAAAATCCAGTTCAATTATTAAATACCAATTATTGAAACTATATATATATATATATATCATCAGATCTGTTTGATACCAGTAACTAATTATTATCTATTTATACATGAGAGGGAGGGAGAGAGAGAGAGAGAGAGGGAGAGAGAGAGGGAGATAGAGAGAGAGAGAGGGGGGTGTAACATCCACTAGACACAAACCAGGTCATTTCAGGACTAACATATGGTTCAATTTTATTTCAATAATTCGCTTGCGAGTATGGGGTCTATAGGAGTGGGAGGAAACCGGAGGACCTGGAGATAACCCACGAGTTTGGACAGGCAATCTTATTCCTTGTCACGTACAACCGGGGAATCAAAACCATGCCAGTTTACACAATGACAGACCTTATGATACAGCGCACATGCTAACCATTCAGCCATTCAACCCCACTAGATCATATGGAAGGGGAAGTCTTGGGAATGATGTCAGCAACACATCAAGGCACCTTAACTGCTAGGGAGAGGGAATAAGGATCAAGGGAAGGAAGGGGGAGGAATTATTATTACAAATATTAAATTATAATTTGAAACATAAAGTATGAAACAAGACATTATGTACCTGAGAGATTAATACAGTGTATGTCAGGTAAAACTAAAAGTTATTATTATCAGTTCTGACTTTAACAATATCAACCTGGCCATATTTAATTACCTTTCATTGATATTATTGTTCTACAATTATATATTTGTTCAATATAAAAAATAACTAAAACATATTCTGTTCTACTATTATACACTTGTTCAATATACATAAATTATATACCAATATACATAGTACATAAATATACATAGTACATAGACATACATAGTACATATACCAATATACATGGTTCATAGATACACCAATATACATGGTACATAAATACACCAATATACATGGTACATAAATATACCAATATACATGGTACATAGATATACCAATACACATGGTACATAGATATACCAATATACATGGTACATAAATATACCAACATACATGGTACTGTACATACATTATACCAATACATATACATGGTACATATACAAATAACCATGGTACTGTACATACATATACATGGTACATGTTTATAAATAAACCATATTTTGTTCTATAATATTTTAAGCAGGCTACATGTTAGGTCATATAATAAAAATATTCTGGTTCTCAGAGATAATCCTGTATCACTTATAAACAGGCTGGTGACTGGTTTTTATTTCAAAATGGCTGCACATTCATAATTCCACTGGTTATAAGAAATAACTCTGTACCAAAATAAAACTAGAATGTATTGCAGGCTCAGTTATCCAGTACGCAACCCTGATAAATGTTATTAACAATCATGAATGATACTGGATAATCATACATTCCTATAAACAACATAATGAGATAAATGTAGTACCTTGAATCGTGATGTTAATAAGAAATGAAATGAAATGGAGCTTAACGTCCTACTGTTCTACTCCTATACTGGGCTAATGGAGACGGGTATACGCCATACAGTGTGATATGAGGGAAAATTTTGCCCGGGAAGCGGCACTATCGCCTACTCTTATATCGAATTCCAACTGCCAAGGGATCTTTTACGTGCATTCCAATGTATACACGGGACCTCGGTTTTTCGTATCATCAGAAGGACTAGACAGCTGTCCTTGTCAGGACCTCTGTTCTGCACCACTGACAAGGGGAAACCACGTCGGAAAATCGGGATGAACTTTCTCGGCCAATGCAGGGATCGAACACCCGACCTCCAGGCTAGCGAGCCAGCGTCTTACTACTCACTTAGCCACCATTGCTCCCGATGTTGATAAGAAGTCATTTAGCCCAGTAGAGATCTTTTAACAAAATAAAAACCACAAAAATAAAAACCTCTCTCCTGCATCAGAATTTTAGAAAGAATTGTGTCAGAACAATAATATTTTTTTTGCATGACCTTACATGTTGTATACATAGCATAATAAAACTTTTTTTTAAATAATAACAAATATATATATTAACATATTATTTATAACAATTATTCACCAGTTAAATATATATTAACATGTTATTTATAACTAATATACACCAGTTAAATATATATTAACATTATTTATAACAATTATTCACCAGTTAAATATATATTAACATGTTATTTATAACTAATATACACCAGTTAAATATATATTAACATTATTTATAACAATTATTCACCAGTTAAATATATATTAACATGTTATTTATAACAAATATTCACCAGTTAAATATATATTAACATGTTATTTATAACTAATATTCACCAGTTAAATATATATTAACATGTTATTTATAACTAATATACACCAGTTTAATATAAAATAAATCACAGAGGACCTCTAGTCACTCGTTATTCTCACATGTTCACTGAGGAACGTTTGTTTACATATTTTAACCATTGAAACAACTGCCGACTGTTCTGTTTCAACTGGTCTGATGAAGACAAGAATATGCCATACAGTGTATTTTGGCATACTGTACACAGCGATCCCTCTATTTCATACCTCGATAATACAGCTAACTGTAGACAGACAGCCTTAGTTTGGGATGTGTGTTATGGATGAGGGGAGAGAGAGAGAGAGAAATGAGGTTTAACGTCCACTCAACACAAACTAGGTCATTTTGGGACTAACACATGGTTTATTTTTATTTCAATAATTCGCAGTGGGAGGAAACCGGAGGACCCGGAGAAAACCCACGAGGTTAGACAGGCGACCCTACTCCTTGCCACGTGTTATGGATGAGGGAAATTTTGCCCAGACAGCAGCACTACAGCTTACGCTTATTTCAAATTCAAATTTTTATTACGTTCCTGCCAACGTGTACACTGAACCTCGATTTTTCATCTGATCCAAACTACTAGACTGTGTTCCTTGCCCAGCAAAACTGACAATGAACAAACCCCATGAAGTTGAAAAAATATATATATATATATAAATAACTCTGGCCTGCAGAGTGGTGACAAGAAATTGTGGACAGAAGATGGACCAACAAAAGACAGACAACATGGTGACAACATGGTGACAACATATGTCCAAATTAATTGTAGGTGTATAAATAAACAATCTGATTAAAATATAGATCTATATTTCGTTTCGTTTTTTATACTTGCGATGGGACAGGGCTTGCCACCAGCAAATTGGAGACAAGTAGATGACTACTCACGCAAATATAGACTTGCGCGAGTGAGGCGAGTACATGTATTTACTCACGCAGAATGATGTGCGTGAGTAGCCATTTAAATTTCATGTGCCTAATGGCAATGCTCTTGTCACTTCGGTGGAAGCGGACGTTGAATAAAGCTATTTCACACACAATGACAATGCATACTCTTTTATTTCCTTGGCAGTAATATTATCTGTAAATCGTCTTTCCATGACAAGAACGTTGCAAGAGAAACTGGGCTTCCCTTTGCCATCGTTGGCGTGCTGAGGGGATTCGGGTAAAGCTTAGAAAGGTAAAAGAACAGGCAAAACAATTTCAATCCCATCAATTTGCAGAAAAGATGCGGGATCGAAAGAATTGCTATTAATAGAAACGACAACATCCGCTCAATGTTTGATTATCCATACACGGCAAAGGACATCCGCTTAAAAACCGCCTGGCAGTACGCGTCTCAAAGTATTTTTAATAACAGTTGGCACTGGAAAGACACGCCGCGTGCGCAATAGTGCATCGATATGAAGGCATACAAATTGTTTACGGCTTTTTATATTACGATATTCAATTATTTCTGATTAAATTATTTTTTATATTTGCGCGAGTACTTAATCACTCACGTAAATTTGGTTTTACGCGAGCGTAGCGTGCGCGCGAGTAATTACTCGCGTGTCGTGGCAAGCCCTGATGGGAGAGAGAGAGAAATGGGGTTTAATGTCCACTCGACACAAACTAGGTCATTTCGGGACTAACATATGGTTTAATTTTTATTTCAATAATTCTTTTGCGTGTAGGGGGCTTTAGCAGTGGGAGGAAACTGGAGGACCCGGAGAAAAAACCCACGAGGTTGGACAGGCGACCCTACTCCTTGTCACGTACAATCGGGGATTCGAAACCACGCCAGTTGACTCAATGACAGGCTTTATGATACAGCACGCACGTGCTAACCCTTCGGCCATCCAACCCCCCTACATGTACTTTCGATGGCCTCTACTACATGAAGACTTGACCAGTTGTAGCGGGAGGTCGCGTCAAGAGGTCATACGAGTGGCTTTTGATCCTATGATTTCAGACATTTGATTAACCAATCAGCACTGTTTAGTGCAACTCTCCGTAACAGAACATTTTATTGACTAATCCATCACATCATCCAGAATGAAATTTTGAACTTTAAAAAACGAAGCGAAATAGGGTCTGTGTTTGAATCAGATTGTATAAAAAGAAATTAGTTAATGTTTGGAGGACGGGATGAAATGTACATGTAGACAACCCCTAGAGCTGCTCCCAGCGCTCAGCTCTAAAATATAGACAACATCTCATGTTTTAAATACGTTTGAAGGGAAGCATCTCGAACACTTTTTTACAATTATTATAATCTGTGGTAAGCATCACCGTTCGCCTTTCATGAAATAGTCTCAGAGTCTGACGACATTAAAATAATTATTGCTTTTATTAATTTATAGAATTAGCTTCTGGTCTGTGAAATCCATAGCTGAAAGCTGCAGTAATGAATTATTTAAAATACAGATTTAAACTGTTAAAATATACATCATAACATTGTAAGTTGATATCGTTGACATATGAACATAAAACATTTATCAGTCCTTCACGTTTATGAAATCGTGTGGGAGTCATAAAAAGCTCCTGTCAATTTCAAAATTGAGAAAAAAGCTCCCGTAAAAGAACCCTTCTTAATTATATTGCAAGAGTAATTCTATATTTTCTTGAATTAAGGAGAGCCAAATGATATTTATGCTTTAGTCTTTTTTAATATTCTCTTTAAATGTATGCACGTATGCAGTTTAAAAATAAGCAAAAACTGAAAGTAGTTTATTAATCTCAATATTTAGGAGAGCGATTTAGCTAATTTGCATGAGTCTTTAATGACTCCCGCGAAGGAAGGAAAGCTGAGCTGTGTCGAGAGGAGCAGGAGCGAAAGAGCACCTTAAACATGAAGGACTGATATATGACACAAACATATAAGTCCTTATTTTATATCCATAATATTTTTCAAACAGTTAAGATTAATTATGCTAGAAGTGACATCTTTTACAGCTAGTTAATTACACACCTGTATAATTAATAATTACTAATCACTTTCTATAAATACTAAACATTAGTTTGGAATAATGCTCAGTTGTATGATAATTTAATGAGTTTTAATTAGTAAAAGATCTGTGTTCAATAATTCAATGATATCAGTTTAACAGTGTAATATCTACACAGGTCGATTCATCTGACTTATCGGGGGTTCTAGATCCTCCATTTTAAACATTTCCTTCAGTTTTTTAATAATCACATCAGTTGCATGTTTGGCCTCCTTGCTTACCATCGAGAAATTGAGGAAACCGTGAGGTAGATTATCCACGAGATCAAGGTCAACCTTTTTACCCAGTTTACGTAATCGTTTAGTAAACATGATAGAATCATCCAGCAGTGGATCCAGATGACAAGCCTGTAATGAGAGAGAAAAATAGGGTTTAACATCCACTCAACACAAACTATGTCACATTTCGGGACTAACATATGGTTCGATTTTCTTTCAATAATTCGCTTGCGCGTAGGGATCTTTAGCAGTGGGAGGAAGCCGGGGGACAAGGAGAAAACCCACGAGGTTGGTCAGGCGACACTACTCCTTGTCACATACAAGCATGGAATCAAAACCACGCCACTTGACTGAATGACAGACCTTATGATGCAACGCACGTGTTAACCATTCAGCCACCCACTCCCACCCTCATCTAGGTGCATACTGTACAATACAGTGGTCAAAACCCTACAAATATACAGAAGGAAGCCAGATTTGGAAACATTTTTAATTCTAAACGAGTTGGACTGGCAACCCAACTTCTTGTTGCATACAAGCGGGGATTCTAAACCACAAGTTCGGACAGGTGATCCAATTTCTTGTTGCGTACAAGCAGGGATTCGAAACCACGAGTTCGGACAGGTGATTCAATTTCTTGTCACGTACAAGCAGGGATTCGAAACCACGAGTTCGGACAGGTGACTCAACTTCTTGTCGCATACAAGCAAATAAAGAGTGAAAAATGAACACCGCCTTCTTTACTGTTTAACCATCATTCGTGTTCGAACAAACAATTCGGCAAAATTTTACAATTCGATGATTCTGAAAGAGGAGGATGTTCAAAACTGTGAACAACAATATTATTACCTGTAGGTTGTAACTCAACTAAATCTAAACAAGAATAAACCTAATTACTTACAACAAGAGACATGTCTGGTAAACCCATCAGCAGTTCATCTGGTGCCAGTAGCGGAGACATGTAGGGATTCTTCACAATAGGTAGATGACGTACAACTTTTAATGGACTTTGAGCTAGATGACGATGTCGTAGAAAATCTGTAGGAGACATAGCACCGGGTCGAGGTCTATTAGATGGAAATGCGGGGATAGACTGCGAATGCGGCAGTTTGAAATTTTTTGGTCGAGTCACGTGGGCCGGAGACGTATCATTACTATGGCTGGTGGCACCGTTTTGTAAAGTCTCAACGTTATTCTGTACTTGTTTAAAATCTGGACAGCTCTCGCTTCTGACAGGATCAATCACATAATTATCAGCATTAGAAACACAGTTTAAATCTACAGAGATCAGTTCGTCAGAGGGAGATAACTCCACTTGAGCAGGTGCTCCAGATTTGTCAGGAGTAGATAACTCTGACATGTGTTCATCACAGTTACTTTGATCACAGTTAGCTTGACCGGTCAGATTATCTATCACAGTAGCAATAACTTCCATGGTTCCCTTAACAAGGGGAGGTAATATTGATTCCGGGGGAGGTAACTCTAACGATGATGGCACTTCTGTATTTCTCGATCGTTCTAATTTCTCTGTTTCCTCTGCATCTATTTGATTTGAGACAATTTCACAATTTTCGGGAGTTGGTGCGACAGACTGATCATTCTCATCTGTTGTCATAGAAACAACGTCAAATGCATCAGTAAACGAAGGGTCCGCCTGTGGTGTTTGGCATGCAGAATGGAAATCCTCCGTAGAACTATCTGAAACAATACCATCTGTCTGTTTTGTCTCTGCTGATTTCTTCTTCTTGTCAGTCTCATTTTTATCGTATACAATAACCCACTCCGTGTCCGACGAATCATCTTCGTCCAAATGATACGGAGCTTTACTCGAGAACTCAGTTTCCGTTAAACCATTTAACAGCTCATCAGATACACCAGCATACGCTAAAATTATACAAACATTGAATGAATTAAAATTATACAAACATTGAAATGGGGAGAAAAGGGGTTTAACGTCCACTCAACACAAACTAGGTCATTTCGGGACTAACATATCGTTCAATTTTATTTCAATAAATCACTTTCGCATAGGGGTCTTTAGCAGTGGGTGGAAATCGGAGGCCACGGAGAAAACCCAAGAGGTTGGACAGGTGACCCTACTCCTTGTCACCTACAACCGGGGAATCCAAACCACGCCAGTTGACTCAATGACAGACCTTATGATATAATGCGCACGCGATAACCATTCAGCCCACTTGTAAAGATCTCTTGACAGTTGGAATTCGATATAAGAGTAGGCGATAGGGCTGCTGCTGCCGCTGCTCAGGCAAAATTTCTCTCATAGCACACTGTATGTTGTATTCCCGTCTTCATTAGCCCAGTAGGAGCAGAACAGTAAGACATTAAACCCCATATCCTTTCATTTCATTTCGCCCACTTGTAAAACTGTACTTAAATTCAAATAATAAAACACAACACAATTTATATGGAAAACAATCACTGGTTTATAACTATACACATCTGTATTATAATTTGTGCTTGATAATGATAAGAGAATACTTGTTGAAGCATCGTGCTATTGATTGTTTTCCATATAAATTGTGTTGTGTTTTTTTTATTGTGCTCAGTCACTAAATGCTACTCAAGGAATGTAGTTAAATTACCTGCTAGACATCTGGATAGTATACCAATCGGGAGAAGAGGATCCATGAGGGCAAGAAGTCTTGATGGAGACGGGGTATATCGTGCCAGGACAGCAGCATAAATAGCCATGATACCATCAGGACGTCGAATACCAAATGAAGCAGCTCTCATGGCCGTTGAGATAATTAAATTACCCCCAGCACTGTCACCAGCTAATATAATAGTCTTCCCTGTTGAACCTAGAAAAATATAAATACTTGTAACACCTGGGAGTGGTTTCCCTTTGTTAGTGGTGCTGGACCGAGGGGTCTGGCAAGGACAGTGTCTACTGTCTGAACCTTGCTATTTTATAAACAGATTTCTTCGATTATGAACAAACTATTTAACTTTGGTTAAGTTTATAATAACCAAAGTTAAATAGTTTGTTCATAATCGCAGAAATCCGTTTATAAAATAGCAAGGTTCAGACAGTAGTCGTTCGAATGTAACAACAACTCAAGGTGTGCATGTAAGGCTTACGCTATACAGTATTCTATGAGGGAAAATTTGCCAAGACAGTGAGTGGTGCTGCAGCCTACTCTTATTTCACTTAATCACTTAATTGCCTAATCAATCCAGCCTATTATCAATGATAATCGGGTTGAGTGGTAGCTATACACTCAGTACAATATAAATATATTAATTTTGGAATTTTGAATATTATTCAACATATCTTGATGTCCGATTGATATATGCCTGGTCGGACGTTTTGAGACGTTTGGAAAATAGCGTAAGCTTTTCTTGATTAGCCCAGTTGGTACAGAAAAGTAGGTCGTTACCCCCCCTCCCCATTTCATTTCTATTCATTTGTAACACCTTAAGAGTTGTTGTGGTTTATTATAACATTAACGTCCAATACATTAAACATGATATTATGGACAGTTCGATTTTAATTAGGATATTTACATATGAAGGAGGCATAAATTAGTGAAAATGTCAATTTACTTGTAATAAACCTCTCCAAGTGACTGAGGAAATATGTGTTTAATACCATACCTAGTTTACTGACATTCTGTGTGGCCCAGGAATATGCATAAAAACATTCCTCTAGAGCTCGTGGGAAGGGAAATTCTGGAGCTAACGAATAATCTATTGATAATATAGGAACATTGATATCTCGAGCCCAGTTACGTAAATATACCTAAAAGTAGATAATTGGAATAAAGATTAAATAAAACAATGTTTATGGATAACAATTACTGCGATTTAATTCACTGCAACATTTCAACAAGAATTCACAAGTTTTAAATATCAACACAAATAAAAAAATTACTTGGATTTCAGTTAATTTCTTTTCAGATAATTTAAGATAATTTCTTTGGGATCTAAAATAATCTATAAGAATTATTAGGATTGAAGATAAAAATTTATAAGAGAGAGAGAGAGAGAGTGAGAGAGAGAGAAATGGGGTTTAACTTCCATTCAACACAAACTAGGTCATTTCGGGACTAACATATGGTTTAATTTTATTTAAATAATTCGCTTGCGCGTATGGGTCTTTAGCAGTGGGAGGAAACTGGAGGACCCGGAGAAAACCCACAAGGTTGGACAGGTAACCCTACTCCTTGTCACGTACAACCGGGGATTCGAAACCACGCCAGTTGACTCATTGACAGGCTTTATGATACAGCGCGCACATGCTAACCATTCGGCCATCCAACCCCCCTAATTTATAAGAATTACAAGGATTGAAGATAATTTATAAGAATTACAAGGATTGAAGATAATTTATAAGAATTACTAGTATTGAAGATAATTTATAAGAATTACCAGGATTGAAGATAATTTATAAGAATTACACGGATTGAAGATAATTTATAAGAATTACTAGTATTGAAGATAATTTATAAGAATTACTAGGATTGAAGATAATTTATAAGAATTACTAGGATTGAAGATAATTTATAAGAATTACTAGGATTGAAGATAATTTATAAGAATTACTAGGATTGAAGATAATTTATAAGAATTACTAGGATTGAAGATAATTTATAAGAATTACTAGGATTGAAGAGAATGAAACCTACTGAATGTGATTTAGATGACTGTGCTACAAAACCTCCACCATGACAGTGGACAATCAAACCTGGACTCTTTGGTTTCGGAACAACAGGATGCTTGGGTGGTTTGTTTTTAGTTGATTTTATATGTACTTGCTGAAATAAAGGATAGATTTTATATGTAAGGAAATATTCTATACATAATATGTTCTTGATGAAAGAAAAGGAACATTCAATATGATTAAAACACGATCCTATTTCGTTTTGTTTTTTATACACTAGGATCTGGAAGAGTTGTTATATAACTTCCGTTCTGGTTGATGTGAGGGATTAGCCAATGAAACGGTCTGTTGCGTCGAGTTCCTAAGAGAAACATCAACGCTGATTGGTTAATCAACTCTGACGTCATAGGGTCAAAAGCTGCTCATATGACCCCTGACACGACCTTCCACTACAACTGGTCAGATCTTCATGTAGTGCAGGCCATCAAAAGTATAAAAAAATAAACGAAATATAGATCTGTATTTTAATCGAAATGAAATGGGGTTCAACGTCCTACTGTTCTGCTCCTAAACTGGGCTAATGAAGACGGGCATACGCCATACAGTGTGCTATGAGGGAAATTCTGCCCGGACAGCGGTGCTACAGTCTACTCTTATATCGAATTCCAACTGCCAAGAGATCTTTTACGTGCACGCCAATGTGTACATGGGACCTTGGTTTTTCATCCCATCCAAACGACTAGACAGCTGTCCTTGTCAGGCCCTCTGTCCTACATCACTGACAAGGGGAAACCACACCGGAAAATCTGGATAAACTTTCTCGGCCAATGCAGGGATCGAACACCCGACCTCCAGGCAAGCGAGCCAGCGTCTTACCCACCGTGATTTCCTGTATTTTAATCAGATTACAAAACATTTTATATGTTCTTGTTGAAATAAAGGCATATGATCAGTTTATTATGGCACAAATCACGAGAACTGACTAATCAGAACAAAGACAATAACCATTAAATGAATTTCATTATATCATTAATATATTTCAAATGAAATGAAATGTCTTACTTTTGTGCAAAGACTGGGCTATGAAGACATGGTTATGCCATACAGTGGGCTAAAAGCGATATTTTGTCTGGACAGCGACTCTACAGACTACTCTTATTTCCAGATCTAACTGTTGAGGATTGTTTTACCAGAGACCAGTGTGGACATGTGACCTAGTTTTTTTCATCCCCTTTGAATGACCAGATGCCATCCGTATCAGGTCCTTTATCCTGCACCAGAAACAAGGGGGAAATAACACTGGAAAAACTTAAGGAACTCAGCCAACACTGGAAGCTAACCTGGGAAAACTTAAGGAACTTTCTCAGCCAACACTGGACGCGTACCTGGGAAAACTTAAGCAACTTTTTTGGCCACCAATGGAAGCAAACTGGAGACTTCCTGGTTATCAAGCGAGCGTCTTACTCAATGATCATGAATCAAAATGATATAAAGTTTGTAATATTTATATTTGTACGAACCTGTCCATCTCTAAGATGATATGATATAAGTCTGACTTGTACTGGTCCTGGTCCAGTATGAGCACATGGTGGTGTTATAAACACAGTATCACTCCCATCTTCTAACTTCACTTCAAACGAATCTGGGCCGAGTTGTAACACTTCATCAACTTCAACAGAAGGATAAACTAACGCTGGTAATTGCTGTAAATATTTAAAGATTGCATAATGTACATGTAAGAGCTAAATCTGTGTATTACAGGACTTTTTCTGGCTTCAAATGTTACATAATTATTATTAATAACAATATGTCATCTGTGTGGAACTAGTTGATGACATATACATATTTTAAACATTTGTAGGGAAACTTATTGATGACGTACAATTCACAATCTAATTAAAATATAGATCTATATTTCGTTTTGTTTTTTATACTTTCGATGGCCTACACTACATGTAGATCTAACAAGTTATAGTGGGAGTTCACGTTCTATGACGTCAGGTACCAAGCAAGCGACATTTGACCCGATTACGTCAGTCATTCGATTAACCAATTAGCGACCGCCATGTATTTTTTATCTACTTTTGCTTTGTTTTAATTTCTATTGACGCTAATGTCTACCCACAGTTCCGCACAAAAAAGGTCAAACACTCGATTCGACAGACCATTTGATTGGCTGACTCCTCATTTCAAGCAGAACATGAGTTAAAATAACAACGCTTCCAGATCCAAGTGCAGTAAAGGCAAGTAAAATCGAAATTTTGAATTATAAAAACAAAACGAAATTGGATCTGAGTTTTAATCAGATTGTACAATTCATGACCTTTGCAACTTGCCTAAGACATAAACACATTTGTAGGGAACTTGTCGATGACATACAAACATTTCAACATTGCCCAATATGTGTTGACAGTTCGTGTTATGTCCCATCATACTTACACAGAGAGAGAGAAATGGGTTTTAACGTCCATTTGACACAAACTAGGTACTTTCGGGACTAACATATGGTTGAATGTTATTTCAATAATTCGCTTGCACGTAGGGGTCTTTAGCAGTGAGAGGAAACTGGAGGACCCAGAGAAAACCCATGAGGTTGGAAGGGCGACCCCACTCCTTGTCATGTACAACCGGGGTTGACTCAATGACAGGCATTATCATACAGCGCACATACTAATCATTCGGCCATCCAACCCCCCTCATACTTACAGACCCTTTCAGTAAGAAACAAACTGAATAAAACACCAATACGATCTGACCACGTCATTCAGTCAAACTTTAACATGCATTATGTAAGAGCTAAATCGACCTACAGCAAGAATTTTTCTTGGCTTCAAATGTTACATAAACTGTTATCTAGACATTTATGCCCATAATCAACTTTCTGGATTATCAGATGGCCATGATTTACATGAATTAGAAAACCTGCTTGATTTAAAAATTTAATGATAAAATGGATAATCGATTGACTTGTGCTGTTGCTGCAATAATACACAATATATGCTAGATCTTCAAACAGCCATAACTTCGCTTGGGAAAAATTAATTTGAATGAAATTTTCAATATATTCATTTTCCATTATATATACATACTCTTAAAAAAAAGTAGGGGATATTCAGAAACAATACAAAACTGCGGAAATGCACTGCTGTTTTTATTAGAGATAACCAGTATATGTTAATAACAGGCCAATTGCCTACACATGAACATAAACAGTTCATATGGGCAGCTTATCTGACGGCCCCATTTCACTCGCAAAAAGATACACTGTCAAAAGTGAAAATGGACATTTTTGATTTCTGTCTTAAAAATGAGAAATGAAATGGGGTTTAACATCCTACTGTTCAGTTCTGTTCCAAAATGTGCTAATGAAGACCAACATACACCATACAGTATGCTATGAGGGAAATTTTGCCTGGGCAGCGACATTATGGCCTACTCTTATATCGAATTCCAACTGCCAAGAGATCTTTTATATGCACGCCAATGTGCACATCCTGCACTACTAACAAGGGGAAACCACGTCGGAATCTCCTGATGAACTTTCTCGGCCAATGCAGGGATCGAACACGTGGCCTCCAGGCTAGCGAGCCAGCCTCTTACCCACTTAGCCACCGTGGCTCCCCGATATTAATCAGATTGAAGAAAGAAGCAGACATGAAAGAAAAGAGTGATAACTACCTACATGCATAATATCGCTTTCTGTTATCGACCAAAACGCTTTACAAAACTTGACATCAGCAGATCGGGTTACATTTACTACCTAGAATATAAATAACATAATGTTTATCTCATAACAGGGCCTAGAGAATACACATAAATAACATAGTGTTTATTTCATTGCAGGGCCTAGAATATAAACATAAACAAAATAACGTTTATCACATCATAGGACCTAGAGAATTCACATAAACAACATAGTGTTTATAACATCATAAGGTCTAGAGAATTCACATAAACAACATAGTGTTTATAACATCATAAGGTCTAGAGAATAAACAACATAGTGTTTATAACATCATAAGGTCTAGAGAATTCACATAAACAACATAGTGTTTATAACATCATAAGGTCTAGAGAATAAACAACATAGTGTTTATAACATCATAAGGTCTAGAGAATAAACAATATAGACCAAGCTGATTCATATGGTCAAGAGTTTTCCAGTCTGGTTTCAACTTATACCATTTGAAATTAAACAATTAGAGGGGATCTACATGTACATCTATGGTGGGTTAGTAAGTATGTTGCAGACTCACTAACCCGATAGTCCTCAATTAAATCACAGTATTGACTGGGAAAGTAGCTCAGATTTTCCAGTGTGGTTTCTTCTTGTCAGTGATGTTGGAAAAAGGCCTGGCAGGGAACTGCACTAGTCATTCAGATGTGATCATAAACCAAGGGTGAATAATCTCAAGAAATATTTGATACAGTATTGCTCAGGTTGATAAAAGACTAATTTTGTGCTCCGGTCCTCGACGACTATATAAAGGAAACCGCCACACAATTTCACTTAAGGCAAGACACTACCTTATAAAACACTCTGTATAGACTGATCTGTCAAATTTTGATATCAGCTAAAATTGCCCAAAATAGTTAAAATTTGTTGATTTTTCAAGTCTTGTCCAGCCTTTATATTATTAGTGTTAAATAATTAGTCATTTGTATAGGTAAATCAAATTTTTAACTTTTAACTTGCTTTTTTCCGTACTCAATTTTTCACCCATATCAGGTCTTAGAAAATCAAATTCTCAAAATCTATGAGAGATAATGGTCTCATCTTTGGAATACGATTAGTGCTATAGCTACTGTTTGCAATAAGGTGATTTTCAAAGTGTTTGTTATACATTTGGATATTTAATTGTACAAAATCTTTTCAGCGGTGTGTTCAGCTACACCCACTTGTTTTTTGTGGGATGCATAATGTTCTTTAATAACATTTAAATAGTAAAATTTATGCCTTCTTGCACTCTTTAATGCCTATATATGTTATTCCAAATCACAAATAGTTTGTTTCAATAAAATTGTTGAAGATTTTGATCTCCTAACATAGCCACCGTGAATATATAAAAAAATCCAATATGGCCACCATTTCCATGGCAACAAATAAACATTTTGCGCTCAAATTATCAAATCTGATTTGGGACATCATATACTAATATTACACTAAATGGCAAGTTTCTGTTATCAATGTAAAATTCTTAGGTAGTGTCCTGCCTTAAGCCTGATGAGTTCGAACTGAGTGAAAGCCGTCGCTTCATGAGAGAAATCTGGGATGTCTACTTCCCAGTCATTCGGATAAGATGATAAACCAAGGTTGAATAATCCCAAGGAACTTTCTTTCTCTTGGTCAACACCAGGATCGAGAGGACACAGGAAAATCAGGCCACCATGACTCTCCATATTTTTGAACATATTGACATTGCTATCTTGCCATGAAAATATCCAATATTTAAGACACAATTAACGTTTTATAAGCAGTACATCAGTCATGTACTGATCAGCAATTAGTAATTGCTGATTCACAAATGATGAAAGAATAATAATTAAACATGTAGAATGGACTAAGCAGGCGTAAAAGACTGTCATTCAATTCGGGCTGTTCGCGTAGTTCACCGAACATAATTACAATAATTGTTTTATAAATGGAATATAAATCACTTTACATATATTCATATTACATTAATATGTGCTTTTAGACCATTTTTCGTCTCCCAAAGAATAGAGCCATATGCCCTTTAATCTCTGTAGCCCACTACTGACCTGTTTTCCCCGAAGTTCAGGGTTGAGGAAATATTTCCCACTGTTAAATACGGACGTGGCTAATTTCATGAGTTGAGAATTCTCCTGATATCCTTCACTGAACGATGCCATGGCAACAGCCACTATTTGTAGTGGCCTCTGCATTGTTTCACAAAACTGAAATAAAAATATTATATAAAAATTATCTACATGTACTAATAGTATTTCAGTCTTATTAAAAGTTGAATAATGAATTTGAGAATATTTATGGGTGGAAATGAAATAGGGTTTAACGTCCTACTGTTCTGCTCTGAACTGGGCTAATGAAGACGGGCATACGCCATACAGTGTGCTATGAGGGAAATTTTGCCCGGACAGCGGCACTACGGCCTACTCTTATATCAAATTCCAACTGTCAAGGGATCTTTTACGTGCATGCCAATGTACATGGGACCTCGGTTTTCCATTCCATCCAAACAACTAGACAGCTGTCCTTGTCAGGCCCTCCGTCCTGCATCACTGACAAGAGGGAACCACGCCGGAAAAATCTGGATGAACTTTCTCAGCCAATGCAGGGATCAAACACCTGACCTACAGACTAGTGAGCCAGTGTCTTACCCACTTAGCCAAGTGATTCCCCACTGGCTCGCTAGTCTGGAGGTTGAGTGTTCGATCCCTGCATGGCGTATGACCGTCTTCATTAGCCCAGTTCGGAGCAGAACAGTAGGATGTTAAACCCCATTTCATTCCTATTTAAGGGTGGATTAAGACAAGAAGATGAGTGAGAAATGTGGAAGATTAATTATGTATTTATAACAAAGAAATATGGAAATTAATGGTGTAAACATTTATTTTTCGTGAGTTCAAATTGTCTCACTATGATATGTAACTGCCATTATCAACTTCAGTCTCTGGGACGGAGCTAGATGTATTAGAGGCTGAATTATTCTGACTAAAAATGATGTAGGCCTTGAAACTGAATCAATAAACTAGTATTTAGTCTGGTACATGTAATTTTGAACTTATGTTTTCCTTTTGCGTTCGTCACTTCCCTTTCTTGAAATCTTCATACAACATCTATCGTAGCAATGATCGTTGTGTTAAAATTATATCTGGAACGTGTTTAACCAGTCCTATCACGTGATGTGATAATGGCTGACAATTGTCATTTAAGAAGAGTTGTGATGGGATTCAGTGGAGTATAAACAAAACATTATTTGGATTACTTATAGAGAAAGAGAGAGAGAAATGGGATTTAACGTGGAGAAAACCCACGAGGTTGGACAGGCGACCCTACTCCTTGTCACGTACAACTGGGGATTCGAAACCATGCCAGTTGACTCAATGACAGGCCTTGTGATACAGCGCGCACGTGCTAACCATTCGGCCATCCATCCCCTGGATTATATAGAGGCATATATAAATTCTAGCTCATATAACTTGACAACAGTACATGTATCTTATCTTTATCATTTCGATTTACCTGAAAACCTAAACATCTTCCGTAGAAACAATCTTGATTCAGCATCTCAAATTCTAACATCAACTTATCAGCGATGGAGGAATCTAACGCATCTTCGTCAGTAAACAGCATCCCCTCTTGACAATAGTTCATCACCTGTTGAGCATAGTACAAGCACGCCCGTAACTGACCCATGGTTGCGACATATGCTTCGAGTTCTTTTGAATAGTGAGCACGACGGAACAGCATTGAATCGCGGTTTATGATTATGTGACGCGACAACTGTATCAAATGCAGACAACATTTTTGAACAACTCTTAAAAGACTTCTGTAGCCATTTCCTTTAGTCTGTGGTGAAACGTCATATTCACTCAATCTTGGTATCAAGGCCATCACACTGGGTTCAATTCCAAGGTCCAAATACTCAAACAGTAAACAAAATGCCACATGAAATTTAGCATGATGACTTTGCGTGCCACTCTGGAAATATTCCATATTTGTCAAACATAGTGATTGTAAATCTTTGATTAAATTAATGAGAATTCGTGAGGATTGCTCCTCCATTATGCCACGTTCCATCCTGCCCTAAGTGACAGATTAATTACCCTGTAACTAGAACAAACTTTTGTTGACTTCAGAGCGCCGCCATATTTCCGCCTCGGGTTGAATGTTTTGCTCCCATACCGAAAATAACAAATAATTAAAAATGAAAAACAGCAGGTAAATTATTTCACTAGAATGTTTTCTTGAAAGTGAAAAAATAAAATGTATATTTTTGGTAATAAAGATAAAATATTGTAAATGTTTTGGATTTATTTTGACCAATCAAATTGGAGCTTGGTCTTCAGTTTTCAGGAGGACGGAAGGAAAACAACATTGATGAAATCAGATATTTTGCAGGGGTTTGAGATGAATATTATCTGCGTATGTAACAAGTCGCATACTGATTATGTTTCAATATGCATCACCCTTACGAAAAAACATGTTATCTAAAAGAAATCAACACATTTTGCAATGAAATCTTGTTGATAAGACTATTTTGATATAATATTTTTTTTGTTTACATTGGGCATTGCTGCATCATAAAATGTCTGTTTACTAATAATAGGTAGCCAACTGTGTTAAAAATAAAATCAATGTCCTAGTTCTCAGCATCATGGAAACTATGCCCATTTATGTACATCCAGTTGGGTTCAATTGAACTCGGCGATTGCAATATTTGCTTTATAATACAGGAACCAAATTTGATTCCAGCACTGCATCATAAAATACACATGTGTATCTGTTTATAATTAATTAATAATAATAGGTCTACTGCTAAGTAGGCCAACTGTGTTAAAAATATGATAATTGACCCACATAATTAGCATCATTAAATCTATACCCATTTATGGACAAACAGATGGGATCAACTGACTTGAACTGAACTGGGCGATCAGGAACAAAATTTTATTCCAGAATTGTCTTTCAGTCTAGGCTATAGCCTATCTTGTGATTTTATTGTACAAGAGCTTTTGTCTAAGATATCACCCCTGGTGGAAGTGGATGTACATGTAAAACCCTGGTAACTAACTAACTACAAGAGCTTGTTTATTGTTGTTGGGTTTTTCCAGTACTGGTATTGCATTTCTTGTGATTCATCATTTTCACTTAATTTGTTTAACAGTACTGCAATAAATATTATTTCCACTATTTTCGAGAAGAAGTAATACAATTTGAAAATACCAGTACCAGTAGGATACTAGAATAAAATTTTGTCCTGTAATTTTTTACAATATAGTTGTAGTTTCCATGTTCAATTGATCTTACAGTTGAAGAAAACTATAAATAAATTTCAAAATACATAGATCCGATCCTGATTAGCAACTTTGTCTTATAAATTATTATTATTATTATGGTTCTTTTTATAGCCCATTCTTTCACATAAGTGCCTAGATGTGCTTAACAATAAAATAATAAATAAATAAATAAAATTAAAAAGAGGTCTAAACGTTAAAAAATCAAATCAGTAAGCATTAAAATGGAAAGTTAAGAAAAGTTATGAGGCAATTTTAAAAAGATGTGTTTTAAGTTTTGATTTAAAAACTGTTAAAGAATTACAACATCGTAATTGATGGGGCAGCTTGTTTCATAGTTTAGGTGCTTTAAATGAAAAGGCCTTTTCTCCGTAAGAAACTTGTTTGGCATTACGTTCAATTAGTATGAAATTGTCTGAACTAAGGGATCTGTCTTATAGGTTTAATCAATGAAATGAAATAGGGTTTAACATCCTACTGTTTTGCTCCAACTGGGCTAATGAAGACGGGCATACGCCATACAGTGTACTATTACTACAAGGGATATTTTGCCTGGACAGCGGCGCTAAGGCCTGGAAATCAACTGTATACAAAGAATCTCGGTTTTACATCTCATCCGAATGATTACCACTGATAAGGTCGAACCATACCAGAAAATCCCAATGAACTTTCTCGGCCCTTAATCAATGAATGCTAGTCCTTGATAAGTCTAATCTGTGAACCACTGGTGAATTTCTTCATTTTGTGTTCATACCTACATACCTTATTTGATAGTCAGACGTCAGTTTAGGTAAAGCATGCGAGATGGCACCGATTTCACCAGTGAATGCTCAAGAAACTTGCATTTTTTCAGTTATTGATCTCGATAATGATAAACTTGGTCCTGCGTAAACCATTGAGTGCACGTTAAAGATCCCTGACAGTCAGTCTTGTGTATACCATCAGGTGGACATTAAAGATCCCTGACAGTCAGTCCTGTGTATACCATCAGGTGCACGTTAAAGATTCCTTACAGTCAGTCCTGTGTATACCATTGGGTGCATGTTAAAAATTCAAGACAGTCTTGAAGTCAGTCAGGTGCACATTAAAGAATTCTTGCAGTCAATCCTGTGTATACCATTGGGTGCACTTTAAAGATTCCTGACAGTCAGTCCCGTGTGAATCCCTCGGCAGTTGAAAATCGCTGTCGGGGAGAGGGAGGCCGAGTGAATTTCCATCATCCTTCACCGCATAAATTATGCCCGTCTTTATTAGCCCAGTTTGTGCAGAAAAGTTGGATGTTAAAACCTGTTTCATTTGATTTCATTTTCATCTGAAGATTTCTAGGCCAGTAAGAGTTTGATGAAACTCTTCAAAATACTTCTTGGTCACTGGCATCAATAAGCTGTTTCATGTGTATAATGTATAAAATACAGCCGTAATGTTCCTACAAAAATTAGACATAATCACAATATTGATGATTCGTGTTATTTTATTTCAACCAACCAAATGTCATTCTTATATTTCAGAAAGCAGCTCTCAAAATGAGCACTTTATTTCCGGATAGATTGTAATTTTGTTGGGACTGTGAGGTAACCATATTCAAGATGGCTGATTGTGTTGCAGATGATGTAACCGAGGAAACAACGGAAGATGTGACATCGGAAGTTTGTGATGATGTCAGTAACAGTGTTGATGTGGAAGTCAGGAGAAAGACCAGCAGTCTGTCCGTCTGTGAAAATGGCGACTGTTTAAGCAGTAGTGAAGACATCAATAAAGATTTTGCGGAAGATTTAGATTTAAGTCCTCTTGCCTCCGATCATCTGGATGTCGGTGTATTGAAGAAGGATGACAGTGGAATTTCCATGGAAAAAACGTCTCCGTTGGTCAGTGGTAGGGACAATACGTCTGATGGGGATGGCAATGACAGTGCTACCTTTAACGACAGTGCAACTTTTTCCCTGTGTGAAATGACACCAGACGCCAAGCCATCTCTGTCCTCGTCCAAAAACGAATCATCTCTTGAAGTTGGATCGAATGCCATTAAAATAACTGTGGATTCTTCGGATGATCCAATGGAAGAAAGTTCTGATTTAGTTGAAAATAGCCCAACAACCAATGACAACGCTGACGATGAGACAGACACATTTAAAGAAAGTTCAGAATCTCGTCGAAGAAGGTTACGCGTTCGTGATCGCAGAAATCGTATTTCGCGTAGTGATAGTGATTCGGATACAGAAGACAGTGATGACGACGATGATGATGATGGTGCAGATGACAGAGCTGCTACTCGTCGAAAAGCAAAACCTTTGTCATCAGAATCATCAGATGAAGAAGTAGAAGATCAGAAAAAGCCCAGAGAAATCTGGCATGCATTATTTGATTTGCGTAGTCGTGAATTAGGCTATTCCAATAAGACTCCTCCTTCCCTTTTTCGTGAACGCGTTCAAGGTAGCCTACATATGGTAAAACGTTTAGAATTACAATATCGTATGGAGTGTCACGATGGCTGTGTGAATGCACTGAACTTTAATAGGATAGGTCAGTAAATACCCAGAATATTTTTTATGTGTGACATGTATAGTGAATATTGATGAAAAAAGTTTGAAACGTGTGGAAGGTTGCCAACCTGTATGTTGTCTGTTCTATGGCTAAATTCACCCGTAATATATAAAACTACTTAGGTCACATTGCTACTTCGTGGGTTTGGGGGCGAATGGTAAGCGTGTTCCGTGTACGTTGTATCACTAGGTCTGTGATTGAGTCAACTGGTGTGGTTTCGATTCCCCGCTTGTACGTGACAAGGAGTAGGGTCGCTTGTATAACCTCGTGGGTTTTCTCCGGGTCCTCCGGTTTCCTCCCACTGCTAAAGACCCCTATGCACAATCGATTTATTGAAATATAATTGAACCGTACAGCTGAATGTTAGTCCCAAAATGAACTAGTTTGTGTTGAGTGGACGTTAAACCCCATTTCTCTCCCTCTCATATTGTTACTCAAAATGAAACCTGGGTTCATCACTTTGACAAGAAGTGAAAAGTATGCCGTGAAAGCATTGTAACATCACCAACGTCTTCAAAGGGATGGGTCATGGCCATCATTTTTTGAGACTCAACTCAGAATTAAAAAAGGAATTCCCAAAAATGGACCGCACTGAGAGAGTAACTAATCAAAATATCAATGCTAAATAAGATCCCGACTTGGATTCAATCGGATTCAAAACAGGCCTATCATTTCTATTCGCCCTAAAAAATGGCGGAACGTTAAATCATCCGTCACAAAATGTATTAACATCGACTAAATATTGCAAGCTAAAAATGACATCGAGAGTTGATTATGGTCTTGATTAATTAATGTCTAATTAATAATTTAGATAACATTTCAGGCCTAAAGAAAGACCTGCAATAGGCAGATTTAGCTCTTGCATAATATACATGAGGCTCATTTGACCTTTGACCCCAAATATCTCGAAAACACCACAACGGCGGACTGATTACTACTCGGTATCTTATTCTACGCAAAATTTTAGCATAGAAAAGATGGGTCTGGTTTTGTGTACATTTGATGAACACCCGCCCATCCCACCCCCTCACTGAGCCTCCAGACTATAATACATGTTTAATTAATAATGAATTTCATACCCTTTTCTAATTTTAGGAACGCTGTTAGCTAGTAGTTCTGATGATTTGAATATTGTTTTGTGGAACTGGGTACAGAATAAACCAGCACTAGTCTATGACAGTGGTCATCGTAGCAATGTCTTTCAGGCTAAGTTTATGCCGTATAGTGGTGATTGTCATGTAGTTAGCTGTGCACGCGACGGGCAAGTTCGTCTGGCCGAATTATCTCTAACAGGACGATGTAAGGAAACCAAAAAACTAGCGCAGCATAAAGGAGCAGCTCATAAGGTAGAGTACATGTACCTTCATACAGATCGGGATTTTTTGAATCCGTGAGCCACAGTGGCTCAGTGTGTAAGGTGTTGGCTCGATTCCCCCTAATCTGGATGTCATGTATTGGTTGAGAAAATATCAAGGTCCTGTGCATGTAAGGTAGTGTACGTTCGTACAGATTGAGACGTTTTGAATTAATGAACCACCGGTGGCTCATAGTGGCTGAGATGTTGGCCCGATCACAGCTGGTTGGAATTCAATATAAGAGTAGGCCGTAGTGCCGCTGTCCAGGCAAAATTTCCCTCATAGCATGATGTATAACCATCTTCATTAGCCCAGTCGGAGCAGAACAGTGGGACGTTAAACCCCATTTCATTTCATTTTTGAATCAATGCGCCCGGACTGTGGTGTAAAGACACAATTGACTGTTGCATGTAATTCTGTGAAAGGTTTTACAGTTAGTGTCTATGTAACCCCCATCTTTATATTTTTACAGTTAGTGTCTATGTAACCTCCATCTTTATATATTTACAGTTAATGTCTATGTAACCCCCATCTTTATATATTTACAGTTAGCATCTATGTAACCTCCATCTTTATATATTTACAGTTAACGTCTATGTAACCTCCATCTTTATATATTTACAGTTAACGTCTATATGTAACCCCCATCTTTACATATTTACAGTTAGTGTCTATGTAACCCCAATCTTTATATATTTTACAGTTAGCTTTAGAACTAGATTCACCCCATATATTTCTCAGTTGTGGAGAAGATGCTGTCACGTATGAAGTTGATTTACGTCAAGACAAACCACGCAAGTAAGTTTCATAATTAGAGAACATATGGACCCTGTACACAAAATATAAAATCCTTGTAATTTCTAGTAGAATCTGACCAAACTCATCTACATGTATATTACTATGATGTACATGTAAGTATATTGCAAATTTTGCACAGCGAAGGGTATATGTAAATTGAATACCGTGGAAAAAAATGAATACCATTTAAGCCATTGAAGCACTTCCGAGAAATTGAACGGTTCAGCAAATAATTAAACACCATCAATGATTAATTAGGTCATTTTTAACAGTGTCTGGAAGTTAAAAGCTTGTAAATTGGACATGTTCACAAAGAATCAAAATTTCAGTATATGTGATCTTGCAGATGAGCTGTTGATCAGATGTATTTATTTATTACAAATTACTTGTAACCATAGAAACAATATGTTGCTAAGATCCGTTGTAACAATATGTTGCAAAAATCCATTTATTTATTAGTTGTAACCATAGAAACACTATGTTGCTAGAGAGAGGGGTTTTACATAGGCTAGGCCTGCTCCCCAATCTTATTCAGATATCCTGAATAAAAATAATGTTTAAAAAGAAAAAAATATGTTGCTAAGATCTAATTATTTATTAGTTGTAACCATAGAAACAATAAGATGTATTATATTTATTACAGATTATCTGTAACCATAGAAACAATAAGATGTATTATATTTATTACAGATTAGTTGTAACTAAGGAGAATGATAGTAAAGTTGGTTTATATTCAATCCACTCTAATCCAACCAATTCGTATGAATTCTGTGTAGGTGGACGTGACTACTATATCAGGTATGTTCGTTAGCTGTCTAGTCATTCAGATGAAATGAAAACCTGAGGTCCTGTGTACACATTGATGTGCTCATAAAAGATCCCCTGGCATTTGGAATTTCCTCCCACTGCTAAAGTCACTTATGCTGGTCCCTAAGGGGCCTGGTTTGTGTCGAGTGAAGGTTAATCTCTACTCTCTCTCTCTCTCTCTCTTTCGCTCTCTCTCTCTCTCTCTCTATTGAGGAGACATTAAAGATACATTATGCAAAAGCTAAATCTGCCTATTGCAGGTCTTTTTTTATGCCTGAAATGTTATCTACTTTATTAATTAGACATTAATTAACTTATCCAGACCATATTCAACTCTCGATGTCAACGCTAGCCTGCAATGTTTACTGGATTAGGATACCATTTAATGCTCCACTTTCATTCTTGATTTAATCATGAAATGGATAATCGAGACTATGTTTTTTTATCGTACCGACTTTAGTAATGATAATCAAGTCTAGGCCGCAAATTCAATTGCTAAAATCTCGGTTCAGAGTGGATCAATTTGACTGAAATCTTCAGGAAATTCCCTTTACATTTTTGAGCTTTTAACTATTATAGTGAGAACTGCCAGCTCTTTATCTAATCTCCCATAATGTATCTTTAATTTTAATTTCAGAATTTATGATAAAAGAAAGATAGCCGAGGTAGGTACTGTAGTTATAGATTGTTTCAATCACATTCTGTAATTCAACTTACGATACACAAGATAATGTTCTATGAAATATAATTACTGTGACGCCCAATCAAGAGCCTACTCGTAAAAAAAACCCTAGGTCTCCTTTAAGTTAATTAGTGACAAATCTCAGATTGGTCATCATTGACTAAGTATTTTTTTTTACAGTCCCTTTATCGAGAGCCTACTCATAAAAATAAATTAGGCCACTTAAAATTAATTAGTGACACCTCTCAGATTTGTCATCATTGACTAAGTATTTATGTTTTTACATGTATGTAATGTCGCTTTATATTGTATATTGTATAATTGTTTGATAATGACTAATAGTAAACAGTACTTGTATTCCATACGACAGTGATTCTCAACCAGGTGCGCCGCGAAATTTTGAACAGCACACTAAGAAAATGCGAAAAGCCATTCACTGGTGTCTACTGATAAGTTCATAGCTGTGTTTTCCTTTATTTAGTTTGAGTCATTCGATGTTACTTTGACTAGTCTGTGTCTACGGTTCAGATATTTTTCAAATGTATTTAGCCAGGTGTACCACTATTTTGTCATGTTTTCCAAGGTGTGCCGTTGCCAAAAAAAGGTTGAGAACCACTGCAGTAGGATTTTGTCCTGTGTACCGTATCCATAGACTGCTTCATTTTATTGTCAATATTTATAAGAAGCTTCATGTTTGTTTTCTTTCCTACATACTGTAATATAATTGTAATAGTTATATGTTACGAAATCAGTGGACTTCAAACGAATAAGAACTATTAAGATCACTGATTTTATTAAGGATTGATTTTTGTAATAGTTTACTCCCTGGAATCCCACAAGCACTTCTAGCCAAGATCCAGAAAGGTCTTAATACTGCACCCCGAATAGTAACAAGGACACATAAGTTTGATCACATCCAGAATGTGCTAGCTGCGTTACACTGGTTACCTGCTGAGGTGCGAGTCAGATACATAATACTAACATAACTGTATAAATGTCGCAATAATGCAGTTCCTCATTACTTATCTGAAGTCTTATATGACTACAACCCTATTAGATCACTTCGCTCTCAAAATAAACAGTCACTAGTTGTTTCAAGATGTAATTTAAAGTCATATGGGTATAGGTCTTTTAGTTCAGCTGGTCCTAGATTATGGAACAAACTTCCACAACAGATCAAGAATTAACAGACTTTTAATCAATTTAAATCCGCACTAAAGACTTTACTGTTATTATTATTATTATTATTATTATGTGATCGATAAATCTTGATTTAGACTAATAACCAATCTACTGGATTATTTTTTTTCAGAATGTTGAAAATGGTGTTTTGAAGAAATTTTGTCCTCATCACTTAGTAAGTACAGGATTCATTTAATTACACTGTAGAAGTTCTTTTATTTCATCCAGTTGTTCAAGGAGCAATCGTGCCAAGTTTCATGTCAATCTTACTTCAATTGACGGAACCATAGGCATTTTGCGATGATGCCCATCCACAAGAACAACAAGAAGGGCTTGGGGAAAAGTGCTAGTCCAGAAATACCTTGTCAATCTGCAGTAAACAAAGTTCATCAAACATTATTCAGCTGGCAAACTAATGATGTGTATCTTAGTGGTTGTGATGACTGTATATGTTTTTACACAATTCGCACCTGTCAGGAGACAGTTGCTGAGGTTCTGACAAGGAAACGTGTAATGAAAAGCAAAGGTCAGCTGTGCGTCTGTAAAAGAACTCTTGCCAGTTGTAGTTCTAATTTAAATATGTGACCCGCTCCCACGAAACCAGGCTCTTGGTCATTTTTATTAAAATAAAGCTGGCGGCATATTTGAATAGTCCACGGCCTAAGCTTTCCAAAAATGCAAATCTTTTTAAATTTGTCGTTGAGTTGAGTTCGGCTCACTCACAGCAACAAAAAGGCATACAGTTTATGCTTTTGTGCCCGTAGTACAAAATTAAGTTGTGCGACAAGCGCCTGGTTTCGTGGGAGTGGGTCACATATGGAAATGCTGCTTTCTGCATAAAATTATCTCCCTTGCATTGCACATGTAAAGAGTTATTTCATATTATTTATTATGTCTATATCTATATTACCTGTGTTTATATTATCTATAATATATACAACAAATGTTACCTGTTTATATTACAGGTACATAGTACAACTAAAGCTAATATTACCTGTGCTTGTTATAATTACAATGGAACAGGTAAATTATGTATTTCAAACTTTACCTCAGGATTTTCCAGCATGGATCCCCCTGTCAGTGATGCAGGATGGAGAGCCTGGCAAGGACAGTGTCTAGTTGTTCGGATGGTACAAAAAACAAGGTCACATGTACACATTGGTGTGCACATAAAATAACCCTTGACAGTTGGAATTTGAATAAGAGTAAAGCGTAGCGCAGCTGTCCCGAGCAAAATTCCCCACATAGCACACTTTATGGTGTATGCCCATCTTCATAAAGTGCAGTCAGTGCCAGGGGGGGGGGGGGGGAATTATGCCTGCTCGTAAGGTCTGTCATTGAGTCAAGTGGCATGGTTTCGATTCCCAGCCTGTATATGACAAGTAATAGGGTCGCCTGTCCAACTTTGTGGGTTTTCTCTGGGTCCTCCGGTTTCCTGCCACTGCTAAAGACCCCTGCATACCAGCGAATTATTGAAATAAAATTAAACCATGTGTTAGTACCAAAATATGGCCTAGTTGACACATCACTCAGTAATAAGCAGTAATTGTATACCATAGAATTGTGACCTGTGTATTCCAGTTCAATTACTAAATGCCATCTAAATAATTTTTTGTAGAAGTATTAGGATCGTATAATGATGAAGATATATATTTATTCGACAATCGAAATTCAGATGGTGCAGAACACATCCACAGATACAGCGGTCATCGCAATAATGCAACAGGTAATTGATTACCACGTTACCATGGAAACACATTTATCTTAGTTTATAGTATATACAATTATTATTATGAAGCATATGTCATAAACTGGGGGGGTTGGATGGCCGAATGGTTAGCACGTGCGCGCTATATCATACGGTCTGTCATTGAGTCAACTGGCGTGGTTTTGATTCCCCGGTTGTACGTGACAAGGAGTAGGGTCGCCTGCTCAACCTCATGGGTTTTCTCCTACTTCTAAAGACCCCTAAACGCAAGCCAATTATTGAAATAAAATTGAACCATATGTTAGTCGCCAAATGACCTTGTTTGTGTCCACGTTAAATCCTCTCTCTCTCTCTCTCTCTCTCTCTCTCTCTCTCATGCAATAATTCTCCTATGAAAATTCTTTGTATGTCTATGTGGATATATCTGATTTTGTTTATTTCAGTAAAAGGTGTGAATTTTTATGGGCCTCGAAGTGAATTTATTGTGAGTGGTAGTGATTGTGGATATGTTTATTTATGGGATAAAGAAACTGAGAATATTGTACAGTTTTTGAAAGGTGATGAAGGTGGTGTGGTAAGTATGCAAAAAGTTTCTGATAATTTTAATATGTCTTTGATAACTGTTTTTTTATTTACCGGGAGTGAGTAAGACATATTAGACCGGAGGCTCAGCGCGGGGGGGGGTGTCCATCAAATGGGCACAAAACCAGACCCAACTTTTCTAGAGTAAAATTTTGTGTAGAATACGATGCCGAGTGGTAATCAGTCCGCCATTGGGGCGTTTTCGAGATATTCGGGGTCAAAGGTCAAATGGGTTCATTTGCACTGAAAGTGAATGTGCAGTCATTCAATTGTTTTTCAGATAACTAGTATCATTATGTATAACAATCGTTGTGAAAATAAATTGGAGAGATTTCTATTTGACTGTTTATACATATTTTTGAAACAGGCTCCGAAGCGTTTTGGTTCTGTTATGCAAGATTATTTTCGACGTTCCAAAGTAAAAGTTCGATGCTAAGACCACCTAAAGATAAATTTTAAATGTTCCTATTATTAATTAGAACAGGTTTTGCTTTAGTATTTATATTTTACGCTGACATTTTATTACTTTAAATCTTCCTAGTGCAAAAACGGTAAATTTCACCTTTTGACCTTCAGGGTCACTAAGACTAAAGGTGAATTTAGCAAGTTTACATTTTTATTGAAAGTGTGATTACTTTCGATCGTTTTCAGCTTATTTTCATGATACAAGAATGACCGCACATTCACTTTCAGTGCAAATGAACCCATTTGACCTTTGACCCCGAATATCTCGGAAAGGCCCCAACGGCGGACTGATTACCACTCAGCATCTTATTCTACGCAAAATTTTACTCTAGAAAAGTTGAGTCTGGTTTTGTGCCCATTTGATGGACCCCCCTTCCCCGCGCTGAGCCTCCAGACTATATTGTTATGATATATTGTTACCAGTGGTATATTGTTACCAGTGGTATATTGTTACCAGTGATATATGATATATTGTTACCAGTGGTATATTATATATTGTTACCATCGATATATTGTTACTAGTGGTATATGATATGTTGTTACCTGTGATATATATGATATATTATATATTTTGTAGATTAATGTATTGGAGCCCCATCCGTTTGCACCTATATTAGCTACCAGTGGTTTGGATCATGATGTAAAGATCTGGTCTCCGACTGCTGTTGATGCTACAGACCTTACAGGTCTTAAAAAGGTTAGTCTGTCACTCTTTCTCCACGGAACATACAGGCCTTAAAAAGAAGTTTGTCTCTCTCTTTTGCCACAGAACTTACAGGCCTGAAAAATAAGTTAGTCTCTCTCAGTCTCTATGGAACTTACAGATGAATGTACAAGTAATTAATAAGTTCATCTATTTTAGGATTGAGGCTATAAATAGTCTTGGGGGGTAGGATGGCCGAATGTTTAGTGCGTGGGCGCTGTATCATAAGGTCTGTCATTGAGTCAAATGGCGCAGTTTTGATTCCCCAGTTTTTTGTGACAAGGTGTAGGGTCGTCTGTCTAATCTCGTGCGTTTTGTCCGGGTTATCCGGTTTCCTCCAACTGCTAAAGACCCCCAGGCAAGTGAATTATTGAAGTGAAATTGAACCATGTGTTAGTCCCGAAATGACCTTATTTGTGTCGAGTGGACGTTAAACCCCATCATTATAAAATATATTATATTTTTTATATGTCCACATTGAAATGTGGTAGTATTTCGTTGTCCACCCCTTCGGTCCATCAGATTGACTTTAAATTTATACACAGTGTTTAAGGTACATCTATTCGTTACCGACAAAAGAATGAATATATGACAACCCTTGTGGACAGCTTGGACGATTTAGCACACTGTATGGCATATGCCCATCTTCATTAGCTGAGTTCGGAGCAGAACAGTAGGACGTTAAACCCCATTTCATTTCATTTCATTTCATTTCATTTCTGTAGAATGTAAAACGAAATCGTAAAGAGAGAGAAGAAGAACGATCAGAAGAACCAGAGATGATAGATGGTCAGATGTTGTGGTTAGTCATGCATCATTTCAGACGGTCAGCTCGTAGACAGGTCAGTTATTACTCTTATCGTGTATAAACTTCCTCATCTTTTTGAAAGTCATTTTAGTTTACTTGGCTTTTTACTACATTTCACAAAAATGGCTATTTATAAAAGGTTTTCTTGTAACATATAGTCAATCATGACTCACACAAGTACATGTATGATACAATGTTTGGGAAATATCCCCCCCCCCCTTTTTTCTTATTGTTTCCCTTATTGTTAGTTACTTTCCATTTTGAGTGACGACTATAAGGAGGTGCTCAATTGTCAGTTCGGAGCGTCCTTAATTGACAGAATTGCAATCAATTGATACAGAATTCAGCCCTGTCACAGTTCCGCCCATCCCAACAGCTGCGGTGGAGTGAGTAGAATCGTGACGTATTTTAAGTCACAAATATGTTTCAGCTGTCATGATTGGTTGAGATATTTTTTATGCAGTCGGCACATGTGTTGTACACCGAAATTCTCCTTTTCCCCTATCACTACAGGTCCAGGACTGTACAGCGCATTGGATCAGAAGGTCTGTCATTGAGTCAAGTGGCTTAGTTTCGATTCCCTGCTTGTACGTGACAAAGAGTAGGATTGCCTAACCATCCTCCATTTTCCTCCCAGTGCTAAAGACACCTAGATGCAAGCGAATTGCTGAAATAAAGTTGAACCATATGTTAGCCCCGAAATGACCTAGTTTGTGTAGAGTGGACGTTAAACCCTATTTCTCACACGCCCTTTTGTAACTTGTCAGGCCCTCCGTCGTGCACCACTGACAAAGGGAAACAACACTGAAAAATCCTGGGGAACTTTCTCATTCAACATCAAACCCGGGACCGTCTGGTGAGCCACGACAGATTCTTTAAAATGTTTAATTTACTTTTATAGTTACGTCAGGAAGGTGGCGAGGTCTCAAGTTCCAGCGAAAACATGGATTCTGATAGCCAAGAGTCAGAAGAGGAAGCAGACAGATTACAGTGTGCTCCATCATAAATTAAACTGAGGCTGTTTATTACCAGAAAGAGGCCGTTGTCTGAAAGATATCCTCATATAAATTATCAAAGCAATGAACTTGATCAGAGAGCTTTTTTATTTTACTGTTAAATCAAGTTTTTACTTCACTAGAAGTTTAAAACATTCTAGACTATGCAGTTTAATGTCTTGGATCACATAATAAGACAGGGAGATACACTGTAATCCAGGTATCATTTAAACTTGTGTATCTAGCACTAATTTCTTTCACATTCGTTTAATATCAAATCTTTATTTGAAAATTCGTAAAAATCATTTAAAATCACCATAAATCGTTTAATTTGTACTTGTGTCCTGTTTAAAGCTGACCATTTAATTTTGATAATGAGATGAGTGTCCAATTTACAAGCATTTAATTTCTCAATCACTGTTAAATAATAAACAACCCAATTGATTAATGATGTATAATGATTAATTTTTGAACAGTGGTCAGGAAATTAAATACAGTAGAATCTGTATGAGCAGCCACTCCTATTCAGCGACATCTCCTTGTAAGCGGTCACGATAAATTCCCCCCGTAGAAATTCTATTGTTTCATCTCTTTATTCAACGGTCACCTCTCTAACGCGGCCAGCGGTCACGATTTTACTAATAAATTCAACAAAACATCGCCCATTCAACGGCCATTGTTGAATGATACCATCTTGTCGTTCTTTGTAACACCAACGCTAATCCCGTGAGTAGTAGTTAATTAACTGGACCCCCACTGATCAGGTAAAAAGAAATATAAAATAACAATCAACCCTGGATTATCTGTTAATTAATCTTTTGTTTTATTAAACGACTAACCTGATCATTGTTTTCACGCGTAACGACACATTATTTGATAGTGATTGAATAAAATAAAAGTACCGAATTTTGTCACAATCATCTAGTATCTCTTTTCCATTGCCACTTTATTGTTTTAACAACAGACGTTTTAGCGCCTCCTATAATATTACATACAGAGTTACACCCCCTGTAAATAGGTGATAAAATTAGCGATGTTTTTTGTGCATGTGCCTTTTTGATAAAATAAAATTAATTCATCGATTTTCTTCACAAAAATGGATAAATATTATCAAATACATCACAATGGTAGGCAGTAGTATCGAAGGTTGGTACAAAATGACAAGTATACAGAAGTTATGTCCGAGATTTGAGTAAGGAATTTTCGTTCGGCGCAAGATTCAGCGACGGTCAAATTTACCGCTTCCAATGCATTCAAGCGTAATATTTAATTTATGTCAGCACATTGAGCACCAAGATTTTATTAAGAGGCCACTCCCGTTAAGTTATGTCCGAGATTTGAATGAAGAATTTTCGTTCGGCGCAAGATTCAGCGACGGTCAAATTTACCGCTTCCAATGCATCCAAGCGTAATATTTAATTTATGTCAGCACAAAAAGCAATGAGATTTTATTAAGAGGCCACTCCCGTTAAGCGGTCAGTTGTGAAAATTCCCTTGGGTGGCTGCTTAATGCAGATTCTACTGTACTTGTAAATTGGACACTCATTATCAAAATTAATCAGTCAGCTTTAAACTGGACACAAGTACAAATTAGATGATTTTGGGTGATTTTAAACAATTTTTACAAATTTTTAAACAAAGATTTGATATTATATGAATGTGAAAGAAATTAACGCTTGATACACAAGATTAAATGATACCTGGGTTACAGTGATATATGAAACCGGCTACAATCAAAAAAATCAACTAAATGACTGTATCTATTCTATAACACTTCTAGCAGGCTACAATCAGAAAAATAAACCAGAATGACTGGATCTGTTCTATAATACCTTTATGATACAGACTATAGTCAGGAAATCAACCAGAATGACTGGATCTGTTCTATAATACCTTTATGATACAGACTATAGTCAGGAAATCAACTAAATGACTGGATCTGTTCAGTAACACTTAAACTCGTTCACAAAGCATTCTCAAACTTAAGTTAAGAATTTACTCCAAATTGTTCACCTTATTTTAACTAAAATATAGCCCCTTTTAAAACTTTTGTTGTTTTAATGTATCAGATACATCAAAAAGAAATTATCTATGTGCAAAGTTTTGTTTTTCTGGATCAAAGATATTTCTCATAAACAGTGATTGAAAGTTGAGTAAAGTTAAGTCTAATGGATGCTTTGTGAAACCGGGGTCTGCTTTGTGAAACCGGGACCTGATCATTAAATTCATATCACTGATTTGAAACAAAAATCATTTGGATAGAGTTCTTCTGTAGTGTTTCTAATCTTTATATGATGTTTGAATTTTTCCTTCTTTTAAATGACTTCAGATGAATTAATTTCTTAAAAAAAGAGAATAAATGTCATACTTTTGATATAAAAAAAAAAAAATAACGAAACACTAAGTCAATATATTTATACGCAAAACCTTAAATGGGTTATAAAATTATTTTGGTAAAAATGTTAAATTGAAAATGTATTTTACCAATTAAGTCAGCTTACTAATTAATTAGGGAGCAGGACAATTGCCGGTTGGGCAACTGCCGGCAATTGCCAACCAGCAGTTGTTCGTTGACAATTGTCCAACTGGCAGTTGTTCGCTGGCAATTGTCCAACCGGCAGTTGTTTGTCGGCAATTGTCCAACCGGCAGTTGTTTGTCGGCAATTGTCCAACCGGTAGTTGTTCGCCAGCAATTGTCCAACCGGCAGTTGTTCGTCGGCAATTGTCCAACCGGCAGTTTTCACTGGCAATTGTCTAACCGGCAGTTGTTTGCTGGCAGTTGTCCAACTGGCAGTTGTTCGCCGGCAATTGTCTAACCGGCAGTTGTTTGCCGGCAATTCTCCTAGACCCATTTATTATCCTTAAATAACACAATCCATCCAATGAATAAATTCTTTGTAACTTAAATTATGTAATTGTAATTCTGAACATATTGTATTAAAATACCACAGAAATTTTGTTAAAACTGTGGTCATTTATATTAAACATACATTACGCATCTTATATGTCGGATTTTCATTTGATTTCAATCCAATCTGCTGCTCAACACTCATTGATGATTAAATCCAAATATGGATAATCGAGACTATGTTTTTTTATTGTACAGACTTTAGTAATGATGATAAAGGCTAGGCCTAAAATTCAATCGCTTAATTCTCGGTTTAGAGTGGAGCAATTTGACTGAAATTTTCAGCATATTCCCTTCAGTCAGATTACTTCACTTTGAATCCAGAAATACTCATTTCAATAACACTGTAGCCTTGATTGTCTTTTTTACCGTTGTTCCGATAACAAACAATGTTTTGATTATCAAGTTTTATGGTTAATGATCAACCACCGTTAAACAGCAGATTGGATTCAAATTTGTTGAAAATCGGACCCATAAGATGGCACCGAGAGTTGATTATGGTCTTGTCATGTTAATAAATGTCTAATTAATAGTTTATATAACATTTAAGGCCTAAAGAAAGACCTGCAATAGGCAAAATAAACCTCTTGAGTAATACCATCTTGCTATAAAGATATCTGGATCAAGTTTACAATGTCCCAGAAAGACCTGCAATAGACAAATTTAACTCTTGTATAATGTATTGTTTAAATAATCTGAGAGGTAGTGTTTTTACTTTTTTGTTAATATACAAGAAGCAATTCTGTCGTGACCTGTTTCACATTAATTTCAATACGTATTTATGTTGACTTGAAAAATAGGAGGGGGGGGTGGATGGCTGAATGGTTAGCGTGCGCGCGCTGTATCATGAAGTCTGTCATTGAGTCGACTGGCGTGGTTTCGAATCCCCGGTTGTACGTGACAAGGAGTAGGGTCGGCTGTCCAACCTCGTGGGTTTTCTCCGGGTGCTCCGGTTTCCTCCCACTGCTAAAGACCCCTATGCGCAAGCGAATTGTTGAAATAAAATTAAACCATATGTTAGTCCCAAAATGACCTAGTTTGTGTCGAGTGGACGTTAAACCCCATTTCTCTCTCTCTCTCTGAAAAATAGGACGTTTGACCGTGTTTCAGTTTCACGTCGACAAGACACTCCTTGGATTGTCTGCCATGTTAATTTCTTGTTTTACAATGTTGATTAGTTTATATACGGTTGTAGTCGGTATAATTGGCAGAGAAATTAGTTGTAAGTAAAAATAATGCGATAATCACGTTAAATAGAGTGCTTTCAATATCACAGGGGTCTGTACCTAATGATTGAGAATTATCAATGGGTCCTTGTGGCTTTTAATGAATTTAAACGAAAATAAAATTGTCTTTTGTTGTCCATGATTGTGGAGACCAATTTGTTGATGTGAAGGACTTTTCCACTCGATTTGTTGATGTGAAGGACTTTTTCACTTGATTTGACATCAGGAAGGACTTTTTACTGAATTTAACATCTTGAGCATCTGTTGTGTGCTCTTTGTTGAGCGGTTAATTCTTCGTTGTTCATTAGACCTACTCAAAATCAATCTGTTCAGATCCCTGGTGATGGAAATAATAAAGATCGGCGTACATCAACACGATGACTTGGAGTAACGCACCTGATAGATTGTAGCCGATCTACGTGTTCGACAACTGGTTGTCAACATTGTCACAGGTACATAGACATCAACCGGCAACTGGTTGTATCCTCTCAGTTGCACCAAGTTGCTCCCAGTTGCTGGTGCACCGTTATATCCAGATGCAAGTGTTGATGCCCCCAGTGGCTGGCACACCATTATCTCCATTTGCAAGTGTTGATGCACCCAGTCGCTCCCAGTTGCCGGCGCACCGTTATCTCAAGTTTCAAGTGTTGATGTACGCCAGGCTTACCATGATATAAATAATTGAAGTTAAATTTATTATTTAATATATAATGTAGATATGTGAATGTTTTTGTCCATGTTGTATATAAACCTTCCCTTGTTTGAACTTTTTAAAGAAATAGTTATTTGTGTATTTTGTTTGTGTGAATATTATAAGAAATATTTAATTAACTAATGTTTGCAACATTCTTCGGTGTGGTGTGAAGTAAGATTCTAAATCGACGCAAAAAAACAAAAAACAAATTGAAAAATATTTTAAATGTCTGTTACCTTTGTCCGTTATGGAGTATGCCGGGGTGAATCAGAGCGGAAGTGAGTATTCAAGATAAATTTGCAACATTCTTCGGTGTGCTGTGAAATAAGATTCTAAATTGACACAAAAAAACTTGAATTGAAAAATATTTTAAATGTCTGCTACCTTTATCTGTTATGGCGTATGCCAGGGGTGAAGCAGGGCAGAAGTGATTATGCAAGATAAATTTGACAAGGAGTAGGGTTGCCTTTCCAACCTCGTGTCCTTTTTCCAGGTCCTGCGGTTTCCTCCCACTGCTAGAGGCCCCTACGCGCAAGCGAATTATTGAAATAAAATTAAACCATATGTTAGTCCCGAAATGACCTAGTTTGTGTCGAGTGGACGTTAAACCCCATTTCTCTCTCTCTCTATCTCTCTCTCAAGATAAATTTGCAACCATTTACAACATAATCTTCGGCTTTATCACAGTTCTTTCACAGATTCATTTCAAATTTGCATGGATTGTTCGTAAGGAAGAACTCTATGGATAAATAAAATACAGAGTTATCTCCCAGTTTACGGCAATCATGAAAGCTTGTGAATTCTATACTGGACAGATGCCTTGTAAATTTTAGAGTTATTTTCAAATTAACAATGTGCTTAGTACAGACGACTTTACTACTACTGTTGGGTTTATTATTAAAAGGCCAGACAAGTACTTGTTTAGTTTTATAACAGCAAGTGTAAGACACAGCCAGATTAAGGGGTGGGGGTGACTAGAAAACAGCCAGATTAAGGGGTGGGGGTGACTAGAAAACAGCCAGGGTTCTAATATTAAAGGGATCCCCAAATTAGTTCTAAAAAACATTTTCTACCATTACTAACCAGATTAAGGCGGGGAAGAGGGGAGAGGCTGACATAGACTAACTAGACTGGAGCCAGGGTTCTAAAAAGGGATCCCCAAATTAGTTCTAGAAAATATTTTCTACCATTACTAACTGTCATATGTTATGGTAGAATTTAGCTAGAGTGACATACAATTTTCACGATACGGTAAAGCAACAAGGTAGCATTCACCGGAATATGGCCCATTTTCATTGTTGAAGCAAGGGCCCTAGTGACATTTTCAGCCCAAGGTCCCATGCAAGCTTAATCTGACCTTGATGTAAGGTATTGTGCAGACGGTAGCCCTGAAAATATAAAAGTTGTTTACATACTTACATAAGTAAATAGGCATGTCTGTTGACAAAAACAAACAGGGAGGTGAATACTTTCCTTATCCAGTCTAGGTTGCTTCATCTGGCCGGGGCGGTGGATGGCTGAATGGTTATCATGTGCGCGCTGTATCAAAAGGTCTGCTTTCGATTCCCCGGTTGTATGTGACAAGGAGTAGGGTCGTCTGTCCAACCTCGTGGGTTTTCACCAGGTCCTCTGGTTTCCTCCCACTGCTAAAGACCCCTACGCACAAACGAATTATTGAAATAAAATTGAACCATATGTTAGTCCCGAAATGACCTTGTTTGTGTCGAGTGGACGTTAAACGCCATATCTCTCTTGCTTCAACTGACAGTCATCTTTATTTATGTCCTGTCTACTGAGTATAATTTGCACGTTGGTAAATGTGGTCTGAACCCTGTTTTCACAAATATTTTGAATTGCCAAAGCCAGAACTATATTATATATTTTCCAACAAAAGCTATCACCAAATATTACGCAAATCGAATAAAGAGAAAGAAAAGGCAGATAATGTAATACGAATTAACATGTATTCTAATTATGTGTGATAATCTAGTTCTTTATAGGTGGTCCAACAAAAGTTCTCACCAAATATTACACAAGCAAAGGGCAGATAACTTATTGTTTGAAATTTAATATGTATATTATAATAATGTGTACCACAAGAAAGGGCAGATAACTCATTGTTTGAAATTTAATATGTATATTATTATGTGTGTACATTAATTATTATGGTTTTTTTGAAGAGTAAATGTAGATGTTTGACTGACTGGTAGTATGAATGGTAAATGCAAATTAAATTCAGTAGAAATACTAAAAAAAAAATTATTATAATAATGCCGGTAATATTGAGAAAAAATTATGGGCATTGAGAATTTAATCCGATCTATTATACATAACAAGAGAATTAAAACTTTTATTGGAATATATTGAAAATGTTTCGTTTTGTATACCAGGAGTCCGAGAAGCAGTTTTGATTAGAAAAGGCAGCAGTTACAGTAGTAAGTGTAGGAAGGGACTGTCAACTGGCGTGGTTTCGATTCCCCGGTTGTACATGACAAGGAATAGGGTTGCCTGTCCAACTTCGTGGGTTTTCTCTGGGTCCTCCGGATTCCTCCCACTGCTAAATACCCCTATGCACAAGTGAATTATTGAAATAAAATTTAATCACCATGTGTTAGTCCTGAAATGACCTAGTTTACGTAGAGTGGACGTTCAACCCCTATCTCTCTCACTGTTTTATACCATACCCCTCGACATGAAATACATATTGGGGGGGGGGCAGTTGGCAGGCCCATAATTGGCTTGTGCTTGAGACAGCTTTTAAGCTAATGAACACATATTTGCTAATTATTGGGGAAGGGGACTGAAGCCTCCACGGTTGTATAGATAAATACTTTCCAGTCCTCCAAGGGATTAGAAAATTTCCCCCCAAAATGTTTCCTTTTTGTCTGGTTGTAACTTATTGACATCGCTGAGATCACACAACAGCCAGAAGATCAAACAAATCGTTGTCACTGATGTTGTCAGATAGCTGTTGAATTATCGAGTCGTTCAGATATTGAGATTATACGTTTCTCGATAATCTCTTACCTCCAGTTGATTTACCTGATAAAAACGGAGTGGTCTGCCACATGCTCTGTAATGGGTGTGATACCAGATTGGTACACGATAAAAGAGTAGGGTTGTATGCCAAAATTCATGGGTTTCCTTCCCTTTCTAAAGTCCCTGTGCACAAGCAAATTATATTATTTTGGTCCCAAAATTACCTAGCATGTGTCAAGTTTATTACTATTTCTAGAATCTTTTAGAGAATGTCTTGGGTCTTGGGTTCTGCATTCAAATTCTGGTGCATGCAGAGAAGAATCTTCAAGACTTTACAATCCAGGATCTTCTCTTTCTGGCAGTGCATACACAGCATAACTTCAGTAACTTCACTAGCCAGGACCATTTTAAAACCCAATCAGAACCCATGAACATTGAAAAAAAAAACCAAGAAATTATTTTAGAATTTATTTATTGTAATTTTTAACAAAATCACCACATCATTATTCTCTATCAACCAGTCATTCCAACGCATAAATACTCTCTATACAATATGAAAAAACAAGAGGCTGGATAATCTATTAAACATATCATCCATTTGTCTAATTTATTGTGTATGACAGCTAAAAAAAAATGTAAATGAATATGATTAAATATAAAAGTAAAATGGATAATGATTTTTACACAGATTACTATAGATACATAATGGTACAATAGACTTGATCATACTGGTACAATAAACATCGGACTTGATCATACCAGTATAATATATAAATAGACTTGATCATACCGGTACAATAGATATAGACTTGATCATACTAGTACAATAGATAAAGACTCCTCAAGAGATGTTTATATACAATGCTACCACAGATGTAACTGTTCTACAAAGTGAACGCAGTGATCACATTTGATTGATTAACAATTATTGAATGAAGTCATTTAGCCTTGAAATCAAATATTTGTGTGAACACTCCCATATATATAGTCATATTGGAACCGTCGCATTCCAACAAATATCCCACTTATAGATCTCGACCCGGCCAACAGAGCAATGAGGTATTTACAGAGATGGAATTTGATGCGAGTTTAAGACAAAAGAATCAACATTTAATATAAAATTTTCTATCTAAGGTGTCGTTCAACCCATCCACCACCCAGTTCTGCAGGTTAGTCAATTGGATGCAAGTATTTAATATTTTTGGGGTAGTGGTATATAATATGTATATCTGGCCAGGTTTTTGGATATTTAACAGTAGTGGTATATAATATGTATATCTGGCCAGGTTTTTGATATTTAACAGTAGTGGTATATAATATGTATATCTGGCCAGGTTTTTGATATTTAACAGTATTGGTATATAATATGTATATCTGACCAGGTTTTTGATATTTAACAGTAGTGGTATATAATATGTATATCTGGCCAGGTTTTGGATATTTAACAGTAGTGATATATAATCAATCCGATTAAAACACTGATCCTATTTCATTTCGTTTTTATAGTTCAAAATTTCGTTTTACTTGTCTTTATTACACTAGGATCTGCCAGAGTTGTTATATAACCCGAGTTCTGGATGATGTGGGGGATTAGCCAACGAAATGGTTTGTTACGGCCAGTTTTTGGCGTGAGTTGCACGAAACCATGAGTAACCCACTAGAAACATCACTGCTGATTGGTTAATCAAATGTCTGACGTCATAGGGGCAGATATTCATGTAGTAGAGGCCATCGAAAGTATAAAAAAAACGAAACGAAATATAGATCTGTATTTTAGTCAGATCAGTATATAATGCATATAAATTAACATCTCTTTGATAAAACATGTTTTAAAGTCAAGTTATCTGGCCAGGGTTTAGCTACTTAACAGTTGTGGCATATAAAACATATAAATTAAGATCTCTTTGATTAAATCAATCTCCAAAGCCGAGTTGTCTAGCCCCGGTTTTAGTAGTATGAATTTTGTAACTGCGCAGGAATACGAAGATACATCTGTAGTGTGATGAGGCCACCACACAGGGTAAATAAAGTTTTAGCGATCAACAGCATCCAAGATCCCAGACCAACAGCATGGATTAAAATTCTGAAAAAAATATAAGATGTTGAAGAAGTTATATAATACATTATGGTTAATACAGTAGAGAGAGAGAGAAAGACAGAGAGAGGGAGGGGGGTCTTTAGCAGTGGGAGGAAACCGGAGGACCTGGAGAAAACTCCTTGTCACATACAATCGGGGAACCGAAACCATGCCAGTTGACTCAATGACAGACCCTCAGATACAAAGTATGTGCTAAAGACCCTCTACACGCAAGCGAATTATTTAAATAAAAATGAACCATATATTAGTCCCAAAATGACCTAGTTTGTGTCGAGTGGACCTTAAACCCCATTTCTCCCTCATATTTGTTTCAAAAGTTTAAGAAGAAATAATTTTTGGTCTACACTGTAAGCTACTGTGGAACATACAGTCTCAATTTTTATCTTAGATTTATCTTACACAAAACAAATGAAAATATAAAATCCAATGAAATCATCAATATTATTTTGAACCTAAATAGAAAAAAGGTCCATTTGTAAGTGATTAAGAGTGTAATCAAACTACAGAATATAAGATGGAACTAATTCTACAATAAGGTCAGTTTAAACATGGTTAAAAGTAGAATTTTAGTGTGAGATATAAGATGGAACTTACTCTACAATAAGAGGTCTATAACAGCCGAGAACCAAAAGACTAGCAATGACAGGAAACATAGATTTATTTACATCATTTCTACTGTATAACCACACTAACATGGCTGTACTAATATGATGCACCTACAATACAACACAAATATATACATGTAAACATGTTGACTTCCATTAAATTAAACATATATTATGCAATAGCTAAATCTGCCATTTCAGGTCTTCTTTAGACCTGAAATGTTATATAAACTATTAATTAGACATTCAAAATTTATTAACATGAAAAAACCGTAATTAACTCTCGATGCCATCTTACATGTATGTGTTGGATTTTCACTGGATGGGAATCTGATCTGCTGCTCAACGCTCATGATGATTAAATTCAAAAATGGATAATCAAGACTTTAGTAATGATGATTAAGGATAGGCCTAAAATGTAATTGCTAAAACAAACCCCTAACCCCCATTCAATTTCACTTTATTAGTGTACTTCAGCAGAAGAAGGCTAACATCAATAGACGAGATGTTCAAGCCAGAAGAATATACCTTATTATTGAACAACCTGATTGAACCAGTAGGTTACTAATACACAAGACATTTAACAGTTCACTTACCAAACTAACATTAGAATCAAAACTCATCTGAACATATTTCCAATCAAACTCAACACCACGAGCTCCAACCCATAGTGGTATAACCCTGTTAATATGAAAAACACATAATTAATTTAATACTGATACTTGATATATATATACACATGCCGCACAACCCATAACCAGGGTTCTTAATCCATTTTGAAACGAATCGACCAGAAATGGGGTAAATATAAGCTGCCAATCCCTTTAATATAACGAGAATTCCACAAAAATAATTCTTGGAAAGTTTAGGTACGTTCTTCTGATGGCCCTTATTTTATTTCAATTGAAATCCAAGTCAGGTGACTAATATTTTGTTTTGGTTTCTAAATTAGATGTTAAATAATGAATATTTTAGAAAATCCCTACTGAACATCGGATAACAATTTTCTAATCAACATAAGGTTTTTTTTCCCAGTCTAATGAAAACATCTTCAAGTGTTTGTATGATTTTATAAAACATATAGATTATAGTAAAACATGTAGAAAATATCAAAACAATAAAATTAAAATACGATAGAAACATTATTTTGATATAATGTGGGCGTATAGCAACATAAGACACTATTTGTTCTCACCTGGTCATTATAAGTTCTGATGTGGCCCAACCCATTCCAGCAACCATGAATTTTAGTTGACTTTTACCTGCTATTCTTGTCATAATCAAATGGAGACCAAGTAGATCAGCAAAATCCACTGTACATTTTAAAAATTCCTAAAAATAGAAATAAAATATTGTATTTGTTAATCAAACATAAAGTCATGCAGTTGATGTCTACACTCAATGGATTTGTACAACAGTTTTTGAGTTAACATTTATAAAGAACAGGAAGAGAAAAAGAGGGAGAGATGGGGTCTAACATCCACTCAACACAAACTAGGTCATTTCGGAAATCGGAATTAACATATGGTTCAATTTTATTTCAATAGTTTGCTTGCGCATGGGGGTCTTTAGTAGTGGGGGGAACCGGAGGACCCGGAGAAAACCCACAAGGTTGGAAGGCGACCCTACTCCCTGTCACATACAGCCAGAGAATTGAAACCACGCCAGTTGAGGAAGAGAAAACAAAACCTCAGAAACTATACCATGTACTTACTCCTGTAATATCCAAACTGTTTCCACCGGAATCTGTTGCTGGGAAAAACGTAGCCAAAACCATCATCTTACACAGTTGGGTAAATAAATAGGCACCACCCGCCTTCACACACTTCCAGAAGGCGTTGTACTCGGACCTGTTGACAATAAATACCGATTTCTATCATCATGTACACAATATAACAACCAACAGCGCCTTAGAAACTGTTCTTCAGTATTAACACACTTTATAAAAGACGATATTATTATTACTATAATTTAGCTTTATTTCAATGAAAGTCACAATCTGATTAAAACACAGATCTTAATTTGTTCCGTTTTCATAATTTCGTTTTACTTGTCTTTACAACACTAGGATATGGAAGAGTTGTTATATACATGTAACCTGTGTTATGGACGAAGTGAGGGATTAGCCTACGAAACGGTCTGCTACGGCAATTTGTTGGCGTATTGTGCACGGAACTGTGGGTAAACCACTAGAAATGTCAATGTTAATTGATTAATCAAATATCTGACGTCATGGGGTCATAAGCCACTTGTACGACCCCTGATGCGACCTTCCACTACAACTGGTCAGATATTCATTTAGTAGAGGTCATCAAAAGTATAGAAAAAAAGGAAACGAAATATAGATCTGTACTTTAAGATTGATTAAAGTCAGTACAACAATTAATCTTTGTTTAAATACAGATAACTAATATAACATAAAAGTACATTTATAATCAAAGTTGTTAACCTATCCCATTATTCCTGTCTGATTATATTTTGTATATTTCCCGTAAAATAACATGCACAGAATGTAGTTTAATCTATGGTGCACGAAATCCAATAAAAAAAAATTTCGGGTTGAAAATTTACACAAATAATGTTTAAATTTCGCAGTGATTATTGGGCCAGTTTCCATTGGAGGTCTGAATCAAAACTTTTTTTCATTTAACTTTTTATGGTGATTTATTTTATATGATTTTTACGAATTTTCAAACAAAGATTTGATATTAAATGAAAGTTGAAGAAATTAATGCTAATAAAATGATACCCATGTAACAGTGTATGATTCTGTGCACAGTTCACCATGCAACAACACTAGATAAAAGGACTAAATCTACAAATGTATTTGTTATAGCCAGCTCAATCTTCGTCAAGGTCGCTGAGATGTAAATTAGGTTTGGGCACATGATTGTTGACGAGATTATTGATTAGGGTTAGGTCCAGGGTTAGGGCTAGCCCTGTTTACATCTTGTGACCTTTGACCAAACTTGAAGTTGGCCTTGGCTTATCATCAAAAAGAATTATACAAATTATAGATCTAGATAAAAGTTAAAACAGATTATTTCGGCCAATATCATACGAAATTTATTTAAAATTTCTTCCAGATCAAACTAATTCTAATGAAAACAAATAAAACGAAATAGTTTATCTGATTTAATCCGATTGGAAAAATGTAAACGTTGCAGGAGTCCTCGCCCCCGGCAAGAACTGAAAACATCGACGACGGCGCTGTCATTCAGCAACACTAGAGGTTTCATCAAAACCAGTACATTCTCGACTATATTAGTTACATTCAATGTCTTCAATAAATTAGATGGTTACTTACAAACCCGAACACTTGTAGACAATAGCATAAGGAATATATGCCAAAGCTACACAGTTTCCGAAATGAAAAAAGGTCATTTTGCTAGCTTCTTCAGAAAAATCGGGACCGGGTTCTTTAAACCGGAAACGCTGCATGTGATTTCCGGTTAGCTCGGCACCAAATATATATTTTAATTCCAAAACAAATAGTAATTATTTAATTATGCCAATATATATTTTATACATTTTCTGAAAATCTAGCTATTTTATGAGAATACAAATTAGTAATTAATTAATTTATTTAGTTTTGCTTCGGCACAGTAAGAACTTCCTTGGAAACCAATTTTATTGTTATAGTAACGTGTGTTATGGTGGCTTGTCAGTGATAGAAATTATTTTATTTATGTGATAACTCGGAGCTGTCGAGCGTGACAGAATTAAAATCCAACATGAGTGTGAATTTTAGTGCAAATCAGGTAAAATATTCTGTCCCAATCCTTATGAAATTACTACTTGCAGGGGAATATTAGGCCTATAACTTATTAGGCTACTTATAACTTATAGGCCTATAGGAGTATAGCAGTAGCTAATTTATTACAATATAACTTCAACAATGAAGTAGGCCTAGAGTAGTAGTTCTACTACTACAAGGCCTACTAGCATAGTATTAAGCCTACTAGTATTACTAACTTTAAAAGTAACTACAGACAGTGCCGATACTAATCAACTAGAAGTAGAAGGAACGAGAGTTATATTGTGATTCGCAAGCGTTTGACAGATTTAGATTTAGATTAACTCATTTCGATTCTTTCTGTAACAAATGGCCTCAAGCTAATAAGGGTTCGAAATTCATAAACTAATTTTTAAATCACTACCACATAGGCTACATAATTCAACGGAAATACAATAGATGATATTTTGATATATTAAAATGTTGATGAACCATGGATTTTCTGGCATGCTTCCCCCTTGTCAGTGAAGCAGGACGGAGGGCCTGAGTGAAGGACAGCTGTCTAGTCGTTCGGATGGTACGAAAAACCAAGGTCCTGTGTACACATTGGCGTGCACGTAAAAAAGATCCCTTGACAGTTGGAATTCGATATAAGAGTAGGTCGTGGTGCCGCTGTCCGGACAAAATTTCCCTCATAGCACACTGTATGTTGTATGCCCGTCTTCATTAGCCCAGTAGGAGCAGAACAGTAGGACGTTAAACCCCTTTTCATTTATTATATACTTACCCGTGTGTTGGAAATCACCTCCCGTTTAATAAAATACATTGTACAACTAAATATTCCAAAAAGGTCTCTCTTGAAAAATTTGACGTATTTTCGACAGAGTGCAAGACAACATGGCTTTTGTCGCATGTTGGCCAAAACCAATGAAGCAGTTGTGGGGGTGATTTTTAATTTTGACAGAGAGTTTGACAACCACATCTTACAATCAAAACTTTAAGTCTGATCATTTTGGTTTGGGCAACAAAAAATATCAACTACCATTACCAAATCCACCAAATTTTATTCACAATGAAAATATCACTGATAGCACCTATTTGCGTAAAAATAAAGGCATATATAATAAACTAAACCTTTCCTACCATCTTTATATTATAACTAATTCAACATACAACATGAAGTTCACGTCCAAAGTTTCCGAGTGTGTGTGTTGTTATTTGTGTGATGAGTGGTTACATGTCTCATGTATTGGTGAGAGGCTGCAGGAAGGTGCAATATGTCATTGTTAATACTGTAAATATATTCCTTATAAAACATACATTATGCAAGAGCTAAATCTGCCTACTGTCGGTCTTTCTTTAGGCTTGAAACGTTATATGAACTATTAATTAGACATTTATTAACATGAAAAGACTTTAATCAACTCTCGATGCCATCTTACATGTTAGTTAGATTTTCACTGGATTTGAAACCGATTTGCAGCTCAACGCTCACTGATTATTAAATGCAAAAATGGATAATCAAGTCTATGTTTTTTTATCGTACCAACTTTAGTTGTGATGATCGAGGCTAGGCCTAAAATTCAATCGCTAATATCTTGGTTCAGAGTGGAGCAATTTGACTGAAATTTTCAGCATATTCCCTTTACATTATCTAGTTTTTAACTATTATAGTGCGAACTGCCAGCTATGCCCCTTTAACTACCTTTTAATTTATTGTAAGTACTGCTTATAACACCATCACCCCATGAAGTAAATTGTTTCAATGGCCTATATAGTAATTGATAATGACCCGAGAAGCCTAGTCGAAACGTCGCTCAGTAATAAGCAGTATTTGTATTCCATAGAATTGTGACCTGTACACCCCATAAAGTTTTATTTTATTTGTATTCTGTGAATAAAAAGAGTCATCTTGGTGTCAATTTCACTCGGTACACAAACTGGTTTCCATACTTATGGGGTATATTCTTCATGCTCTAAGACTAGTTAATGCAGGAGGACTGCACCACACACAATTACACAAAACAAAACTAGGGACAAGACACAATACGTAGAAATCACAAACGTACATATCAGATTAAGTGAATGGATCCGGGCTCTAGCCGTAAACGTCCACTGAGCTGTACATTCCTGAGCCTGTAGTGATACAGACTTCCCTCAAAATTGAAAGACAAACAATGAGGAATATAACCCAGAGAAAAACATTGTGTAATACTAGTAATTTTAGTAGTTATCTGCACCTTGTCGTTGACTCCCTAACCCTACTACCAACAAGAATATTTTACCAGTATTTGTATAATGTATCAATTTATTTACCAATATTATGATTGCAATGTATTAATTTTTCTTTTTAATTATTTTCAGTACGAGAAAGCATTTCATCCAACCTCTTTGCAGAACTGGGAAGTCCCCAAAGGATTTGGTCGAGTAAGTTTTATGTAGATTGCAACTTAATCAATTATAGGGGGTTGGATGGCCGAATGGTTAGCAGGTGCACGCTGTATCATAAGGTCTGTCATTGAGTCAACTGGCATGGTTTCGATTTGTACGTGACAAGGAGTAGGGTCACCAGTCCTACCTCGTGGGTTTTTTCCGGGTCCTCCGGTTTCCTTCCACTGCGAAAGACCCTACATGCAAGAAAATTATTGAAATAAAATTAAACCATTTGCTAGTGCCAAAATGACCTAGTTTGTGTGGAGTGGAGGTTTGACGTTGTGTGTGTGTCTCTCTCTCTCTTTCTCTCTCTCTCTCCCCCTTATTATTATGTACCATATAATTATAATCTTGGGAACAAAAAAAAATTCACCATAAGAATGACTCCATAAACTAATATATTTTATATTCAATATTTCTAAGTTACTAAATAATCACTCTTATTGGATTGATACATAGTCCAACAATGGAGAAGTACAGACTTCTGTTCAAGATTGGATTGATGAATTCTCCGATAAAGGATTAAAGTCAGTCAATCAAGGCAGATTTAGTAGTTAATCAAGGTAGATGTATAGCACGATAAATACACACGTTAAACACTTAATTACCCAATCAGTCCAGCCTATTATCATTGATAATTGGGTTGAGTGGTAGATATTAATTTTGAAATTTTGAATATTATTCACCATATCTTGATGTCCGATTGAACATATTATTCTTGGTCGGTCATTTTCAGACGTTTGGAAAATAGCATAGGACATGTCCAGAATATACGGGTAAAATCCCCACCCATGGATCCCTTCATCAGGATCCCATTGTGTCCATAGTAAATTCGGGGAACACATGAAATACCCCCTATGGAATGAAATTAATACATTTTTATTTACTATTCAATATTTTCCAGCATCCCAATGCTAAAGATGGGTCAACACGTGTCATATCTTCAGGTAAAGGTCATTTGTTACCAGGAGTGATGAGGTCAAGGAGTTCACCATGGGGAACATTTGTTGGAACATGGGATATGCCCACAAAAATACCAGGTATGAACACACACATTGAATCCAGGGCTCTTAAAAGGGCATTATGCAAAGGCTAAATCTGCCTATTGCAGGTCTTGCTTTAGGCCTAAAATGTTATCTAAATTATTGATTAGACATTAACTAACCTATCTAGACAATAATCAACTCTTGATGCCATCATTAGCCTGCGATATTTAGTGGATTTGAAAAATTTTGTGATGGATGATTTAACCTAAAACTGGATAATCAAGACTTTATTAACGTACCAACGGTAGTAATGACAATCAAGGCTAGCCTAAAATTGAATCACTAATATCTCGGATCAGATTGCAGCAATTTGACTGAAATTTTCAGCATATTCTGTTTTCATTATCTATTATAGCAAGAACTGTCAACACATTATCTAATCCCCCATAATGCCCCTTTAATGAATATAAACACTGTGTATATTCAAAGTTATCTGAATGTTAAGTTTGGCCTCTAGAGCCTTGTAAAAGATTAAAGAAAGGGCCGTGACGACCACATCAAACATACAGTGGTGACAACAATATACAATATGTAAAATGATTATTAATTATTTCTGAACACATTATCCTTCAAACTTTATTTTATCGCATGATGAGTAAGAAGTTTTAATTTGATTTTTCCAGGAAATACGATAACAAACCACACAGCTCGAGCCGAACATGCCCTGGAAAACCTCTACAGTATTAAAGCACATGGAGATTTAATCATGAGTGGAAAACTCAAAAACAGCAAGGTAAAATATAAAATAAAACAGTTTCTTCCTAATTTATTACCAGCCCAAGCCCTGTATTCTCCACCAGAAAGTGAAATGAAACGGGGGGTTAACGTCCTATTGTTCTGCTCCGAAACCAAGCTGGAGCCAACACTGGGGACGAACCCAGGACATCCTGGTTAGTCGGCCACAGCGGCTCCTTTGTTTTAGCTTACGACACAAATGGTTAGATCTATTTCATAAGGCTAACTTTATATTTGGTCAAAGGTCATGAGATGTAAACAGGGCTAGCGCTAATCCTAATCCTAGACCTAGCCCTCACCCTTACCCAAACCTACAGTCTCGCCAACAATCACGTGCCCTAACCTTATTTACATCTCGGCGACCTTGACAAAATCGTGATCTTACCTTCAGAAATAGATTTAGCCGACACGAGTTTTTGTGATTTGCATTAATTTATGAATTGTATATCAGCTGTGCGTCTAATTATTAATTCATATTTGTTCCAGGTACCCGATCCTTTACCAGTTAAAGCAGACGTCAATGCTTCACAACCGACGGCAAGAAGTCCTGAAATTCGCTCCGGTGCCAAAAACCCCATTCCTGATTCCACATTACCCAAGGCTGGATCCCCTAAACCAACATCACCATGCCAACAGATTACATCACCAGTTGCTAGTAACCATGGTGATAGTAATTGTAACAATGATAGTTCACGAAGAACCCCTATTGATTCCTCGAGAATTCCTGTACCACAGAATCTCGACTTTGTATAGACTAAAGACATGTTAAAAGAGTGGAGGTTAGAGGTCGTGTTGGAGAGGTTAAAGGTCGTGACGAATAATTAAGCACTATTTTATCACATTTTTAAATATATTACAAAAAACACACTATGAATGCAATATGAACCACACGTGTATTTAGTTGGCCTAATATCCCGATTTTTAAAGTTAATACTTCTTCCAATATTTGCCTAATATCCTGATATTAAATATTAATTCTTCGGCACTGATGGTATGTTAAATTAGACATGTTATATAATATATTGTATTGATGTTTAAAACATAGGCCTGCTTTAATTAATTCACAATCTTTAGTTGTCATGCTATATATATATATATATAGTATTGATGTTTAAAACATAGGCCGGCTATAATTAATTCACAATTTTTCCATAAATGTCCTGATTCTCAAGGTAATAATCAGTTTCACACACTTTTTACCTCAATATACTGCTTCCCACAATTTCCATAATATTCCATTTCTTGGCATGTTTTAAATAGTGAAGTTTCTTTTTATATCCCGATTTTCAAAATGAATACTGGGCAATATGTTTCCCCAATAATGATTGCAAGCGTCATCCCCTCTAAGCTACCGTAAAAAAAAACAAAACAAATTCATGCACACTGGTTACTAAATATTGGAGGGAAGTTATCGAGTCAGCATTAGATGTTATATCTTTTAGGACTGGGTGTTATTTCTATTTCAATTAATATATTACAAGTCAGCATTAGATGTTATTTCTGTTGGGACTGGGTGTTAGTTCTGTTAGACAAGTCAGCATTAGATGTTCTGGACTGGATGTTATTTCTATTAATATTAAAATATTACACAAGTCAGCATTAGATGTTATTTCTGTTGGGACTGGGTGTTAGTTCTGTAAGACAAGTCAGCATTAGATGTTATATCTTTTTGGACTGGATGTTATTTCGATTAAAATTAACATATTACACTGTCAGCATTAACGGGACTGGATGTTATATCTATTCAAATAATACACAAGTCAGCATTACCGTAGATGTTATTTTTATTAGACTGGATGTTATTTCTATTTCAATTTAAATAATATTAATGTATTTATCCCTCACTTTTCATGTACACAATTTGATGGATTCGATAAATAACATTATTATCTACTTTTACTTTATCATTATATATTAGAAGTTAATGAATCAAAGGTCACCTGTTGAGACAAACTTAGTGATTTAAAACAATCAAATTATACATTAAAGATACATTATGGGAGATTAGATAAAGAGCTGGCAGTTCTCAATATAATAGTTAAAAACTAGATAATGTAAAGGCAATTTGCTGAAAATTTCAGTCAAATTGATCCACTCTGAACCAAGATTTTTGCGATTTAATTTTGGGTCTAGTCTCGATCAACATTACTAAAGTCGGTACTATAAAAAACATAGTCTCGATTATCCACTTTTTTTATTTAATTATCAACAAGTCGCAGATAGGATTCTAATCCAGAATATATATCGCAGGCTAGCGAAGACATTGAGAGTTGATTATGGTCTGGATAAGTTAATTAATGTCTAATTAATAATTTAGAAAACATTTCAGGCGTAAAGAATGACCTGCAATGGGCAGATTTAGCTCTTGCATAATGTATGTTTAATCCGAATTATGTTTTCATCAAATTTAACAGAAATCAGTAAGAAATAAAATTTGTTAAAAGTTATTTTGTGTGGTAGAACTGGATAATGACTAAAATTTATATAAGATTATTATTGATTGATGAGTTTATTAAGTTTGTATGTTTTTAGAGATTGTTTAAGAAAGATATTTGTATGAGCCTATTACGTGTTAAAGATGCATTATGTAAGATTTAGATAAAAAGATGGCTGTTCTTGCTATAGTATAATAATTCAAAAATAGATAATGAAAAATTAATATATTTAAAATTTTATTCTGGGCGAAGTTATGGCTGTTTGAAGATGTAGCTTAGACTGTTTTATTATCATAGCAACGCTACTTGACAACCAAGACCTAGCCTCGAGACAAGGAGTAGGGTCACCTGTCCAACCTCGTGGGTTTTCTCTGGGTCCTCCGGTTTCCTCCCACTGCTAAAGACCCCAATGCACAAGCCAATTATTGAAATAAGATTGAACCATGTGTTAGTCCCGAAATGACCAAGTTTGTGTGGACAGGACGTTAAACCCCATTTCTCTCTCTCTCTCCTCGATTTTCCATTTTATCGTTAAATTTTTAAATCGCACGAATGTTTAGATTCATTTAAATCTCGACCATCCAATGGTTTAAAGAGTTGATTATAGGCTTGTCATATTAATAAATGTTAAAATAATAACTTATATACCATTTGAAGTCAAATTAGAGATCTGCAGATTTAGCTCTAACATAATTTGATAGTTTCATTTTTAAATCTAATTGATTACAGTCTCTGCCATCAGATAATCCAGAGAGTTGATTATAGGCATGTCTTGTGAATAAATATCTAAATAATAGTTTGTATTGAAGCCACTTGAAAGGCCTTACAGATTTAGCTCTTACATAATGCATCTTTAAGGATATACTTTTATAGAAAGATTTTGTGATATTTGTTTTTATACTGGATAGACCTGGTTTGTCACCTATTTATTGACGTGTAATTATTGATATTTTTTATTTCACTACTGATATTTATAATCTTCAAAAATAAATTTATTCTCACTTACTTTTATTCATTCAGAGAATCAATCTCAGCCACATTTCTTTTTTTTAAAGCTATATTTCTATGAAAGGATTTATCTGGTGGTTATTTTCAATAAAAGCATGGTGAATTTGGTACATGAAATCTAGAGACACCCAATCTTACTAAATAAAATACTGGCATCACTGAAAAACACCCACAGGATGTGCACAAGAACAAAATATGAGGATATCCCTAATAGATTGCCTGTCTCCTCTCGAGTGAAGTCAGGGACGTTTCTTATTTGTTTATCAATCTTATTGCTAAAGGTTATTAGAACATTGTAAATCTAGTAGACTTTGTGATTAAACAGCAGAAAAAAAGTTGACAAAGGCCGATCTAGGAATTTACTTAGGCCTTGATATTCATGATAAACAGACACATACAAGCTTAAAATGGATTCTCCTTCAATCAAGTTACCTGATAAACAAAGGTGTGATAAATGTATTTGATATTCTTGATATTTTAAAACGCTACAGAAGACTTAATGTTGTATAACCCAAAAGAATTCTCATCAAAATGGGTTGAGAACCTATTCGTCTCAAATTGATGGCCATGTACATGTAACTCAATCACATAATGCTAATAATAGTCCGGACTGGTTATTTATCCATTAATAAGTCTCATTTAAATCCATCCCATAACGCTAATAATAGTCCAGTTGAACCAGACTGGTTATTATCAATCCATCCCATAATGCAAATAATAGTCCTGTTTAACCAGACTGGTTATTAATCCATTGTATAACGCTAATAATAGTCCTGTTTAACCAGACTGGTTATTATCAATCCATTATATAATGCTAATACTAGTCCTGTTTAACCAGACTGGTTATTAATCGATTACATAATGCAAATAATAGTCCTGTTTAACCAGACTGGGTATTAATCCATTACATAATGCTAATAATAGTCCTGTTTAACCAGTACTGGTTATTAATAACAGTACTAACCAGGAGGGAGAGATGCAATCTGTTTCACAGAGAATTACGAGTCTCGTATAATATCTCTGTCATAGATGACTGCCTTAACACGTGCTGTCACAGCACGCGGTGTGAATCATTGGCTGAATGGCGCGTGCATTGTTTACATAAGACATAACTGCTTCGGAGAGAATGCTGCATTTTAGTCATTTTAATACCCATTTACACTAAATCGGAAATAATTTTTACCTACAAATACGTCAAACGCCTTTATTTATTTTTCCAATATATACAAAAAATGTTTTAGAATTTAATTTGTCGCAGGAAAAAAGTTAATATTTCTAGCTCATTAAGCCGCATCAATGTCATCCTTATCAGTGATTGTCGCGGCCAAGCAAATATTCACTGCGGATCAGTGTGGGAGAGATGGGGTTTAATATCCACTCGGCACAACTAGGTCATTAACATATGGACCATATGATTCAATTTTATTCAAATAATACACTTGCACGTAGGGACCCAGAGAAAACCCAGAAGGTTGGACAGGCAACCCTACTCCTTGTCAGGTACAACCGGGTAATCAAAACCATGTCACTTGACAGACCTTAGGATCCAAAACGCATGTTAGGTCATTCAACCATCCCCCCACCCCAGCTGTCATTAGTACACCCACCCCTAACAAGAATAACAATAACGCATATAAAAATAGTTTATACATGAATTATTAATTTATTTTCTAATTTTACGTATATTATACATGTGTTTCAACCCATGTTGCACTAGTTATGCCCCCATCCCCGTTAGACCAGGGTGGCGTTCTTACTGCGCTGCTGCGACCGTACGGGGACCAGAAAATGCACAAGGTCGCCGGCAAACGTTAACACAACGCGAGAAAATGTCCAAAAAAAGTTCTCGTAGCTTTCCAGGTCAGATCACAGAATCTTGGCGTTTGTTTTGAACATGCTCAAGATAAACACTGTATGGCGTATGCCCGTCTTCATTAGCCCAGTTTAGGAGCAGAACAGTAGGACGTTAAACCCCATTTTATTTCATTTCTATTTAAAAATAGTTCAGTATAATTTGTATACATTGTAAATAAACATGTATATTTGAAATAGATAAACTACAGCAAAAACAACCATGTTAAGTATACAAGGACAGCCTGTGGGTAGTTAATATACCAGGCCCACTCTCACTCCACAGATCAGCAATAAACCATATAACATATGACTGATTCTGTAGCTCACAATGTTTTAATTCAGTCTTGGTGCCTGTTTCACGAAATTTTAGCTAAAATAAAATCCAAATTTTAGTAATTTGATTGGATAATATTAGACTGATTGTAGTGCTTAGCCAATCAGAATTGAAGTATCTACTAAAATTTGGATTTTATCTTTAGTTAAGATTTCGTGAAACCGGACCCTGGTTGCCCCTTCTCGCTCCACACACAGATCAGCACCGAACCATATAACACACATGTACATGTAACATATGACTGTGATTCTATAGTCCACAATGTTTTAATCAAGTTTTGGTTGCCCAGTCTCACTCCCCAGATCAGCAACAAACCATACGACTGATTCTGTAACCCACAATGTTTTAATCCAGTCCTGGTTGCCCACTCTCACTCCACAGATCAGCAACAAACCATAGCACCTTTATCACAACTTGAAAAAAAAAAACCCAACAAGTGATAATATGTCTCTTCACACACATAACAAGTTTTTCTTCAATGAAGACACAACAGCTTTAACAAACAAACACCACACGAGAAGTAGTCTTTGTTTTCATTCTATATTCACTCTTCACTACTAAAGTCACGCACTCATGCCTGTATTATATTTATCAAACGTTGCTCTTCTCCGTCTCTTTGTCATACTCGTCTCTTTACATTCTCACTTTAAACACAATTCTGTAAAAAAAAACAATGCAAATTAATATGGAACTTAATTTTAAAACACAAAAATTTAAATAATTATGCATATAAATTTCATAGAGATCAGAGAATAATTCTGGAAGTAATTAACAGAAATGACTGGAATCCAAAAAGCTTATTTGTTTGACTAATGTAAATGATGTACATAAATGTCATAGGGAAGGGAGGTTTTCTACAAAGTAAAACAAGGACCATAACTCTGACAGTAATTCATGAGAATTGTTGTAAAGCCACAAGTTTGGACAGGCGTCTTTACTCCTACTTATTGACACGATCAAGCTGGAAATCAAACCCGAGTGCTATAGGGTTAAAGGTCAAGCGGTGGAGGAGAGTAGAAAGCAGCGTTTCTGGTACTAAAAGACTTCCAGGAAGGATGAATAGAACCATTTAGGGTGGTTTTGAGTGGTCTCAGTACTAAAGGTCAAGCTATGGAGGAAAGTCGAAAGCAGCGTTTCTGGCACTAAAAGACTTCCAGGAAGGATGTATGATAGAACCATTTATGGTGGTTTTGGGCGGTCTAAGTGCTAAAGGTCAAGCTATGGAGGAAAGTAGAAAGCAGCCTTTCTGGCACTAAAAGACTTCCAGGAAGAACCTATTATAAATTATAGGGCCTTTTTACTAGTTGGGGACACCACAGTTGTGCTTGTGATGGGCGGTCTAAGGACCCTAGTTAGGGCGGTTTTGGGCGGTCTAAGTGCTAAAAGGTCAAGCTATGGAGGAAAGTAGAAAGCAGCGTTTCTGGCACTAAAGACTTCCAGGAAGAAAGTAAGATAAGACCATTTACTACTTGCTGGGGACACCACAGCTGTGCTAGTTAGGGTGATTTGGGGCTGTCTAAGTGCTAAAAGGTCAAGCTGTGGAGGAAGGTAGAAAGTGTTTCTGGTACTATAAGACTTCCAGGAAAAACATATTACAGGACCATTTATATACTAGTTGGGGACACCACAGATGTGCTTGTGACGGGTGGTTAGGGTGGTTTTGGGTTCTCTAAGTGCTAAAAAGTCAAGCTGTAGATGAGGGTAGAAAGCAGCCTTTCTGGCACTAAAAAGACTTCCAGGAAGAAAGTAAGATAGGACCATTTACTACTTGTTGGGGACACCACAGCTGTGCTAGTTAGGGTGATTTTGGGCTGAGTGCTAAAAGGTCAAGCTGTGGAGGAAAGTAGAAAGCAGCATTTCTGGCACTAAAAGACTTCCAGGAAGAATGTAAACTTACCAATAATATTCTTTGTGTTTGGATTTATCTGATTTCTGTCGAGGTTTCTGTGAACGATTTGATTTTTTCGATTGTCCTTTCTCATTGGGTTTCTTTACGTTCAGTAATGGATGAATCTCTAGAAAATATTTAAAATAAAAAACACAATAAAGTACAGCACATCTTTTTACACAAGATGAATACTCGGTCCCCAACATCCTGTACCCTTGGACGAAATCCAATTTATTAAAATATATGAATCTAACAAATTTTAAATACTAAAGTATAATAAAAGGTTGATGTACAAAATTTCAGAATCAAAAGCTAAATCTGATTAAATCACAGATCCTATTTCGTTTTGTTTTTTTAATAGTTCAAACTTTCGTTTTACTTGTCTTTACTACACTAGGATCAGGAGGATTTTAGTTGATGTGAGGAATGACCCAATGAAACGATCTGTTACGACGACTTCTTGGCGCACCATGTACGGAACTGTGGGTAAACAACTAGAAATGTCAACGCTGATTGATTAATAAATGTCTGAAGTCATAGGGTCAAAAGCCACTCGTACGACCCCTGACGTGACCTTCCAGTACAACTGGTCAGATCTTCATGTAGTGTAGGCCATCGAAAGTATAAAAAAAAACGAAACGAAATATAGATCTGTATTTTAATCAGATTGGTCTACACTAAAACTATGTCATATTGGTTTTTAAGGCACGCCCTTCATTAATGTCTTTGAGTTGTTCCTCGGGGCATATGTTGAGTTGTTTATTAGGGCATATCTTGAGTTGATCCTCGGGGCTTATCTTGAGTTGTTCCTCGGGGCATATCTTGAGTTGTTCCTCGGGGCATATCTTGAGTTGTTCCTCTGGGCATATCTTGAGTTGATCCTCGGGGCTTATCTTGAGTTGTTCCTCGGGGCATATCTTGAGTTGAGAGGGGATGGGGGGGGGAGGCGGGTGTAACGTTCACTCAACACAAACTATGTCATTTCGGGACTAACATAAGGTTCAATTTTATTTCAATAGGGGTCTTTAGCAGTGGAGGATACCGGAGAACCTGAGAAAACCCACAAGGTTGGACGGGCGACCTTACTCCTTGTCAAGTAGAACTGGAGAATCGAAACCACGCCAGTTGACTCAATGACAGACTTTTTGATCTATATCTAAAGATTTGGGTTTTATTATGGCTGACTACTCACCATCTAGAGGAGCCCCGGGTAGATCAATATCTAAAGATTTGGTTTTCTTCTTTTTAGGAGATGGTGAAACGTCAGAATTGGAGTGACCTCTCTTCTTTTCATTCATGGGTGTTTCTTCTGGTGGCTGAAAGATTTGTGTAAGAAACAAAAGTTAATGGTTTGTTATCACCTTTTATACAAAGCTTAATGGTCCACTCTGATTTCTGGAGCATAAAGTCCACTATAGATCTTAAAGGTCCTCTATGAAGCTTGGTGGTCCACTAGAAAAGTCGGCTGTAAAGCTTAAAGGTCCACTATGAAGCTTAAAGGTTGATTAGAAAGTTTAAAGAACCACTATGAAGCTTAAAGGTCCACTATGAAGCTAAAAGGTCGACTAGAAAGCTTAAAGGTCGACTAGAAAGTTTAAAGGTCCACTATGAAGCTTAAAGGTCCACTAGAAAGTTTAAAGGTCCACTAGAAAGTTTAAAGGTCCACTATGAAGCTTAAAGACCCACTATGAAGCTTAACTAGGAAGCTTAAAGGTCCATTATGAAGCTTAAAGGTCCAATAAGAAGCTTAAAGGTCCATTAAGAAGCTTAAAGGTCCAAAAGGTCCACTATGAAGCTTAAAGGTCCACTAGAAAACTTAAAGGTCCACTAGAAAGTTTAAAGGTCCATTATCACATACAAAGCTTAAAGGTCCATTACTATATATAAAAAGCTTAGGTTCATTATTATATAAAGCTTAAGGGTCCGTACACAGCTTAAAGGTCCATTACCACATACAAAGCTTAAAGGCACATCACCACATACCAAGCTTAAAGGCCCATTACCACATATGACTGTTACTTGCACATTTCAGTGACATGAATACACAAACATTTTTACATATACATGTAGTGATAGACTAATAATAAAGCCATGAAATATACTAATAATACTCACAATCACTGGGTTACAAGACATTAATGTTATTCCAATGCAGTTTTACTTATATACAGAGAGACAAGAGACAAAAATAGAAATGGAGAGAGAGAGAGAGAGAGAGAGAGGTGGGGTGTGATATCCACTCAACAAAAATGAGGTAATTTTGTTAGTAATATGGTTCAGTTTTATTTCAATAATTTTCATGTGCGTAGTGGTCTTTAGCAATGAGAAGAAACCAGAAGACTCATCAGAGGAAATCCACAACATTGGGTAGGCGGTGACTTGACCCATTAACAGACCTTATAATCATAAGTGTATACGTTAAACCATTTGGCCATCCAACCCCACAGGTCAAAATAAGCTGTAGGAAACAAAATCAAGATAACAAAGGTAGATAATCCACCGGTCTGGATCCACTGGTCAATTACGCAATTTTACCATGATCTCGTCTAATGGTTAAGATGCAGCTATATTTTTAAGCTAACTCTTCCAAACACATGTTCCACTGTTCATCATGTATTTTGTCACACTGATCAGCAGTGAATTTTCGCTAGGCCGCTACAATCACTGATAAGGATGACATCGATGCGACTTAATGAGCCAGAAATATTAATTTTTTCCTGCGACAAATTAAATTCTAAAACATTTTTTTTATGTTTTGGAAAAATAAATAAAGGCGTTTGACGTATTTGTAGGTAAAAATTATTTCCTATTTAGTGTAAATTCGGATTTAAATGACTAAAAGGCAGCATTCTGCCCGAAGCAGTAACGTCTTATGTAAACAATGCACGCGCCATTCAGCCATTGGCGCTGCGTGCTGTGACGGCACGTGTTAAAGGCAGTCATCATTGACAGAGATATTACTAGACTCGTAATTCTCTGTGAAACAGATTGGTATTTTGTACATGGTGAACAGTCCATTTGCTGATTACAGTATTTCTTAGGACTTCGAATTTTGTCTGATAGTTTGGATTGTTCTTAAGCCTGGCGCACACTATGCGACAACTTAAGCGACGAGTCTGGCGACAAATATCGCCTCAATTTAAGTGGATTGCGCACACTACACGACGACTTTGGAGATCATGGAAAAAACACTGTGTAAATTCATTTTAGTCGTCATCGCGTTGAATACTTCAATTAATATTGTTTTGTACATGATGATCAGGCAGCGGCGTAGCCGTCTTAGTACCATGCCCGTCGAGTGCAGTGCGTTTATAGTATTATAAGTAACTAGCTCAAATTGGGCGACTCTTGCATGTATAGAAAAACAAGCTACGTGAGGATGAGTCCAGAAATATTCCAGACAATCCTAAATATAATCAATCCTCTCATTACCAAACAAACAACCAAGATGAGACAACCAATAAGCCCAGGTGGGCGATCGACGGTCACTCTCCGTTTCACGCTACAGGTACTAGAAAAATAACGCCCATTCTAATTACCATCCACGAATCATAGGACTATATTATTATTGAGTATATTGCTATATAGACGGAATAATCCGCTCGTGCCTACCATATGTATTCGACGGCTTTGCCAGAATTCCAAACTTGATTTCGATTAGTTAGTTAGTTAGGGCTAAATTAGATTACCCGAGTCACTTAATATTATACATGCAACAGAAAAAAATTCTGAGAAATCTTGTGTGTGGTTATGTCACATGAGAAGAATAACCAAAAGTGATTGGCTTAATAGGTGAATTTATTTCTTCGTTGTCGCTTAACTTGACGCCGAGGTGAGCACATTACACGATTTGTTGCCGATGAAGCGATGACTTGGGCGATCATATCAAACAAGTCTGATATCGGCGACGAAATATCGCTTGCGATCGAGTGTGCACACTAGGCGAGTTTTTGATTTTTCATCGTCGGCGACCGAAATCGCCTATGTCGTCGCGTAGTGTGCGCCAGGCTTTACTTGGCTTTTTTTCTATTTCTATTCAATTTGATTAAAAAGAGGTCTATCAAAAGATTTTACCAAACATTTCCAGGTGGCACTGGCTTGTTCATACTGATGGCAGGAAGACGCAAAATGTTGCAAAAATTTTAATTCATCATAATTACTTAACAAAATTGAACCAGTTTTAGAGATTCAGTTTCCACAATCATGTAATTAGAAAATGATTTAAGATCCCTTTAAGGGACATTATGGGAGATTGGATAAAGATCTGACAGTTCTAGCTATAATAGTTAAAAAATAAATAACGTAAAAAGGAATATGCTGAAAATATCAGTCAAATTGATCCACTCTGAACCAAGATATTGGTGATTGAATTTTAGGTCAACATTCTTAAAGTCAGTATGATAAAAAATTGTCTCGATTATCCATTTTGACGTTAAATCATCCATCACAAAATGTATTCAAATCCAGTAAACATCTCAGGCTAGCGATGGTATCAAGAGTTGATTATGGTCTGGATAAGTTAATTAATGTCTAATTAATAATTTAGATAACAATTCAGGCCTATAGAAAGGCCTAAAATAGGCAGATTTAGATCTTGCATAATGTACCAGTTATATTTTCATTTTGTGAAATGGAGTTTATTAACGTCCTACTGTTCTGCTCCGAACTGGGCCAATGAAGACAGACATACGCCATACAGTGTGCTATGAAGGAAATTTTGCCCGGGCAGCGGCACTATTGCCTACTCTTATATTGAATTCCAACTGCCAAGGGATCTTTTACGTGCATTCCAATGTATACACAGGACCTCGGTTTTTCGTCTTTCCCAAAGGACTAGACAGCTGTCCTTGTCAGGCCCTCCGTTCTGCACCACTGACAAGGGGAAACCACGTCGGAAAATCGGGATGAACTTTCTTGGTCAATGCAGGTATCGAACATCCGACCTCCAGACTACCGAGCCAGCGTCTTACCCACTTAGCCACGTGATCCCTGATTTTCATTTTGTTTTCTTAAAGACACATTCTCATGAAAGTATTTATAGGATAGTTATTTCCAATAATAGCATGGCAAATTTGGTCTAAATGGAAAGTAGAGACAACCAGTCTTATTAGAAAAATACTGGATTCACTGAAAAACACCCATGAGGCAAGCACTGGGCAAAAATGTCAGGGTATCACTAATTGGCAACCCTACGGCTTATTATCTGCCAGCTTGAAAAAGATGTTGGCAGAAGATAATGCAAGAATTTACTTAGGGTTCAATATGTATGGCAAATGTTTAGTAATATATTCTGAAAATGGACCCTCCCTTAATCAAGTTACATATGGCTTCTAAGAATAGATCTTTTATATCTTGTGGTATTTCCTTGCGAATACAATGTTTTGAGAGGAATATGAAGCACATTTTTGATAGATTAGTTAATTTGAATATGTTTTTAGTCCAATTATATCATCAAAACACCCAGTTTGATAATCAACGACTTTGATAAATCAACTCTCCACATATTAAACCAATTGTCATGCTGATTGGTTGATGCAGATCCCATCAATTTAGTTCAAGATGTTCCAAAATACTATTTAAGCTCACTTACTGGACCTGTTGTGAATAATCGGTAAGCTGAGATGGGTTTTTAATTACAGGATTATCAAAATTATCGTTAAATGTGCTAATTACTCGGATTATGAACCAGATGGCCAATTCTGACTAAGGTATGATTCTTATTGTAGCTGACAAGCAAGTTAATTGACTTTTTAATCAATCAGCTGTTTTATCAATCAGCCTTTACAAACATCAAGCTGATGATAGGCAGACTAAAATCACATAAGCTAATTAAGATACCTGCTTTTAACAAAGATAGCAAGCATCAGTTACCTGACTTAACTAATGCAACTCAAACACCTGGAATAGGTAAGCAGGATAGGAATCTAGCAAACTAAGAAGGGTTTATAAAAATACTATGGCAGAGAAGGAAGGTATAAAGCTTACTAAAAACATCTGCTTACTAAAAAAATTCACTTAGACTTTTGTAAAGCACCAGAGTTTGAAAATTGTTGAGTCCAGTGGCTGTCAGTTCTTTGTGAATACACGATTCAGATGGCTATCAGTGTTTTTGTGAATACACGTTTTAGATGGATAAGAATTGAATATAAATACTGTTTTGAATAACCCCAAATCACAAGATTTAGAGAATTGATCATGAAATTTATCGTACTAAGTGCAGCATTTTGTTTGATTAGACCTAATTCTAATTTCTCTGACAATAGCTTTAGGAATACAGAGATTTGTGGATCACAAGCAAATTCTCATTTGCAAAACAAATTTAGGAGAGTGTAATTGGTTGTTGGGAAGAGGTATCAAATGAAATGAAATGGGATTTAAGTTCCTATTGAACAATGAGTTATTTAATTTTAGTTCATAAATCTTTGTTTTAAATTTTAAAATATAATGTACAGGTTTCTAAATTCCAAACAATAATGAGAGAGAGATAGAGAAACCACATGTCTCCGCCCCCCCCCAAATGATAACGAGAGAGGGAGATAATCCCTGACCCCCTTCCCGCTCTTCAAATGATAATGAGAGAGGGAGATAATTCCCCCCCCCCTTTCAAATGAGAGACGGAGATACCCCCCCCCTCACTTTAAATGTTAATGAGAGAGATATAGAAAAAGGGGATATAACCCCCCCCCCCCACCTTAAAATGATAAAGGGAGATATCTCCCCACCCCCTTCACTTTAAATGTTAATGAGAGAGATATAGAAAAAACACCCGTTCCACCCTCACCCCCCTCTCGAAATGATAATGATTTTCTAAGATTCTAAAAAACTCTGATGCACTACACAAATCTAAATTGAAACTTAAGTTATTTAAGCTAATCAAAGGAGCGAATGAAGCAAGCCAGGAATTTTTAAAACTAAATATATCTTATTACAATTACCCGTGTGGTCACTGTAGCCGGTTTTCTCTAAAGTAAATATACAGTCACACAATATTTATATAAAAAAAAAAAAAATAAAAGAAATAAAAATGAAGAATGATAGAAAAGTTGATATTAATACAATAACTACGTCATGTTAACCAGAGCTTTCATTTCAAACATTTTTTCCAGCCAGTCGGTCATTTTTTGACATATCTTGTTTACATTTGAAATACAAGATATTTTCTACAAACAATTTGGCTCTTTTAACATCATCTCAATTTTTTTTTTATATATTTTTAAGTGTTTTTACACATAAAAACTATAATTTCAATTTTGGCCTACATATTAGGTTTTCAAGGTTAAATTCATTGTTTATGGTACCTTGGTTAAACATGATATTTTTTTCAAAAGAATTTGACAATTTTTAACATTATCCATTTTTTGATATACAGTGGACTCTGTCAATTACGACATGGTACGGGATCGATACAATATGCTGAATTACACAGCATGTCGTTAAACAGCATGTAGGAGTACCTTCGAATATCTGAAGTATTATATTCTAATGCACCCTCGAATACCCAGAACTTAAAATATGATAACGCTTTCTGTACATTCACACATTGTGAACACAATATTATAATGATAGTGACTCTTCAGCTCAGCAATTTAAATATAATGTCGCTGTATTTGACGTGAGAAACTGAAATCAAATACCAAGTGCCCTCTTACAAAAACCGACACATGTTTTATGCTTACTGATAATTAATTGGTGATTGCTTGTCAGTTAACACCTACTGATTGAAGGACGGATTATCCATTGTTAATTGTACGCAAATCGTGTGACGGGATGTGATTGATATCGTAATTCGGAATATTCAGAATCAGGACTACTCAAAACTTTTTGGGTTGAAGTAATAGGGAAATAAATCGGGCCATGACAGATTTCACAGAATGGCGTTGTTATTAGATGTCGGAAGTGACAAGAGTCCACTGTATATATTTTAAATGTATTAACTGTATTTTATCTAAAATACGACATGTAATTTGACTGACAGTTAAGATCTCTTGCCGGTCAATTTCACATGTCAATCAGTCAAGACTGGTCAGCATGAATGAAACAAGAGCCCTCGTGTTAACAATTCTACAAGAAATACAACAGACACAATCTCATTAAAACACAGATCCTATTTCATTTCGGTTTTTTTATAGGTCAAAATTTAGTTTTACTTGTCTTTACTACACTAGGATCTGGAAGAGTTGTTATATAACAGGCGTTCTGGATGGCGTGAGGGATTAGCCAATGAAATCATGTTACGGCGACTAAACCCCTAAAACGTCAATACTGATTGATTAATCAATCAATCAATAAGGTCAAAAGCCACTCGTACGACCCCTGATGTGACCTCTCACTACAACTGGTCAGATCTTCATGTAGTGTAGGCCATCGAAATTATAAAGAAAACGAAACGAAATATAGATCTGTATTTAAATCCGATTGCAACAGACACAGAAACTATATTAAAACATAAAAAGACAAAATACACCTATTAGAAAGATTGGTTAAAAGAGTATATCTGGGACAACTCCTTCAAACAGTTGTCGTAAAATAAACATCACAACATTTACTACTATATATATATATATAATATCATGCATGCACTACTGAGTATTATAACTTTTAGGGGAGAAAATAAATATTAGTTTAAGTACAGTGAAATCTTACTATTAAGGCCAGTCATGGAACTGCTCTTAATAGTGAGGTGGAATCCTATGAACAGATTCGATATATTCTTTAAAAATTTGCAAGGCTGAATTAAGCTTACATGGGGCCCCAGACTGAAAGAAACAGTGAAATGGGGGCATATTCTGGTAATTGTCCCCCACACTCACACAAATACAATTTGTAGGTCAGTATGATGCACTGTAACCCGGGTATCATTTAATCTTGTGTATTTAGCACTAATTTCTTTCACATTCATTCAATATCAAATCTTTGTTTAAAAATTCGTAAAAATCATTTAAAGTCACCCAAAATCAGCTGTGGGGGGAAACCGGAGGTCCCACAGAAAACCCACAAGGTTGGTCAAGGGGCCCTACTCCTTGCCTTGTGGGATCGAAACCATGCCAGTTGACTCAATGATAGATGTTCTGGTCTAAAGTGCACATATACAATCATTTGATCCCCACCCCACCCACCTAGGTGTGATTAGAATCGTAATGTATTCAGTATGTGGGGATATTTTCTTGTTCGATCTGCTTTAGCTTTGTTGTCACTAAGTCTGGTGTTTATTCGATGGGACTTAGAAGACTAAAACTAGACTATTCCATCAAGTTTTCCAATGATGTGTACTACAAAGGGAGTTAACTCACCAAATCTGTATGTACTGCCCAGCCTTCTTCTGGTTCCTCTATTTCAGGTGAAACGTGTAAATATAGTAATGCTGAGTTATCTTCACTTTCTTCATCACTAGATCAACAAAATAAATTAAAATAGGTAGTCTACAGGCTCAGTGCAGGGGGGGGCGGGAGCAAAACCAGACCCATCATTAGCTCAGATCGGAGGCTCTGTGCGGAGGGATGTCCATCAAATGGTGAATTTAGCAAGTTTACATTTATTTTGATGAAAGAGTGACTAGTTTTGATCATTTTCAGCATGTTTTCATGATACAAGAATGGCTGGTATTTACTTTCCGTGTAAAAGAATTCATTTGACCTTTGACCCAGAATATCTCGAAAACGCCCCAAGGGCGGACTGATTACCATTCGGCATCGTATTCTAAGCAAAATTTTGGTATAGAAAAGTTGGGTCTGTTTTTGTGCCCATTTGATGGACACCCCATAGCGCACTGAGCCTCCGGTCTAGGGGTTTAACATACTACTTTTCTGCTCCATCTGAGCTTATTATGACGACGGAGATGGATGCGTTATGAGGGAAATTTTACTCGGAGTACAGTGCAACAGCCTATTCTTATTTCAAATTTTATGTCCCATTCAAATGACTCAACGATATTCTTTGCCAGACCCTCCATCCTGGCAAGGAGCAAACAAGTCGGAAACCCAGAAGAACTTTTTCGGTCAACAAAGGGATCTAGCCAGGGACCTCCAAGTTAGCAAGCCAGTGCCTTTTCACTCAGTCGCGATACGATATGTGTTTCAATTCGGGTGCTACAATATGATTTGTATCGCAATTCATAACCAGGTCAATATACACCAAGTAAACAACAGGATAAATGAATAATTGGTATTTTAGGGGTGATTATTTTCCGTTTCAGAAAATAGCAAATTCCGATTTAAGTATTTTTAATTCCGTTATTTTCCGTTTCAGAGCTGACCATATTCCGTTTTTTCGAGATAAAATGATATTTTATGAATAAATGAATAAAACATCTTAAAATGCCTTTTATTACAAAGCGGATCATTTTAAACCAATGATAACAAATGTTGAATTGTGAATGACTTGTAATGTTCAATGACTAGTTATTCTTTAAACCTGTTTCCCGAATTAAATAACAGAAAATTACATCTTGTGAGCTCGTTTCATCTTTTTAGCAGACGAAGCCATTTTTCTCAGCTGCTAGTTGTAGTCGCGATTTATCCAGACATCTTCATAGTTACTACCGTTTCTTCGAGAATAAGGGCTGGATTCACAAGGCTACGGTATATTTGTGATGTCACGTGGTTAATGCGGATAAACACGAGTCACGAGCCCGGCAGTAAAATAAGAAGTAAATGAAACGATTTTTACTTTTATGAAGTGACAGATGTTTTTTTTTAAGACATATATATACATTACAATGTTTAATTCAAGTTAAACTACAGAGTAATTGTATACAGGGATACATGAAAGACGGGTTTTCGTTTCGATTAAAATTATGATTCCTAAATGATGAAATGAAAGTTGCTAAATACTAAAATAGACAGTAACAAAACCACGCGATATCATTCAATATTTCCGATTTTTATGAATAAAAAGATGAAATACTTGGATAACTGCAAAATTGTTTTGAGTTTGTGTTTAGTATCAGCAAATATCGGCTTTTCCGTCTTTTTCCGTGTGAGATTTCAAATTCCGTTTTGAGTGGACAATTCCGCGATTTCCGCGTTTTTTCCGCGATCACGGAAAATCATCACCCCTAGTATTTTTAGTCCTGCCGGTGTCGAAGAAATAAAACTGTTTTATATCACGATACTGATGTAGATCATAATAAGGACCAAAACAATTTAATGGATAATGTGTGACACTGTGACAAGGAGAGAGAGAGAGAGAAATGGGGTTTAACGTCCACTCGACACAAACTAGGTCATTTCGGGACTAACATATGGTTTAATTTTTTTATTTACATAATTCGCTTGCGCGTAGGGGTCTTTAGCAGTGGGAGGAAACCGGAGGCCCTGGAGAAAACCCACGAGGTTGGACAGGCGACCCTACTCCTTGCCACGTACAACCAGGGATTCGAAACCACGCCAGTCGACTCAATGACAGACTTTATGATACAGCGCGCGCACGCTAACCATTCAGCCATCCAACCCCCCTGCATGAGTAAGTAACCTGTCACTCTTAATTATCCTTGTCACAGGGGGGGGTTGGATGGCTGAATGGTTAGCTTGCACGCGCTGTATCATAAAGTCTGTCATTGAGTCGACTGGCGTGGTTTCGAATCCCTGGTTGTACGTGGCAAGGAGTAGGGTCGCCTGTCCAACCTCGTGGGTTTTCTCCGGGTCCTCCGGTTTCCTCCCACTGCTAAAGACCCCTACGCGGAAGCGAATTATGTAAATAAAATTAAACCATATGTTAGTCCCGAAATGACCTAGTTTGTGTCGAGTGGACGTTAAACCCCATTTCTCTCTCTCTCTTACTCATGCAACAAAAAAAATAAATCAAAAAATATAAATTTCGTAAAAAATCATAAGAGGATGAATCGCAGAATCAACGATACATATATATCGTGCCAGCACTAGTCAGATGAAAGAGCAGTAAAACTCAATATTACCTGCTAACAAATGCTTGAATTGGTTCAACTGTTGTAACGTCTACTTCATAATCCTCTTCCTCCTTACCTTAAATACAAACAAATATTTATTTTAAAAATTAGTTAAAACTCTGTATTTTGATAAGAAATGGTGAGACTCGGAATACGCCGATTGGTTGTTTTGTGTGCATGCTTTTGAATATTATGAATTGTAATTCTTTAATTTAATGAGATTCCAACAAAGTTGTTGTTGTTGTTGTTTGTTTCCCTCTCCCAGTCTGACTATAGCATCAAATGTATTATTCATCGCATTACAGACCATGGTGGTGAGCTAATAGAATTTTTATCAGCCCTGCCTTTGCAATGTCACCAAACATCTTGTAAAACAAATGTTCATGTTCATAGACAACTAGAGTATCTTAAATCAATATTTTTTTTGGTATATTTACCATTTTGATTTTCTTCTTTTTCTTTATCTTCATCTTCAAGATCAAACTCGGATTCATGTTCCTCGTATTCTACATTCTCATCTAATTCTTTAAAATCAGGAGCAAAGGCTGACCAATTCTCCTGCAAAAATAATATATAACGAAATAAAACATCAAAACAAGATTAAAACAGTCAGGTAAGAGAGAGAGAGAGAGAGAGAGAGAGAGAGAGAGAGTTTAATGTCCACTGACACAAACTAGGTCATTTTGGGACTAACATATGGTTCAATTTTATTTCAATAATTCGTTTGCTGACAGGGGTCTTTACCAGTGGGAGGAAACCGGAGGACCCGGAGAAAACTAACAAGGTTGGACAGGTGACCCTACTCCTTGTCACGTACAACCAGGGAATCAAAACCATGCCAGCTAACTCAATGACAGACCTTATGATACAACGCGCGGGCTAACTGTTCGGCCATCCCATCGGGTATGAATAACTAACCCATAACAGTCGCCAACAGCGCAGAAACAACAAGATAAAGTTGGGCAAAAAATCAATTTTTCATAAACATATATCCTGGATTTGTTTTTGGTTTTAGTGTCTTAGGTGACAGTTTTTAACAAGCAATTAAAGTTTCATTTTGGCTGGAATATAACGATATTTTCTAGTCCATAAAAACTAAAACTAAAACATACATTATGCAAAATCTGCCTACCGCAGGTCTTACTTTAGGCCTTAAATGTTATCTAAATTATTAATTAGACATTAATTAACTTATCAAGACCATAGCATCGTTAGCCTGCGATATTTAGTAGGTTTTCTGATGGATGATTTATCGTAACAACAGTAGTAATGGCGAACGAGGCTAGCCTAATATCTTCGTTCAGAGTGGAGCAATTTGACAGAAATTTTCAGCATATTATCTTTACATTATCTATTTTGTAACTATTATAGCGAGAACTATTAAGTTCTTTATCTAATCTCCCATAATGCCCCTTTCATGATGATCCAACTTACAACTTGATTTTGAGCCCAGATAGAAACTAGGCCACTTGATATAGATACTATTATAGGTCGTACAGGATGCCACTGAAAAAAAAATAAAACAAACTTTATTTTGAATACAATGGATAAAAACACATCTCCCTTGATATTTAACTCTGTACCTTGATGGTTAATAGAAAATTCAAAGTATCACAGTATGAAATAATATTATACAAGATTACTGAAGATGAATGAAATGAAATGGGGTTTAATGTCCTACTGTTCTGTATCGACTGCACTAATGAAGACAGCCACATGTCATACAGTGTGCCACGAGGTAAATTCAACTGTCAAGGGCTGTTTTGATGTGAATTTTAACACCTACAGTGGCGTTTCTGTCCAAGATTCTTTTCCACCATCCCTTGACAACTGAAGGCCAATACGGATTCATCTTAAAGAGTTCATTGCCCTCTCGGCTAGACCACCATATCCCCCGCACACCCTGACCACTAGACTATGACCCTCACAATATCCCTACTACTAGATTACGACATCCCCCAAAATCCTGCCCGCTAGACCAGAAGACATCCCCCAAACCCCCGACTGCTAGACTAACACGCACCCCAATGCCCCTACCTTCAAACTACTCCATCACGAATGGCTTTCCTGACTGTTAGACTGCACAACCACACCCCCATCCTCAACCATTCGACTACCAACCCCAATGGCCCGATCATTAGACTACCAACCCCAATGGCCCGATCATTAGACTACCAACCCCAGTGTCCCGATCATTAGACTACCAACCCCAATGCCCCGATCATTAGACTACCAACCCCAATGCCCCGATCATTAGACTAGCAGAACCTCTACCGTTGTTCTGTGTAAATGAAAATTACATACCACAACATCTAAGAGAAGTTCTCCTTTTGTTCCATGTAAAATTTTAACAAGATTTCCCACTCCTTTCTCCCAGATATACAGAGAATGTTGCCGTGCTGATCCTGCTACGATGTATTCACCATCACCAGAAAAACAACATTTCTTCCATAAAGTTCTGAAATAAAAAAAGAACAAACATTATTATGTGTTCAAATAAAACAGGAGAGTTGATTTGTTTGTTCGGAGAAGGAGTAGGGTTGCCTGTCCAACTTAGTGTGTTTTCTCAGGGTTCTCTGCTTTCATCCAACTGCTAAAGACTCCTACACTCAAGCCTGAACGTGACAAGCTGTAGGGCTTTCTGTCCAACGTGGTGGGTTATCTGGTTTCCTCTAACTGCTAAAGACTCCTACACTCAAGCCTGAACGTGACAAGCTGTAGGGCTTTCTGTCCAACGTGGTGGGTTATCTGGTTTCCTCTAACTGCTAAAGACTCATACACTCAAGCCTGAACGTGACAAGCTGTAGGGCTTTCTGTCCAACGTGGTGGGTTATCTGGTTTCCTCTAACTGCTAAAGACTCCTACACTCAAGCCTGAACGTGACAAGCTGTAGGGCTTTCTGTCCAACGTGGTGGGTTATCTGGTTTCCTCTAACTGCTAAAGACTCATACACTCAAGCCTGAACGTGACAAACTGTAGGGCTTTCTGTCCAACGTGGTGGGTTATCTGGTTTCCTCTAACTGCTAAAGACTCATACACTCAAGCCTGAACGTGACAAGCTGTAGGGTTTTCTGTCCAACGTGGTGGGTTATCTGGTTTCCTCTAACTGCTAAAGACTCATACACTCAAATGGGATTTATGAAATAAAAAGGACCATGTTTTTCACAATAATGAGGTAATATAAGGTGGTATTGAGTAGTATTTGGCAGTACTGAGTTAGTATTGGGTGAGCATTGGGTAGTATTGTATAGTACTGAGTTAGTACTGGGTAGTATTGGGTTAGTATTGAGTGATATTGAGTTAGTATTGGGGGGGTAGTGGGTAGTACTGGTTTGTACTGTGGGTGGAATTGGGTAGTACTGTGAATATTAATATCAACATTACACTGGAGAATAACTTACTTGTTGACTAAATCTTGTAGTTTTTGTATTGGCTCTGGTTCTCCACCACGACCACACGCCAGAATCTCTCCACTCTCATAAACACGAATAATACGATCAGCAGAATTCACCAAAAAACAACTGAAAAAAAAAAACAACAGATGAATTTATGTCATGCTGCGTCGTCAAACAGTAAATGTTTATAGCCTTAAGGCCCTGATTTAAACTAACATTGCTCATTAGAGTAAGCTTCCTTGAGTAGACGAGAACATCTTGTCTTGCGCTTTGTTTTGCAACAGGTTAGTTTTGACTCTTAAATAAATGTCTTCCCAGAAAATATGAAATGAAATGGGGTTTAACGTCCTACTGTTCTACTCCAACAGGCCTAATGAAGACGGGCATATGCCATATAGAGTGCTATAAGGGAAATTTTGGCTGGACAATGGCGCTACAGCCTACTCTTACTTTGAATTACAACTGCCAAGGGATCTTTCACTTGCACGTCAATGTGTACACGGGGACCTCAGTTATTTGTCCCATCCAAACGACTATACATTGTCCTTTGCCAAGCCTTCAGCCCTGCACCACCAGAAAATCCTAATGAACTTTCTCAGACAACGCAGGTTAGTGAGCCAATGTCTTACCCACTGGGGAGAAAAAAGAAACCTGACTTATTAAATATATTTAAAGCTGGTGTATCCCATTGATGCAGACACCCAAGATAAGTTGTAAAAGTATGCACTATACATGTAAACTATACTGTCAAATATTTAGTTCCCCTCTCTGTTCTACTCTAGTTATTCAGATGGTAGGAAAAACAAAGGTCCCATGTTCAAGATGGCAAGCACAAAGAACTAAGTCGCATGTTCACGACGATATGCACAACTGTCCCAGGGTCAGATGGAATTTAATGAATAGACGCAAATGTCACTATATATACTTGTCTTCATTAGCTCGATTGGTGCAGAAAAGTAGGATGTTAAACCTCATTTCTGTTTAAAATTGACAGGCGTGGATCCGGTGAGGGGCTCACCCTGCGCACGCCCCACCCCCCCTTATATTCTTGCAGGAAAGGAATTAACAGTCAGTATAGGTTGGAAGTCGTAATCTACTCCCAAAAGAGCCGGTTGGTGACTTGGTTGATTGCTGCACGCCCCCCCCACCCTTTCTGAAAATCCTGGATCCGCCCCTAATTGACATAACAAGATCAGACGTAATGAACTCAACAGTAATATATTTACTTCCCTCTTTGTTCAACCCCAACTTAACAACGTCTACTTACTTTCCACGTCTCGCAAATTCTATTGATTTTATCGCTGTTGTATTTAATGTTCCTGTTGTTACTTTAAACGATGCAACCATATCTAGCTTCTTTATCGTAAATACCAAAATCTGGAATAAAATCAAAATGAATTTATAAACACGGAAAGAACAAATAAAACTTAATAAATTATAATGATTTCACGGATAAAATTAATTTGATAACAATATCAATGATTTGATGGACAAAACTACCTGATTTATCTATGAAATCAAGGGCCAGGGTCCTGTTTCACGAAATTTTAGCTAAAATAAAATCCAAATTTGAGTAATTTGATTGGATAATATTAGATTGATTTTAGTGCCTAGCCAATCAAAATTGAAGTATCTACTAAAATGTGGATTTTATCTTTAGTTAAGATTTCGAGAAACAGGGCCCAGGGCTGTAACCATTGGAAATCGTTAAAGTCAATCGGACAGTAACTAAGGGGATAACCTAGCGGTCTAGAGTATTCGGACGAGAACAGTAGGATGTTAAACCCAATTTCATTTCTTCTCTAGAGTATCATGCTTCAACACTTCTGTTCCCTACGCATATTTTAAAACAAGACCACTTGTCAAAATGTATGTTAAACACTGCAAACATAAACAACATGATAATTTGGACAACATAGAGCGTGAGAAATGGGGTTTAACATCCACTCGACCCAAACTGAGTCATTTCGGGACTAACATATGGTTCAGTTTTATCCCATCAAGGTTCCACGAAGTTGGACTGGCAACCCTACTGCTTGTCATGTACAACCAGGGATTCGAAACCACGCTAGTTGACTCAATGACAGACCTTATGATGCAATGCGCACGCGTTAACCATTCAGCCACCAACCCCCCCTTTAGACAAAAGACAGGGGCTATAACAATATATGATCACATTTTAATGGGCGTATATAAAAGTTTTAATACTAAATAATGAAGTGTCAACAAGCAGGGACTTAAAAGCCGATGCCTGCCCCATTGTATTTGTCACTTTTAAGAATTCAAAACTTAAGTCAGTACATTGTGGATGATGTATCAAGACTTTAACATATTGTTTTAATAGTAAACATGTAAATCAAATTGCAAATGGTCACACCATATTCATTTTTTTACTTAACAACAAGGGAAGACAACTCACCCTTCCTTTAGCATTACCAGTGTATATATATTTTCCTCTTCTATCAAAAGAAGCCACAATATTCAAATCAGACTGGAATAAAGAGAGGTAAGCAGTTTAACAAATCAGCAGCGATTGTTTTTGTATCCATTATCCATATATAGTATGTAAATATACTGTAGAGAGAGAGAGAGGGAGTAACATCCCCTTGACACGAACAAGGTCATTTTGGGACTAACATATGGTTCAATTGTATTTCAATAATTCGCTGTAGGGGTCTTTAGCAGTGTGAGGAAACCGGAAGACCCAGAGAAAACCCACGAGGTTGGGCAGGCGACCCTACTCCTTGTGACATACAACCGGGGAATCAAAACCAAACCAGTTGACTCAATGACAGACTTTATGATACAACGTGCACGCACTAACCATACAGCTATCCAACCACACTTTACTCAAGAGAGCTAAAGATGTATTATATAAGATTTAGATAAACAGTAAACGCCTCTCCCCACCCCTCTCTCTGTGTCCCTATAAACCCCTTTCCCTACCCAACGCCCTCTGTCGCTATAATCAATAGCCACCTCTCCCTGTCCCACTCCCTCTAATCACTAAACGAGAGCCCTTTAATAAATAGTAAACACATTTCCCCACCCACCACATCTGCCACTATAAATAAAATAAACAACTTACATCATCATCAAGGGGGATAATCTGGTGCGTTCCGTTAATGTTCATTAAAACAGCTGCATGTTTCATGGGACAAACAATAAATCGGGTACTGTAAATAATAATAGAGATAGCACTAAACAATATCACAACATCAAAATAATATAGAGACATAACTATACAATAACACATGAAAAGTTATAAGAGTAACTTTTGAACCACAAACTGGAAGCAAATGAAATGCGATTTAATTTTATACTTTTCTCCTTTGACTGGGCTAATGAATACAGGCAGCACTACAGTCAGATGTGTACATGAGAACTTAATTATATAGTCGTCTAAAACGTGGGAACTTAATTATATAGTCGTCTAAAACATGGGAACTTAATTATATAGTCGTCTAAAACATGGAACCTTAATTATATAGTCGTCTAAAACATGGAACCTTAATTATATGGTCATCTAAAACATGGGACCTTAATTATATAGTCGTCTAAAACATGGGACCTTAATTATACAGTCGTCTAAAACATGGTATATCGATCATATAGTAGTCTAAATTATGAATATGGCACTGCTGTGGATAATTCAGTATTAACACACTTTATAAATTATGATATCATTATTATGAATATGGCACTGCTGTGGTTAATTCAGTATTAACACGTTTTATAAATTACGATATCATTATTATGAATATGGTGGTGCTGTGGTTAATTTCAGTATTAACATGCTTTATAAATGCCGATATATTATTTTTACCTATCTCTAGGATGAAACTGTACTTTTAAAACTGGTGAAGGAAATCTGAATATCTTATCACTTTCACCGGTCATTATTGTCCATAGTGATACGGTATTATCTGTTGCTGCTGTTAATAACTTGTGTCCATCTCGACTCCAACTACAATATATAGATTATAGCAAATAAAGTACTTCTATCTTTACGGTAGATAAATACATAAAAGATAAAGATATGTCTAGTTAAAAATAATCAACTACTATTATTTTTTTCATTTTGATATACAGTAGATTCTGTATTAAGCAGCCACTCGAGGCATTTTTCATGACTGATTGCCAGGCCTGGAAATAACGGTTTTAGATGTACCTGACAAAATGTCAAGCACTAATGAAATCGTACCTGACATTTTCAACTTAGTGCCGGACATGTATTAATCAATACAAAAGACAAATCAGTGCCGGACAAAATGACAGGCATCAGAGGTATTTTGTGATCGACAAGCTGGAATCTGTGCCTGACATTGTCTGTGACGGGTGCCTTATTTCTAGGATTGCTGGCCGCTTAATGGGAGTGACCTATTAATAAAATCTCAGTGTTTGTTAGTGCTGACACCATGTAAATTTTATGCTTGGATGCATTGGGAGTAAACATCAGTAAATTTGGTCGTCGCTGAAACTTGCTTGGAACGAAAATCTTTTTACTCAAATCCCTGATATAACTTTACTGAATAGGAGTGGCTGCGCGTACAGATTCTACTGTATACATCAAATCTTATGCCAGCCGTCTGCTCTTAAACATACATTATTCAAGAGCTAAATCTGCCCATTGTAGGTCTTTCTTTAGGCCTGAAATGTTATGTAAATTATCAATTAGGCATTTATTAACATGACAATCTCGATGCCATCTTATGGGTCTGATTTTCAACAGATTTGAATACGAGCTGCCGTTCAACGCCTGTTGATGATTAATCGTAAAAATGACAATCGAGGCTACTAGTGTTAGTAAAATGAGTATTTCTCGCCTCAGATTGAAGTAATTTGACTGGAAATTTCAGCATATTCCTGTTACATTATCTATTTTTTTAACTATTATAGTGAGAACACTGTCAGCTCTTTATTTTATCTTACATAAGGTCTATATATATTATATATATATATAACACAATTACATAACTGAGTGTGTGTGAAATAGCTTTATTTAACTGAATTAGCCCATCTTCAAATTCTTACCTTAATGAACAAACGGGATGTACATGGGCGTTGATAACTTTAGCGATACCTCTTGTCAGGAAATCCCAGATAACAATACGTCCATCGTTACAGCCAACAGCTAATAAGGTACCATGTCTGTTAAAGGCACAAGTTATAGCAATACTGACACAATCTAACGTACCATCAAACTCCTGTAAATATTAACATATTATTACGATTGATAAAAATAATATGGGACAATCTAACGTACCATCAAACTCCTGTAAATATAAATACATTACCATTGATCAAAATACATGTAGTATGGGACAATCTAACGGACCATCAGGCTGTTGTAAATAGATTAAAATGAAATGTGGTTAAATGTCCTACTTTTCTGCTCCAACTGGGTTAATGTAGACTGGAGAAGGGCATAAGTCATTAGTGTGCTAAATGTAAGAGGAAAATTTTGCACGGACAACGGTGCTAAGGCCTACTTTTACATCAAATTCTAACTGCCAAGTTTCTTTGAACGTGCACCCAAATCTATACATAGGAGCAGCTTGTTTTTTTTGGTACCATCCAAAGGACTATACATTGTCCCTTCCAAGGCCCACACTGTCCTGCACCACTGACAAGGGGGGAACCACGCCGGAACATCCTGATGAACTTTCTCAGTCAATGCAGGGATCAAACACGGGGCCTGCAGGTTAGCAAGCCAATGTCTTACTTACTGAGCCACCCTGGGTCCCCTATTAATTAAATGGGGTTTAACGTCCTACACCAATTAAAGAACATCAGTGACGTGATGATCAGACAAAATTTCTGTAATAAAAAGTTATGAACATTGCAAAAAATTAGAATCTTCAGTCATATTTTTCTTTGTCTACCTATAAAAACTAAAACTGATTAATTTTGTTACATCTTTGTGTAGCTGACTTTCTTAAATTTGTGCGTTGGTCAATGTCTAGTAGATTGTAATAATGAAAAGGCTATTTGACAAAAATGTACCTGTTTTTACCATCATGTTGTGTCACATATAGTCTATAGGTTGAAGTTAAGAGGTAATAGCCTATTTTATCATGTACAGATTCATTCCCTTCATGCTTGAAGTGTTAGGCTGCATGCCGGAACTCTGTAATCATTTTCATCTAAATCGGACATACTCTGCAGACTTGGAATTTAGATTCCACTTGACACAAACTAGGTCATTTCGGGATCAAAATATATGGTTCAATAATTTGCTTGTGCGTAGGGCTCTTTAGCTGTGGGAGGAAACCTGAGGAACCGGAGAAAACCCACGAAGTTCTCAATGGAAGACTTTATGATCTAATGTGCACACGTTAAACCATATTGTCAGTCAACTCCCCTGCCTTAATAGACATGATATGACAATAAAAAGGTTGAAGTAGAATTAAAACCTCACAAACAAACAACAGATCTGTCAGAAATAATGCGTAATTTCAATTCTATAAATCGACCGCCTTTTTGACAAACGAAAAACAACATACCTCCGGGTGATTCTGTCCAAACGACTCTGAAAAAAGAAAATTATAATTTATATGAGCTTAAGTAACAATATATAGATCTAGTTGGCAATAAAACGATAATAATTTACACAATTCATAATATTTACCTAATAATTCCAAATTCATTGTGAATTTTATACCAACAGGAAATAAACATTCCTACTTCCGTTTTCTAGCGCATGAGCATTCCCGTTCATTGTGAAAGACTGGATTAAGCAAGACTTTAACAATGTTTTGGTAAATCTTGCCTACGATTGTGTTTTAGTATGTTTAAGGACGACTATTCCATGACAACGAAGCAAAAATATTTTAAGCTATAGGCCCATAAAAAAAAAAAAATTTCGTCCTCATTCTTAACAAATAAACTTGCCTGCTGATAACGCAAAAAAAAAAAAAAAAAAAAAATGATGGTATCCCCTAACCCAGGGGCGGACAGGATCTGAAAATATTGGTTGCCAGGAGACAAAGGCGGGGGGGGGGGGCACCCTCCAATACAATTCTATCATTTAATTTTTAAAATGAATAAATTAAATTTTCAAAAAATATGTAAGTGAAAACAAGAATGTTTATCATGACATTTGTAATAGAAATGAAGATATAATATAACTTTTATAATATTTTCATTCTAATACACGTAATTTTTTCTAATATTTATATATTTTTTGATAATTTATATGCTAAATATATTGTCTAAGGGGCGGGGGGGGGGGGTTCCTCAGGGGCCCGCTTGCCAAATGGGCAAGCTGATAACCTGGTCAGTCCGCCACTGGCCCCACGTACCAAGTAAAATTCATTGAAAATCAGAGAGAAACGGACTTTAACGTTCACTCAACACAAACTACGTAATTTCAGGACTAACATATGGTTCAGATGTAATTAAATAATTCGCTTGCGCCTATGGGTCTTTAGCAATGTGGAGAAACCGGAGGACCCGGAGAAAACCCACGAGGTTGGACATGCGACACTATTCCTTAAGTCATGTACAAGCGGGGTATCGAAAAAACGCCACTTGACTCAATGAGAGACCTTCTGATCCAACGCGCATGCGTTAACCATTTGGACCCAACCCCCTTATTGAAAATCAATTTTTAATTGTTGTGTGTGGGTGCTGGATTCACGTTGCCACTTATGATGGATTTTACGCGGCTCATATTGTTTCTAGACGGCACATGTAAATTGTAGAACTATGATGACAATTTGGCCCGGAATTAGTGGCTTTTCCAATTGTGTTCACGGCTCGACCTCGATCAGGGGCGAAAATGTCGAAGGGGGGTGGGATGTATCTCAAAATAAATGCAGTCACTGCTATATCAGAGGCGGACATGCTTGTCTGTTCCTCCCAGGTTCGATTCTGCTTGTAGACTTGTGATCGTCTACGGTACTCTGACTTTACGTTGTTTTTACTCTGACTTTATGTTGTTTTTATAGGCCTACACATTTATATGACTTTACTGGATATCATGTATATAGAAATAGTCAAGGTAGCCCCCAGTCCATATATTTCATTTACCTCCAGAAACTATACTGCGTCTAACACGTATGAAGACAGTGCAAAGCCAACTCTACAAATGAAGGGGAGATCTTCCGCAGTTGTAACCAAGTCATGCTCCATCAATCTCTTACTGACAGAAGCAATAACCTAAAATTCAACAACTGCTGAATACACGACAACATAATAAACAAACCTCTTGTTATGGGTGTGTACTGGCGAGTCGACCTCTTGTACGTCAAACTCAACAAGATAATCTACTAATTGGAGTGACCTTGTCCGTCCACGTGAACTGGGTACCAAACTTCCGTACATATACTACAAATAAAGTAATTTAATTGTAAGCATAAATATACAATTAAAGCTGTAAAATTAGACAAGAAGGAGGCCAGGAGCATCCTTCCCCTTGGAGGAAGATTTTGCAGAATTCTGATAGGGCAGATAAAATAACATGAGTAAAATAATTCATTGAGGTGTTCGTGTTTCATAACAGTTTTTACTAATATGACCTTTGAAAAATTGCCTCGTATTGTGATATCTAAATAAGAGAGAGAGAGAGAGAGAGAGAGAGAGAGAGAGGAATGGGGTTTAACGTCCACTCGACACAAACTAGGTCATTTCGGGACTAACACATGGTTCAATTTTATTTCAACAATTCGCTTGCGCGTAGGGGTCTTTAGCAGTGGGAGGAAACCGGGGGACGCGGAGAACACCCACGAGGTTGGACAGCGACCCTACTCATTGCCACGTACAACCGGGGAATCGAAACCCCGCCAGTTGACTCAATGACAGACCGTGTGATATAGCGCGCGCGTGCTAACCATTCGGCCATCCAACCCCCCGATATCTAATTAAAGAAATCATTCTACATACACCGATATATTCATACAGATTTTAAGTATTTGGGATTTATCGATTAATAGGCATTGTTTGGTTACCTCATTAATTCATTTAGTCGCCTATGCATAATTTTGAGACCGACATGCAGTGTAGGAAAGATGTAGACACCCGTGGTACTGGGCTCGTGGCTGCGTCACTCGCATTAGGGGCCTATGCATCAGTCTGTCTAATTTGTGCTAAAAAAACCCACAAAATCGATATGTACGTCCTGTAACACTGACAATGGTAAACCACACCAGCAAAATGCGTGGACATTTCTGGACCATCACCGGGATCGAATCCGGGACCTTCTAATTGGTTTTAATATGCTAGTGATGGGGTGGCTGTGGCTCAGTGAGGAAGGTTCCGGCTCAGTGAGGAAGGTTCCGGCTCAGTGAGGAAGGTTCCGTCTCGCTAACCAGGAGGTCCCGGATTCGATCTCGGTGCTGGTCCATAAACGTTCCCTGGAATTTTCCAGCGTGGTTTCCCTTTGTCAGTGGTGCGGGGGGAGGGGGCGCTGGCAAGATTGGGGTCTAGTCGTTCGGATGGGACGTAAAACTGTGGTAAAGAACAACCCTGCCAGTTTAAACGTCAATAAGCGAAAGCCGTAGCACCGCTGCCCGGGCCAAATTCATCTCGCAGCAAACAGCATGGCGTATCCCTGTTTTCATACGTATTCATTATCCCAGTCGGTACAATAAAGTATACCCTTAGAAGGATTGGGTTGAGTTGACGGACCCCATTTTTTCGTCGGTTTGACATAATGAAATTCGTGATTCCCCCTTGTAAGTGATGCAGGACGGAGGGCCTGACAAGGACAGGAGTCTAGTCCTTCGGATGAGACGTAAAATCGAGGTCCCGTGTATACATTAGAATGCACGTAAAAGATCCCTTGGCAGTTGGAATTCGATATAAGAGTAGGCGATAGTGTCGCTGCCCGGGCAAAATTTCCCTCATAACACACTGTATGGTATATGCCCGTCTTCATTAGCCCAGCATAGGAGCAGAACAGTAGGACGTTAAACCCCATTTCATTTCATTTTATTTCTCAATGAAATTCGGTCGTAATGACTTTTAGTTATTGGATTGGACTGAGAGTCATTGGATATCATTAAACATTCCTTTAATAAGCAATAAATCATGATAGGTTGGCCTCCCATGATACTTGTCAGACTTTAAATTTACAACACGTCAGATCTAGTCAGACTTTCAAATAGCTTAAAGGATATCAAGTGCACGTGAGATGACGGGGAGCGTGAATGATCAAAACTACCAGATAACAGGAAGCAGATGTTACCGTTAGTTTCAGCACGCGCACAGTGCCGTTCTTTTACCTTACTTCGGTTACTGGGCAAACTCTATTACACGGCGACCTTTCAACCCTGATAAGAGGGATTATAAAGTCTTTGGATGGAGTCTGGAAATGATATTTTTATCAGATGAAACCATTTTATTATCAGGGGTGAAAATCTAATCAACAATTTCAAACACCAGAGAGAGAGAGAAAGATAACCACTAAGTAATAATACAAATATGCTGAAGAATTCAGCTTGTCGTTTCCATAGTAACCAGAAAAAGAAACATTTTGTTTTGATTTCTCGGTGTTTATCAAACACGCTGCGTGATATATAGTTCAAAACTTGTTTAAGAAGTTTTAAAAACTTATGAAAAATGGATCTGTCTAGTTGAAATCCGATTCTGCTATTTGATTGCTTGTTACCCGTTTGCGCCGTTAATGGCGAACAGATATAATTTATGACAGAACGTGAAGTAGGCCCTATGATGTGCATGGGAATGTGAAAGATGAGACAATGCAAATTATGTTATCATAGAACGATGACGGACGTGAAACCGCCACCATTATAGAAAGAGATATCAAGAACAATGGACCAGTGATTCACCAACATGGATTAAAAACCAAACAGTAAAACATGTCTAGATAAAATGTGAATGGAATATTGTGACATCATCAGACAAGAATAAGCCTGTTTGTTGTAGCCTAATAAGTGGGAATAAGTGACATAACGGATATAATAAGACACCGGTAAGTAGGCCTATACATCAATTAACACAGGGCACAATTTTATGGATACACACAATTACTGAGTTTCATACTAAGCGACGTTTCGACGGGGATACTCTTAGTATGAAACTCAGTAATTGTGCATAAAATTGTACCGCGTGTTAGAATGTTCAATTACTAAACGCCAATCAAAGAAGATAGGCCTATATATATATGTTTTTTCATAGATTATATGCTATAGATATATTTGTAGGCAAGAGAGAGAGAGAGAGAGAGAGAGAGAGAGAGTTTAACGTCCACTCCACACAGACTAGGTCATTTCGGGACTATCATATGGTTTAATTTAATTTCAATAATTCGCTTAAATAGGGATCTTTAGAGTGAAAGGAAACCGGGACCCGGAGAAAACCCACGAGGCTGGACAGGCAATCCTATGCCTTAAAAAGAAAATTAATGAAATAGAGTTTAATACTGCATTGACTGTGCAGTGGAGAAGGGCATACGCGATGATACGCCATACATTGTGCTTTGAGGAATATTTGCCCTGACAGCGGCACTGCGAGCTACTCTTATATCGAATTCCAACGGCCATATCAATGTTTACACATGACGTCGTTTTTTGTACCATCCGAACGACTATGAAAAGACAAATAAGAATTCCAATGTGTCTGAAAGCGAGCCATGGTTGATTCAGTGAATGGGGAGCAACGGTGGATAAGTGAGTAAGACGATGGTTCGTTAGCCTGGATGTCGCGGGTTCGATCCTGGTGTTGGCCGAGAAAGCTCATGCATGGGGACTTTCCGGCGTGGTTTCCCCTTGCCCTTATCATCAGTGGTGCAGGAAGGGGGCCTGACAAGTACAGCTATGTAGTCACATTGGCGTTCACGAAAAAGATCCATTGGCACTTGAAATTCGATATAAGAGTAGGCCGTAGCGCTCCTGTCCGGACAATACAAGATTTCCCCATGCCATAGCAAACTGTATACCCGTCTTCATTAGCCCAGCCGTAGTAGAATAGTAGGACGTTAAACCCCATTTCAATTAAGTTTGCCAACTAACCAAGATACCACAGGTTCAATCCCCGGATTTTTTCAGCGTGATTTCCCATTGTCAGTAGTGCAGGACGGAGTCTCTTGTCATTCGGATGGTACAAAACCCGAGGCAGAAAAGTATGGCTTTAAGCCTCCTTAAAGAGAGAGAGTTGGTGGGTGGGGAGAGGGGTGCTAACGTGTACGGGACACAAATCTAGTAATTTCGGGACTAACACATGATACAGAGGGAGAGAGAGAGATGGGGTTTAACGTCAACTCGACACAAACTAGGTCATTTCGGGACTAACATATGGTTTAATTTTATTTCAATAATTCGCTTGCGCGTAGGGGTCTTTAGCAGTGGGAGGAAACCGGAGGACCCGGAGAAAACCCAGAAGGTTGGACAGGCGACCCTACTTCTTGTCACGTACAACCGTGGATTCGAAACCACGCCAGTTGACTCAATGACAGACTTTATGATACAGCGCGCACGCGCTAACCATTCAGAATCGCTAACAAATATGGTCCAGGTATCAGTGTTTAATGTTGAATTTAAAAGTTGTCAATATTATCGACAGAATATAGTTAAAGCAATCCAGCGCTACTTAAAATTTTCGCTGAAATCTTTTGATGGGCCTCTTTTAAAGCCGAGAGGTGCGGAGGCTCAGTGAGTAAACCATTGACTCGGTTAACCAGGAGGTCCGGTGTTCGATCCTGGTGTTGGCTGAAAAAGTTCATCTGGATTTTCCGACATCCCCCCCCCCTTTAAGTTTATGAGATGCTCCTATGGTATGAATATTGTCTTGTTTGAGAGATAGTTTATGTTTACGACCGATTTAAGATAACATATGTTATATAGAGAATTATACACGATTCCCCGTAGCCAACCTTTATGTCGACGTAGACCCAGGTAAGTGTACGTAGCAATGGTGATTTGTGAATATTTAAAGAGTGGAATTTTGAATTACCGTTAGATGAACGATATGATTTCAATTTTATTGTACAATTATTTGTCAAGTGGCTGTCTAGACTATCTCTGAGACTCTTAAGTATCGGTATCATAATTAATTACCAGTGCTGTTCATATCTCATGTAGAATAATAAATCAGTTAGAGAGAGGGAGAGAGAGGGAGAGATATTTCAACGATTCGTTTGTGCGGAAGTGGAGGGGGCATTAGCAGACGATCCGAAGGTGCATCACTTGACTCAATGGGAATTCCCCTCTGGTCTAAAAGGCCCATTGCAGATTTCGTCATATTTTTCGAGATGTATATATGGCGAAATTTTAATGGGCTTTAGCTTTTAGCCTTTACCATTTTCCCACCACAAATCTGGATTATATGGTGGGTTCAATTTCCCATCATAGAACTGGGCCGGGTATGTGAAGCACCGTTCAATTCCCCACCACATATCTGGGGTGTAATGAAGAACTGTTCAATTTCCTACCACAGCTCTGCAGGTGTGTATGAAACATTGTTCAATTCCCCACCAAATCTGGGTTGTATGGTGGGTTCAATTCCCCACCACAGAACTATAGGTTGTGTGAAGCACTTTTCAATTCCCCACCACAGATCTGGGGTGTATGAAACACTTTTCAATTCCCCACCACAGATCTGGGGTGTATGAAACAATTTTCAATTCCCCACCACAGATCTGGGGTGTATGAAACACTGTTCAATCCCCCACCACAGAACTATAGGTTGTGTTAAATTCCCCATCACAGATCTGGAAAAGAGTCCCGAAGAAACTTTTGCACAAATCATAATAATAAAACATGTGTTAGGCGACGGTCACGTGATTTATTATCAGCTAATAACTATAATCAACTATTTACTGTTTTCTTTCAGAAAATCTACTTTAGAAAATATTACAGATAAGACACTGAACACAGATGGGAAGAAAATTGACTACAAATTCTGGTAGTTTATTTTTTATTATCGGTCTTTGAACGGTACAGAAACCTAAAACCAACATCAAGATGGACGAGAGATAGACCACGTGGTATTAAAGATAATAGTCGTATATTGAAGATACATTCCGAAAGAAAACAAAAAGCATCCGGTTCTTAAAATGGAGTCTACGTTGTTAATAAAATGGTTGACTTGTGTTGTGAACCTACTGATTCTTATGGTTGGTTTAGCGGAATGTCGGAATAGACGATTTCCACACAGGTTAGTAAACAAGGTTTTAAATGCAGCTCGAGGGTCGTGGGTGTACCGAGGTGCATATATACCAGGACTAAATCAGATTCATTTACACCCGGGATAAACCCATTTAAGTTTTAGTTCTTGGAACTTTCGCTAGTCTGGAGGTCGCGGGTTCGCTCCCGTTGTTGGCCGAGAAAGTTTATCGAATTTTCCGGCGTGGTTTCGCCTTACGGAGGCCCTAACAAGGACATAGTCGATCGGATGGGACGAAAGACCGAGGTCCCGTGTACACATTGAAGATCCCTTGGCAGATGGAATTCGATATATTATAAGAGTAGGACGTAGGGCCACTGTCCGGACAAAATTTCCCTCATAGCACACAGTATGGCGTATGCCCGTCTTCATTAGCCCAGTTTAGGAGCAGAACAGTAGGACGTTAAACCACATTTCATTTCATTTCATTTCTTTGAAAGTTAATAAACAAACAGCCACTGAAGGTACATGAACAATGTTCTGTTTAAAATTCTTAAACTTAAATATTTGGAACTAAACGCGTTTGAGAAGAGCATAGATAGGTTTAACGTCTACTTGACACAAACTAGGTCATTTCGGGACTAACACATGGTTCAATTTTATTTCAATAACGCTCTTGCGCGTAGGGGTCTTTAGCAGTGGGAGGAATTCTGAGGACCTGGAGAAATCACATGAGGGTGGGTAGGCGACCCTTGTTTTCTATTCTCCACCATGGAGTAGCTATCTCCAAACGTTTAAATTTGAAGACGAAAATTATATTTTTGCCAATTTCTCAACTGGCAATAGTAAATTATAGGATTAATAGGATTATTATTTAACAAGGTAGGACTGTTTATAGATACCATCTATTTTAAGGCTTTATTTTAATAAATTTTAAAAATATAACGTAAAAATATGAAATTGCAACTTTAAAATATGCTAAAATAATGTCTTAAAATACATGGCATCTATACCAATAAAAAAACAATCCTATAATTCACTTGTGTCAGATGAGAAATTGGCAAATACATGTACATGTGTGAGTTAGTTGTATTTTACGTCCGCTTCCACCGAGGTGATATCGCAGCCAAGGCAAATACATGTATATCATTTTCTTTTTAAATCCAACGTTGACTTTTAAGGTGTTATTATTACGTAAGCAGGTTTGAAAAGTCTCGCTCAACCAGGCATCATTATCCTTATCTGTTTAACCATGGACCTTCACAATTGAGCCAACTCTCTCTTTCATTGTGTAGACTTAGTTATCCAGTGAAAAGAAATGATACAAATTCCAAATACCTTCGGCGAGTAGAAATTATTTTCAATTTTATGCGAATTTTTTTTTAAGTGCTAGAATGATTCCTGCACAGTAGTCATTTGACAACCTATTAAAGATACATTATGGGAGATTAGATAAAGATCTGACAGTTCTCACTATAATAGTTAACAATTAGATCATGTAAAGGCAATTTGACTGAAATTCTCAGCAAACCGATTGAATTTTGGATCTATCCTCGATCATCATTACTAAAGTCGGTACGATAAAAAAACATAGTCTCGATTATCCAAATTTTGATTTAATTATCAATGAGCGTTAAGCAGCAGATAGGATACTAATCCAGTAAATACCGCAGGCTAATGATGACATCGAGAGTTGATTATGGTCTGGATAAGTTAATTAATTTCTAATTAATAATTTAGATAATATTTCAGGCCTAAAGAAAGACCTGTAATAGGCAGATTTCGCTCTTGCATAATGTATGTTTAAGTTTTAGATATAGAAATAATTCTGTTTTAACTTTCTTAGAAAATATGCAACCATCGCTTTAAACTAATATCGCCACAGAGATTACCTTTACAAGGTGTAAACATTCTGCAATTAGTGTCAAATTACATTTCAGTTAGCCAAATGAGATCCATTAAACATAGGCAAGAATAAGTACATTCTCGGGTAAACTGACCTTTTTTTTTCTGGCAAACATCGGCCATTTTACGAACATCGTTATCTTTAATAATCAGTGCTGAATGCAAATAGGAATGAAATGAAATGAAGTGTGGTTTAATGCAAGGAATAGAAACTACACCATTTTATTTTCAGTTTTACAAAGCGGTGGTGTAATTTTTCAGCATTGGGAAATGAAATGAAATGGGATTTAATGTACTACTTTTCTGCTCCGACTGGGATAATGAAGACGGGCATACGCCATACAGTGTGCTATGAGGGAAATTATATACGGACAGCGGCGCTACGACCTACTCTTATATCAAATTCAAACTGCCAAGGGATCTTTTTTGTGCACGCCAATGTATACACGGGACATCGGTTTTTCGTCTCATCCGAAAGACTAGACAGCTATCCTTGCAAGGCCTGCTGTCCTGCACCACTGACGCTAAGGCCTACTCTTATATGGAATTTCAATTGCCAAGGGTTCTTTTACGTGCATGCCAATGTGTAAACGGGACCTCGGTTGGAATTCAAAGAGTAGGCAGAAAATCAAGAAGTTAAACCGTATTTCATCGCGTAAATGACCTAGGACGGATGGGCTAGCAAGGGAAGTTTCGATTGTTCGGATAGAACAACAAATACGCTTGGAGATTATAAAGAAGAACGGGATAATTACCCGCTGTCCGCCCCCCCCCCCCCAATAACACACCGTATGGCACACGCCCGTCTGAATAAGCCGTGTTCGCACAGAAACGTCACCTCCCAAAATGATCTAGGATGGAATGCCTAGAACGTAAAAGCTTCAGTCTTTCTGATAGAACAAAAAGGAGGCAATGTTTGCACACTGACATGCGCGTTAATAAGGAACCCTTGGCAGTTGTAAATCGAAGAAGCGTAGACGTAATCCGCTGTCTGGGCAAAATGTCTTTCATAACACATCGTATAGCACATGTACGTCTTCAGCTAGTGCAGAAAAATAGGACGTTAAACCCCATTTCATCTTTCAAAACAATCCAGATCAATTGTTTACGAGATTTTTAACCCAAATCCCCCCTTTTCAGTGATGCAGGATGGAGGTCCTGACAGGGGCAGCTGTCTAGTCTTTCGGATGGGACGAAAAACCGAGGCCCGGTATACACATTGAGGTGCACGTAAAAGATCCCTTGACAGTTGGAATTCGATATAAAAATAGGTCGTAGTGCCGCTGCCTTGGTAAAATTTCCCTCATAGCACACTGTATGGCGTATGCCCGTCTTCATTATCCCAGTAGGAGCAGAACAGTAGGACGTTAAACCCCATTCTTCATCTTTCAAAATGATCCAGATTAATTGTGTACGAGATGTTTAACCCAGTTCTTTGTGGATATAAATTTAGACATCATGTAGTATAGGATGTTACACGTGACATGGTTGATATAATTATCATGTTAACGAACTGTGGAATGTTCTGTTTGTTTACTGGTAAAACAATTAGTTATATTCGTCTTCACGTTTTTATGACGAGAAATGTCTTATAGCTACTTGTTCTATATTCATGGTGTGTTGGATGGTCGAATGGTTAGCACACGCGCGCTGTATTGTAAAGCCTCTTATTGAGTCAACTGGCGTGGTTTCGAATCCCCGGTTGTACGTGACAAGGAGTGGGTCGCCTGTCCAACCTTGTGGGTTTTCTCCGGGTCCTTCGGTTTCCTCCCACTGCTAAAGACCCTTCCGCGCAAGCGAATTATTGAAATAAAAAATTAAACCATATGTTAGTCCCGAAATGACCTAGTCTGTGTCGACTGGACGTTAAACCTCATTTCTCTATATTTATTATATATATTCATACTTTAAGAATAGATCTATGCCCGGAATGGCAGCCATATTCATAAATTAGTCTACTATTTTGTAATGTAGTTCAAATCTGTTTTACATCTTCCAGGATAAATAAACATTTTCAATTCCATTAAATGGGCATTATGGAATATTAGATAAAGTGTTGACAGCTCTCGCTATAATAGTTAAAAAATAGATGACGTTGGAATTCGACATAAGAGTAGGCCGTAGCGCCGCTGTCCGGGCAAAATTTCCCTCATAACACACTGTATGGCGTATGCCCGTCTTCATTAACCCAGTATAAGACCAGAACAGTAGGACGTTAAACCCCATTTCATTGGTTTGTAAGCATTAAATTCTCAAAAGTGACTAAATACTTTATGTTTATCAAAGGTGTATTATTATAAAGCGTATTAGTTGTCTCCGATGTTAGATCATAAAATATCGCTTAAAGAATATATATATTCCTATTTTCACACTTGGTTTCGACTCCCCGGTTGTACGTACGTGACAATGAATAGGGTCGCCTGTCCAACCTCGTGGCTTTCCTCCCACTGTCAAAGACCCCTACGCGCAAGCGAATTATTGAAATAAAATTAACCGAAGTGACGTCGAGTGGACGTTACCCCCCCCCCCCCCGCAATCTCCCTCCTCTCTCTCTCTCTCTCTCTCTCTCTCTCTCTCCATTTAATTTCTAAACCAAGAATTTAAAGTCAACAAAAGCCAATCACTAATTAATAATGAATGAATGTGCTTTCTTCTGGTTTTTATTTTTCAGGGGACCACATACTTGTGGACCACCAAGTGATTTAAGATGTTGTCCAGGATGGATTGCCTCCCGTTACACTGGACTTTGTATTCACAGTAAGCTCATTAACTTTTTTCACATTTACTATTAAAAGGTGGGAACCACGGTGGCTAAGTGGGTAGGACAATGGCTCACTAACCTGGAGGTCACGTGTTCGATCCCTGCATTGACCGAGAAAGTTCATCGGGATGTTCCGACGTGGTTTTCACTTGTCAGTGGCACAGGCACGAAAACCGAGGTTCCGTGAATATATTGGCGTGCACGTAAAAAAACCCTTGGCATGCTAGCCCTGTTATGAAATCCGCTTCTTTGACGGGAAGTTTGACGGAAGGTGGTAGCAAGTGTTCTAACAATAAATGCCCCGGATTGACGGAAGGTGGTATCAAAAGTTCTAACAGTGAAGGCCCCGGGAAGATTGATGGGAGGAGGTTTCAAGTGTTCTAACTATAAAGGCCCCGGGGATACTGACGGGTGTAGTATCAAGTGAAGTGTTCTAACAATAAAAGCCCTGGGAAGATTGATGGGAGGTGGTATAATGTGTTTTAACGACATAGGCCCGGGGAAGATTGACAGGGGTGGTATCAAGTGTTCTAACAATAATGGCACCGGGTTGAAGGGAGGTGGTATTAAGTGTTCTAGAAAGAGTAAGCACATTTACATGGTATTACATGGTAATATATTATAAGATTTGAAATGATTGAATAATTTTATTATTTTTTTTTAATCTTTTTTCAGAATGCCAACACTGTGAAACAAGTCAAAATGGTAGATCTCCACATCAGAGATTCCAGTCCGATTCTCCTCACATGATATTACCGGATAAATCACCTGCTTATCCTACCCGACATCAACGCCATTCATCCAACACCCGAAAACAACAACAACAATTTCATGCACATAGCCGCCGCCAGGAACAGAAGCCGAGAACAATGTCTATGGATAAAACCCCCACTGACAGAAGACGAAAAGAACATATGAGTAAACCGTCATACAGTGTGCCCGCTAAAGGACCACGAAATAGAGGACTACATAATCCAAGGGGCTTCTTCCGACCTCATATTACATCTTCCACAGGCTTACAAAAACATGGGCGACACCACACGATGCCAAAGATTGGCTACCGGACTATACCTAAAAGAAAAACACACCGGCACATGTCGCAAGTAAGACATCCTAAGTCAAAATCGGTCTCAAAATGGAGTGAACACTTCAAGTCTCGCTCTCGACCAAATATCCGTAGGGTTTATGATAAAAATGGAAGAGTGCGTGTTCTAACAAATCCGCAAAACCGAAAAGGATCTCGAGAAACAACGACGGAATTCAACAAAGATGAACCGCGGAGATATAAAGGTTCTTTGCCAATTAGAAAAATTTCCACTCAGACTAGAACTGGCGTTAGTAAAAATCAACGAGTCAACGCGCCAATCAGTCCGAGAAAGCTTCACATGTCAGAGGTTAGGAAGATTGTGTCGACGGGGCGGGTTACGCAACGGAATTTATCTAATGGACTAACGAAAACGACAACATCTACTCCAAATATCGTGGGAAACAATAAAATTGCAGTTGAAGCCAGTCTACAAGCTGACGAACCCTTGAGGGACCTCGATGTGTCATCAGACGATGAAGTGATACTCTCTGATCTTGTTGTAGATCTTCCAACAGCAAATGCATCAAATCAAGTTTCCATCACTGAGACGAACTCCTCAACAACCGTTGAAAAATTGGAAGTCATCTGCCGAGGGGACCTTTGTCTCCAGAAACAAAGATTACTCACGCACAACTCAACGTCAACAAAAGAATATTTGGATCCTTCTGAAGTAGCTTGTCCTCCTGGCTACTTCAAAGCCATTCGAGAAAACATCATCGTTTGTGAGGCTTATAGAAAAAGTGTGAAACGAAAAGGAATCGTTGACCGAACGAAGAATAAAAAGAAAAAGAAGAAGAAAAAGAAGAAGAAGAAAAAGAAGACTACTGCTACTCCAGAAGAAGCTACAACCACCCTATCCCCCAGAAGCACAACCGCTTTCAAAAAGGCACCAGAAAGAACCTCGGTTAAATCTGACATAACCTATAGAGCCAAAGATTGTCCACCTGGTCAGATAAAAACCAACAGAGGGGATCTAAGTTTATGCATCGATGATCCTTCTGAACACACGACAAAACCCGAAAACACAGTTGGCACGGGAGAAACATGTGCCCCAGGACAGCAAGCGGTTCTGAAAAGTGGTCAAACGTTTTGTGAAACGGACGGAACTGTTGTTGTCACGTCCACATATTTAGAAGAAGCTTGCCCACGGGGACAGAAGTCAGTGCGAAGGAACAATCAAGTTTTTTGTGAAGCTGAAGGATCGGTGGAAGCAGAAACAACCCTAACGGTAACCCCAGACTCTAATAAGGAAGTTAGATTCCCATGTCCTCGGGGGCAGGTCCCAATATTGACGAGTTCGGGTTTCATATGTGCCACGCCTCCAGATTCTGATGTGAATACGTCGGTTGAATCGGGAAAGACGAAGGTCGCTTGCCCTGATGGTGCCACACCAATGACTATAAATGGACATCTGGTGTGTCAGGATAGTGCTGAAACTGATATCGTTGAGCCAAGAAACGGTATTTGCCCTGACGGATTTTCACTACAGGTAGTGGCTGAACGCCCAATATGTAAAAGAGACCAAATCGATTTCATGGAACCCACAAATGGGAAATGTCATCCAAACTATTCTCTTGTTACGATCAACGATAACTTAGTTTGTCAAAGGATAGGAATTCGGGAAGTTGATAAAGATTTTATAGACCCTGATAACGACAGCTGTCCACAAGGTTATACGCTCGTCACCGTGGACGGAAGGTCGAGTTGCAAGAGGTCGTATGATATAAGCAAAGAAAACACGGATGTAATAGACACCATGAACGGCGGATGTCCACCTGCCTATTCGCTGAGAACCATCAATGGTAAATATGTCTGTAAGAGGAAGGACACAGAGTTGGTGGATGAAACCGAATTCATTTTACCTGAAAATGGAGAGTGCTCAGAAGGATATACTCTAATCACATATCACAGGAAACTAGTGTGTAAAAAGAACGAAGAGAGAACCCAAGAGGGGACGAATGTCGTCGATCCAATCAATGGCAGATGCTCTACGGGTTACTCGATGTCGACTGTTAACAGGAGGTTGGTCTGTGTGAAAGATAATCAGGTGACACAAGAAGAAGTGACAAGAAGCACCGTTGCTAGAGCAGATTTCGTTCAACCCATCAACGACGACTGTCCTTCTGGTTATATACTAACCACTCTTAACGGGGACGAAATATGTAGAAGACTTCAAGTTGGAATAGACTATTTGTTACCCGAAGGTGGAGCTTGTCCTACAGGCTCAACATTAACTACAGTTGCAGATCGACTGATCTGTAAGAAGGATTCCAAAGATGACCAGGCGAAGACACTCGATTGCCCTAAAGGCCAAAAACCTGTCAAGGAGAATGGAAGAACGATTTGCAAAAGTTTCACACACCGCGAGATAGGCGTTACACCCGATTTGGCGTGCCCACCTGGTTACAGAATGTATAAGGGTTTGTGTGAGGATGAGAAGCTAATTCTAATCTTAATGGAAACCGAAAATAATCTTCACTGTCCAGATGGACAGGTGCTAGCTGAGAGAAATAACATGTTTTATTGCGAGAACGAAACCGTTGCAACTCAACCTCCAATCACCCCAAAGAGATGTCCCCCGGGCCAGTATCTTATCAATCAGAATGGACAGACTTTTTGCGGAAGTGAAATGGCGCATACGACTACTGAATACATTAGCAAGTGCTTGCCGGGTGAAACATCCGTAATACGAAACGGAAAAGAACTTTGTGAAGCGTCTCACGGAGACATCGATATAACGAGTAAAATTTCTAGAACCTCGACAGCTGTAGCTCCTACAACCACCCCGATGTGCTCTGTAGAACAGATTCAAGTAATAAGAGATGGTCAAATTTTCTGTGAGCAAATTGAAACAACTACCTTACCTCCGAGTACTACCCTCCAACCATGTTCTGCAGGTCAACGAACTGTAAGAAAAAACGGAAAGACTTTCTGTGAATTACCTGGAGGTGTTTTAATTGAAGTTTTTCCAGATGTCGTATCTGTCTGTCCCGATGGCACAATCCCCATAGAACGAAATGGCGTGCGTATTTGCGGGGATGGTAGAACTCCAAAATGCCCTAGAGGAACAAGGCCAGTTTCAAGGAATGGACGACAGCTTTGTCGGAAAAGTGATAGGTCTATAACAAGAAGACCCCGACTCGGACCACCAAGCACAAAGCAACCCGTAACCACCGACTGCCCACCGGGCCAGACGAAAATTGTAAAGAATAATGAAGTCATCTGTGACACAATTCCAAGGTCAATAACTCCTACCGACCTAGGTCATGAAACATCGGAAAGAACAACACCACCCATAAGAGAAAACATAGATTGCCCAGAAGGTTATACTGAAGCAATCGAAGATGGCTCAAGAACCTGTATACCCGAAGAAAATAATGCTGTGACTCCAGAAGGAGAATCACATGGCGATTGCCCAAAGGGTTATGTGAAGGTTGCACTGAGAAACGGGAAATATGAATGTGAACTGAAGATCAATACAGGAGAAACACGCGAAGAAAGATGCCCCGATGGCTACAAGGAAATTGTTTTGCGAAATGGTAATTTGGATTGCGAACTTGAGGAGGAAGATTGCCCGGAAGGATATAAAAAGGTTATCTTAAGTGACGGTGATTTTGACTGTGAGATAGACGAATCTGGAGACTGTCCTGTGGGATATCGGAAGGTGTATTTACAGGGTGGTGCGTTTGATTGTGAAATGGATGGATCCGAAATATGTCCTCCTGGATACCGACGTGTGACCCGTAGGGATGGCAGCGTTGATTGTGAAGTGATAGCGACAGACTGTCCAGAAGGATTTACGAGGAAGTGGAGGCTGAATCGTTATCTTTGTGAACCAGATTATTCTCGAACAAGAGACAATAATGGGGAAACTGGTTCGGATTGGGTTGATCCGTCCTTAGTCGACTGTCCTCCAGGATATCACCGAGCACTAAGAGACAACATACTGGTTTGCGAGGCCCTGCGAGGAAGTATTGTAGCCGAGGCGAACATAACCTGCGCCTCAAATGAACTGTTAGCGTTTACAGATGATGGTCCTCAGTGTGTCATTTTCAGATGCAATGATAGCGAGGAGTTGGTTGTAGTTGATGATGTAAGGATCTGTAAAACGATAGCAACAACTACCCAGGTCCCAATCTGTCCGCCGGAGATGGAAGTTGTCCGAACAGAATCGGGATACATTTGCGTTTATAAAGAAGTAACAACGACCACCATAAGAACTACCACCATATCGTGTCCAGAAGGTGGGATCCGGGTTCATACTGACCAGGGAATCCGGTGTATTCGTCTACAAATCCAGAAACCAACAAGTACCGAATCACCATGCGCTGAAGGACTTACGCCAGTAAGAACGGCCGTCGGTCCCATTTGCGTATTTAGACAATCTACAACAACAACGACCACAACAGCACCAGCGTCTTGTCCAGAAGGTCAGGTTTTGATGGAAACCGTAGATGGAGGAGCTGTGTGCGGGTTTGAATCGTTTGGGGAAGTAACCTGTGCGAGAGGACAGGTAGAAATTTACACATTAGATAGTCAAATCGTTTGTAAAAATATTGAAGATTTATCAGCGGATGAGAACCCTTGCCCACTAGGATTGGAAATAGTCGCCACAGAAAATGGAGCTGAGTGTAAATACCCACAAACAAACGTCCATGACGAGCATGAAATTCCTTCCTGCACATCGCCACAAATATTAACATTAACAAAATATGGATTTTTCTGTGAAGACTTGATTGTGGATGAACGGTTGCCGGTTTGTGTGGAAGGCGAGGTTGTCGTGCAAATAAACCAGACCTTACAATGTGTCCAGAAACAATTTGTTAGTCTTGTTTGTGATACGGGTCATCATATAGTTAAGACAGGATCTGGATATTTCTGTCAGGTATCTGAGTTCGATGTGAAGGAAGAATGCCTGGAAGGCGAAATCTTGCTAATTATTGGTTCGGAAAGAATTTGCAAAAAACTTGAGAGGAATTTAGATTTATGTGGCGAAGGATATAAAGCCATCCGGACGAAGGAAGGCTTCGTGTGCAGCAGTCTTCACCTACCCTTGGAATGTCCAGTGGGATACCACATTCTCATCAATTCTGATGGCAAGCCAGAATGTTATCCTCTAGAAGACGATGCACCATGTTCCGGTTTAGATGGCGTACCTTGTGACAAGGGAGTTAAGCTTGTTCAATGTCGTCCCGGATATGATGTCATAGAAGGTTTGCAGGGTCCTAAATGTGAACTAGGTGACTTTGTTGAGGTTGTTTGCAACGAAGAAAGTCACTGTGTTGCAGAATCGTGTAAAACTGGATACGGAACACGCACGTGCCAAGATCTGCTTCAGCTGGTCCTGGACGGATGTATCCCACAATGCTCTAACGGCGGAACCTGCATAAATAAAACCTGTTATTGTCCGGCAGGTGTTGCTGGTGGCTCGTGTGAAGAAGGTAAGTACATCCACGTCTCAAGAATCCCGTAAAGAAACCACTTTCTTCATAAGATCGCACGTTCACAATTCTACGACCTATCACCAAACCTAATCATTTGCAAGTAGTGAAAGCCTTCAAAAATAATTCTTCTTCAACTGATTTAGGGCGATCTAAATGTAAATATAGGATAAATGAAACTTTTAGAAATTCGGGAAACCGTTTTAAGCGAATACAGATGATAATATAGATAAACTACATCAAAAACATAAACATGTTACCCGGGTAAAACAATGTACTGCGGCCCCTAATTGCCCAACTCATTCAAATTCAGGTTCTAGTGGTTAAAGGTTTTGTATGAACACGGAGATCCTATATTAAAATTAATTAAATTAAATAACAGCTGGTCCAGATCTAGTACCCATTATAACGCAAAAACGAAAGCCTCATTTCACATGTGTTTAAACACCATGCACTGCCATTAATTGTATTCTCCTAATTGAATGTGGGACCCCATAGCATCAGGGATCTTGTGCCCGTATGATGGGACGGTCCTGCATGTACTTAATACCAGTAATAAATTACACAATTATACATTTTAATATAGTCTCGAACCGGTCATTTGTTTCAAACCACCTCTCAGAGATACTGTTTCGTACCACGTCTCTAAGGGACTGTTTCCAGTCTCACTGATAGGTTTCGCACTCAGTCTCATAGGTACTGTTTCAAACCACGTCTCAGAGATACTGTTTCGTTCCACGTCTCGCAGGTACTGTTTCGCACTCAGTCTCATAGGTACTGTTTCAAACCACGTCTCAGAGATACTGTTTCACACCACGTCTCACAGATATTGTTTCACACCACGTCTCACTGATATTGTTTCACACCACGTCTCACAGATATTGTTTCAAACCACGTCTCACTGATATTGTTTCATAGATATTGTTTCACACCACGTCTCACTGATATTGTTTCATAGATATTGTTTCACACCACGTCTCACTGATATTGTTTCACACCACGTCTCACTGATACTGTTTCGCACTCAGTCTCATAGGTACTGTTTCAAACCACGTCTCAGAGATACTGTTTCACACCACGTCTCAGAGATACTGTTTCACACCACGTCTCACTGATATTGTTTCACACCACGTCTCACTGATATTGTTTCATAGATATTGTTTCACACCACGTCTCACTGATATTGTTTCACACCACGTCTCACTGATACTGTTTCGCACCCAGTCTCATAGGTACTGTTTCACACCACGTCTCACAGATATTGTTTCATAAATATTGTTTAACACCACGTTTAACTGATATTGTTTCATGTTATTTATTACAGATATTAACGAATGTCTGGAACTGCCTGAAGGATATTGTCAACATGGTTGCCACAATTCGTTTGGTAGTTTTGAATGCAGGTGCCCACATGGTTCCACTCTCAATGAAGATGGCAGAACTTGCAGTGGTAGGTAAACAACTTTTTTTTGGTTCGCTTAGTTTGTCTGGAATTATTACATTTACACATGTTATATTATAATCATTCGCACTGTGATTCTCAACCTGATCTTCTTAAATGTGCGAAAAACCGCATGATCCCAACTGAGTATTCACTGGTGTCTACTGGTAAGTTCATTTATTTAGTTTGAGTCATTCTATGTGCCTATGACTAGTCGGTGTCTACGGTTGTTTGCCGTCTATGACTTGCCATGTTTTTATTTTGCAAAATCTCTCTCTCTCTCTCTCTCTCTCTCTCTTTCTCTTTCTCTCTCTCTCTCTCTACTTTTACTTTAGATTTTAATATTCTGTCTTTCCGTTCATGAACAACAGAAATTGGGTGTATACCAGACTGTATGAATGGTGGAATATGTGTGGGCGGTGTTTGTACCTGTCCACGTGGTTTTACGGGCTCTGTCTGTGAGAATGGTAGGTTCTGTTTGGTTTTTTTTATTTGCTCATCCTCTCACCTCGAAGGTGGGAACCGCGATGGCTCAGTGAGTAAAACTTTGGCTCACTAACCGGGAGGCCCCGTGTTCGATCCCAGTGTTGACCAAGGAATTTAATCGAGATTTTCCGGCGTGGTTCGCCCTTGTCAGTGCAGCAGGACGGCGGACCTAGATGGGACGAAAAACCGCGGCCCGCTGTACACACGGACATGCAAATGAAAGAACCCTTGGCAGTTGGTATTTGATATAAGAGTAGACCGTAGTGCTGCTGTCCTGGGAACATTTCCCCTCATAACACACTGTATGTCCTAGCCCATCTTCATCAGCCCAGTATGTGCATTAAAGTAGGACTTTAAACTCCATTTCATTTCATCTCGAGGCACATTTACTCCATAATCGTCCGCTTAGAAAATAATTCTATAGCTGTCGTCTTCAGATTTGTACCAACGACTCCTATTCCAACATACAAACTCCAGTAAAGTCCAAATTCAGAAATTTCCTGAATAAAATCAAAGCGAAAAAAAATGAAAAAAATAGCCAACAACCAGTCATTGAGGTGTACACCAAATCGTACATACTCACGCGTTTTTAGATCATCTGGTACGTCAACATAAAAATGTGGGCGTATACTGTCATCGCCCCTGTCCGGACGTCCGTCCGTCCACAATTGTTTGTGAACACTCTACAGGTCACAATTTTTATCCGATTTCAATGAAACTTGAAATATAGGTTTATCACCCTAAGATCTTGGTTCCGTTCGATATTGGCATGTATCGGACTGTAACTTCATGGATTATGGCCCCTGATTGTACGAAAAATAACGTTTTTAGCCTGTGAACACTGTAGGTCACAATTTTTATCCGATTTGGTTTAAACTTGTACGAAAAATCGCTATTTTAGCTTGTGGTCCCTCTAGAGGTCACAATTATTATCCGATTTAAAAAACCGTTCGAATACATCACCATTATGAAAATCGGACCAAAACTGCCAAACAAAATGGCCGCCCTTCGTTCGCAAATAGTGTAAACATCTGGTATATCAAAGTTATGGACCTATAGAGGCCACAATTTTGATCCGATTTTGATGAAACTTGAAATGCAAGTTTATAACCCAAAGACCCCGGTTCCGTTCAATATTCGCGCATATTGGATCGTAACTTCCTGAATTATGGCCTCTGATTGTACGAAAAATCGCGTTTCTAGTCCCTCTAGAGGTCACAATTATTATCCGATTTAATAAACAAACGTTCGAATATGTCACTGTTACACCGTAATGTTTGATGAGTTCGAATTTTTTGAAAATCGGGCCAAAACTGCCGGACAAAATGGCCGCCCCTCGTACGCAAATAGTGTAAACATCTGGTAAATCAATGTTGTGGACCCTCTAGAGGTCACAATTTTGATCCGATTTCGATGAAACTTGAAATACATGTTTATAACCCAAATATATTGGTTCCTTTTGATATTCGCGCATATAACGTCCTGAATTATGACGTTTTTAGCTTGTGGTCCCTGTAGAAGTCACTTTTTTTTATCCGATTCAATATATCACCATTATCTGGCGTTGGTTGCCTGCTAGTAAACAAAGGGAATTGACGCTAATTTACAGAACAAAGGGGCCCATGAAACAAATCATAGGGCTTTAGATTTAGGCTTAAAGTATAAATGTTATCTCCTACAGATATAAACGAATGCCAGGAACAGAACGGATTGTGTGAGTTTTATTGCAGGAATACATTTGGTAGTTTTTCCTGTATTTGTCCACCAGGCTCCAGGCTACGAGATGATCACAGAACTTGTATGAGTAAGTTAAAATATTTCATCATTACAAACTTAGATTAGTTTCATGCCCGTGTGGTTCTTCTACTCCAGCGTGCAACTGTCAAGGACAAACGGAATGTGAGAAGAAAGACATCTTCCAAGACCCGTAGCTAGCGAGGAAGGGGTGGGGGTGGGGGACAAGGGGACGTCCAACCAATGTCACTCGGCTTTTTGGGTGCCAATACTAAAATGTGTACGTTGGGCGTTGGCTTCGTAATGAAAAAGGGCATCAGGAGGTGCCCCCCTCCCCTGCTAGCTACGGGCCTGACTGCCCCTGCATGCAGATTGACAGTGCACGTTAATTATTTTTGACATTGTGGTAGGAAAGACTGTGTACACGTCCCAGGGCAATGGACTGATCAAAGTTGTAAAATCTACTAGTAAGTGCAGCGGGACTGCACCACACATAATAATAATTATACAAAACACAAGACACAATAAGTAGAAATCACAAACACACGTACATATCATATTAAGTGAATGGATCCAGGGGCTAGCCGTAAGCGTCCACTACGCTGTACAGTCCCGGGCCTGTAGTGATACCGCGACTTCACTCTAAATTGAAAGACAAACATACAGGAATATAACCCAGAGAAAAACATTGTGTAATACTAGTACGAATCATGATCTGCTATATGCCACATGAAATATGACTGTAAGCATATTGAAGTAAAAATAATACATGTACTATAGGCTATACAAGTAACCATATAAGTATGGGCATATTTTCCATTTACCACAAAAATAGTTTTCGTATAATATGTTGATTATATTTACACGTACCTTATTGTTTTCAGATACTACCTGTATACCAGAATGTCGAAATGGTGGAGAATGTCAGAATCATAAATGTATATGCCCGACTGGTTACTATGGTGTTATTTGTCAACTAGGTTAGTAAGATTTCTCAAATTTAACTTATATTAAGTAAAATTTAACTCATTTTCTATAAGTTTTCTATAGGTTGGTCAGTTTTCTCAAATTGAACTTATATTAAGTAAAATTTAACTCATTTTCTATAAGTTTTCTATAGGTTAATCAGTTTTCTCAAATTGAACTTATATTAAGTAAAATTTAACTCTTTTTGTAAAGTAAGTAAAATTTAACTTATGCTAGGTTAGTCAGTTTTCTATAACAAAAATTGAGTTTATATGATGTAAAATTTAACTCATCTTCTATACGGAAGTAAAATTTAACTCATTTTCTAGAATTCAGTACAGTAAAATTTAACGCATGTTCTATACTTAATTTTAACTCAATTTCTATCAGTTAAATTTAACTCAATTTCTATCAGTTAAATTTAACTCAATTTCTATCAGTTAAATTTAACTCATTTTATCTAAGTAAAATATAACTCATTTTATATAAGTAAAATTTAACTGACCATAAGCCAATTACATGTTAAAAACGTTTGATAAAGCCGTCAATATTAGTATATATCTTACAGATGTGAATGAATGTTACAGTGGTAAACCCTGCAGCCATGAATGCGTAAACACAAGAGGAAGTTATCGCTGTGTTTGCCCAGATGGATGGAGATTAAAATCAGATGGATCAACCTGCCAGTCTTAGGAATATAGAGTGACAACAGGGGTTTAATAAAAAATAACCACACCCTGATATCAGGACTTTCAGAAAGGTTAAGCATACGTTTGCGTTTACTGTGTTTACTGTTCAGCGACGTAGTAAGGAGAACTACTTAACTGACATTACATATATCAGAAAATGTGTACTAAACGTTTAAGAAATGTGTGTAGTAAATGTTTGTATTAAATGTGCAGGACATGCGTGTAGGAAATGCGTGTAGTAAACGTCTAGGAAACCTGCGGAGACGTGCTGTAGACGTGTGTTGTAAACGTGCAGTAAACCTGTTTAATAAACGTGTAGTAAAAATGTGAAGTAAACGTGCAGTTAACGTTTGTAGTAAACGTGATAGGTGCAGTAAACGCGTGGTGTGAACTTGCCGTAAACGTATTTCGTAAACATGTGTAGAACAAGTTTGGTGTAGTAGACGCGTGATGTGAACTTGCCTTAAACGCGTGTATTAAATGACTAATAAACGCGTAGTAAACGTGTATATTAAACGTGTCGTAAGAATGTAGTAAGCATGTAGTAAACGTGTGTATTAAATGACTAGTAGACGTTTCGTAAACGTGTAGTGAACGTGTTTATTAAACGTGTCGTAAACATGTAGTAAACGTGTTTATTAACGTGCAGTAAAAATGTAGTAAGCATGTAGTAAACGTGTGTATTTAATGACTAGTACACGTGTAGTAAACGTGTTCATTAAACGTGTCGTAAGCGTGTAGTAAACGTGTTTATTAAACGTGTCGTAAGCGTGTAGTAAACGTGTTTATTAAACGTGTAGTAAACGTGTTTATTAAACGTGTCGTAAACGTGTAAAAAACGTGTTTATTAAACGTGTCGTAAACGTGTTTATTAAACGTGTCGTAAGCGCGTGGTAAACGTGTTTATTAAACGTGTCGTAAACGTGTTTATTAAACGTGTAGTAAACGTGTTAATTAAACGTGTCGTAAACGTAAACGTGTTTATTAAACGTGTCGTAAACGTATTTATTAAACTTGTCGTAAACGTGTTTATTAAACGTGTAGTAAACGTGTCGTAAGCGTGTTTATTAAACGTGTCGTAAACGTGTTTATTAAACGTGTCTAATAAACGTGTAGTTAACGTGTTTATTAAACGTGTAGTAAACGTGTTTATTAAACGTGTCTAGTAAGCGTGTAGTTAACGTGTCTTGTGAACGTGGAGTTAACGCGTGTACTCACTCAATCAAGTAAGTGCTGGCGTGTTTTGTAAATAGATTAGCTGGATGGGATAAATGAATGGTTTGTGGGCGAAGACAATTAACAGTGATTGGATAACTTGTGACTCAAACCCAAGTGGAATGAAAACTCACGAATTGTTTTCAGTTAATGAAACACGTGGAATACGATATTTCTGGACATCTTAAATTGTCTCATGTGGAATAATAACACAATCTAAACGTGTAAATATTATGGATATTGATGAATTATGGTACAACGAAAACTGATTGTCTTTAGTTCATTGTTTTTAATAGTCTATAGTCATGATCGTAGACTTCGCAAGCTACAGCTTCCAAACGGCCACAGGCAACCAAATATCAATATCCTTTGTGTTTATTTCGTGGTAACTTAATCGTCTTATATACAATGACGAATTTATATGGAGGGAGACCCAATGTTATTCTACTTATGCCCCCCCCCCCCTCATCATCCAAGCTCACAAGGAGAAGATGAAAGTGTGTTTTAAAAACAATTAAAAGGCCATTCTACTTATGAAGCCCCCCCCCCCCAATTGCCCATTCCGACAACCCGGGTAAGATGAAAGTGTGTTTTGAAAACAATGGAGCAAAGCTGAGGATGATACGGATGTTTAAGTCTTTAAAGTTGCAACCAATGATTATGTAATACAAAACGAAGCATACTGGTCCTCATCAAATGATTACACAGACCACAAGCTTACATATAAAACGCCAGGGTCATTCTGTCGCACTGTATCTTAATCCTAGGCATGTTCAGACATTAACCTGCTCTGTTGCCACTTTAACAAGGGAAGTATAAATGCCATGGGTTTTTATACGCCCACATTCAAATGTGGTCGTATATTGTCGTCGCCCCCGTCCGTCCGTCCGCCCATCCGTCCGTCAGGCGTCCACAATTGCTTGTGGCCCCTCTAGAGGCTAAAGTTAATATCCGATTGACTTTAAATTTCTACACAGTGTTTAAGGTCATGAGACGAAGAAGCCTATTGATTTTCAGCGTTTTCCGATAATTACTGCCAGAGTTATGGCCCTTGATCACTTTGAAAAATCCTGTGGACGCTCTAGAGGCTAAAGTTAATATCCATCCGTCCGTCGGTTTGGCGTCCACAATTGCTTGTGGATGCTCTAGAGGCTAAAGTGAATACCCGATTAGTGACTTTAAATTATACACAGTGTTTACGGTCATGTGATGAAGAAGCCTATTGATTTTCAGCGATTTCCGATAATTACTGCCAGAGTTATGGCCCTTGATCACTTTGAAATATCTTGTGACGCTCTAGAGGCTTGTGTTATCATCCGATTGACTTCACATTGATACACAGAGTTTAAGGTCTTGAGACGAACAAGTATATTGATTTTCAATGAATTTTGATAACTTGAACAGCTAAATCCATAATATTAAATGTTTCGTATGCTAAACGTTAGCATGGGGCAGAACTTTATAAAAACCAAACAAATTCTAATGATTTTCTGATAATTACTGAATGAGTTGTTACTCTTAATCAGATTTTAGTGTATTATAAATGTTTTATTACTGAAAAAAGTAAAAATATGCGACAACTCTTCTTGACTGCCCGGACGATTTAGCTGTCGTGGGCGTATGTTTCTTTGTCTGGCAACCTATCTTTATAGTGGCTGACGTCATAGATAGATTTCTTGATCAGAGTCTGTGATGTCTTATGAATACTTATTCAAGAAATGTTCAAACCATATTAAAACTTATAAAATTTACACAATATATGCTTTTTGCCTTACTTTATCTCATCAGAGGGACGCATGCGCCATCCCTAGGCTATCAGCTATCTGGCGTGTTAATTTTTTTCACTGCTCAATTTGACTTTCCAGTCATGAATGGGAATCTTGTGCGGGCCTAGCGGAGTGCTCCCCCCCCCCCCCCCGCAATAAATTGTCCGAAAACACCCCCTGAACCAGGTAATTACGTGCAAGTAACTGGGAAAATCTGTCAAAAACAGCCGACAAATTGCGACTTCAACACAGAATTTGATCATATTTAATTACCATCGTTCTAATCGCCTGATTGTGTGATTCTATTATATGTAAAAACGTAGGCTTTCTATAAGAGCCCCCCCCCCCCCCCTTTGCTAGGGTCGTGATTAGTTAAAGATACATTATGCAAGAGTTAAATCTGTCTATTGCAGGTCTTTTTTAGGACTGAAATGTTTTATAAATTATTAATTAAATATTAATTAACTGATCCAGGCCTTAATCAACTCTCGATGGTATCAGATTTCTCCGATATTAAATAGATTAGAATGGTTCAGCGATACTTTGATTTAATCAAATATGGAGGACCGAGACTTAGCTTCGATCAACCAGTACGGTGGTTGAAATTATTGCACACTTCTGTCAAACCTTCAAAGGCTAATATCTTCGCTTGCAATAGAGTAATTTGAATGAAATTTTCAAATTATTCATTTTACATCATCTACTTTCGAACTATTATAGCAATAATGGCAAGTTCTTTATTAAATCTTACATAATGTATCTTTAACTGAACAGTCAATCTTTATTTGAAGTCCACCTAACTTCCGTTGTATCTATGACAGATTAAGTAATTAGAAAAAAAAGTCCCTTATCCATAAAATAATTCAATGCTAACATGGAGAGTTAAACAACGTGATACGTTTATAGACATATTAAACTGTAACTGTAAGGCCTGCTTTTTCACGGGCATGCTTGATTTGTCCGTCGACAGGCGAGCTGGTTTCTATCACGGTGTAGCCTACGCTGGTCAGGTTACCGTATCAAAGCAAATCAAGTGACCCGGCTGATAAACCCGACGTAGGCCGTGGTAGAGAGAGAGAGAGAAATGGGGTTTAACGTCCACTCGACACAACTAGGTCATTTCGGGACTAATATATGGTTTAATTTTATTTCAATAATTCGCTTGCGCGCGCGTACGGGTTTTTAGCATTTGTGGAAACCGGAGGACCCGGAGAAAACCCACGAGGTTGGACAGGCGACCCTAATCCTTGTCACGTACAACCGGGGATTCGAAACCACGCCAGTTGACTCAATAACAGGCTTTATGATAAAGCGCGCACGTGCTAACCATTCGGCCATCTACCCCCCCCCCCCCCCAGGCCGTGGTAGAAACCGGCTCGCCTATTGGCGGACAAATCATGCAGGCCAACGGGACCGTTTCCAAGTAAGCGATTCCGCACGCGGTGAAACGCGGAAAAAAGTTGCTCCTTAAGTAAACACGGGTTCTCAAGTCAATCAACCTGACAAATTTGTTGGACATGGTGTTATAATAAAAAGGCGGCTATTAAACGTAAAAAAGGCCAGACTGCATGCTCTGATGTAGTTGATTCAATGACAGTCCTTATGATCAAATGCGAACGCGTTAACCATTCGGCTACCAAAACCCATACTGTTCTTACCATGGGCGTACGAGCTGCCCCCCCCCCCCATTTTGGGCACCAAATGCTTGGAAAATTTGGGCACACAATTGTACTTTGTAAAAGTTGTATAAAAAAATATTGTGTTCTTAAATGTGTCCAATTTAACAGCGAATTTAAATTCAGATTGTCTATAGTTAGGCAATTATATAGAAATCTTAAGACTCGAACCCTCTATTGTTAGGAGTATAGTAAGCCACGAGTTACAGTTACATAAACAACTACATGTTTGGGGCACCAACCACCACCGCCCCCCCCCCCCCCATTGAAAAAATTCCCCGTACGCCTATGTGTTCTTCTCCAACTGAGCTAATGAAAGCGAATATGCGTCATGCAGTGTGCTACGAGGGCCTACTCTTATTTCGAATTCTAACGGTAAAGGGTTCTTGTACGTGGACACCAATAAGTGTGAAAGGGAGAAAGGGAGAGAGAGAGAGATAGACTCGACACAATCCAGGTCATTCCGGGACTAACAATTTTATTTCAATAATTTGCTTGCCATTTCAGAATCTCGACTTCTCGCAAGTCGAGGACGAGAACACGAGGGAGCGAGAAGTCGAGGGCGAGAGTGCGAGGGAGCGAGAACTCGAGGCACGAGAAGTCGAGGTGAAAATAATCTCGTGTTCTCGAGGCGAGATCCTCGTATTCTCGCCCTGTTTCCTCGTGTTCTCGCTCCCTCGCACTCTCGCCCTGGACTTCTCACTCCCTCGACTTCTCGCTCCTCGTGTTCTCGCCCTCGCGGCTCTGAAATGGCAGCAATAGGCTTCCATACTTATAAATGTTCTAATGGCAATAATAACACATACAACACAAGTGATGTAAAATTCTAGGATGTGTACCACTATATGTTTATAAAATTTGCCTATTAATTCATTATACACCTAGGAAGAATGTATACATATATAGTAGGCATACTTTGTATGATGTATACACTACAAGATAAGCATTTACATTTATTAAAATATACATTTTATCTTTCAGTGTGGCATTTCCACATTCTAGTGATTCTAGTGTAGTGTAGTGATAAGTGAAATGTGCTTTAACGTTCTACTGTTCTGCGCCGACCGGGCTAATGAAGACGGCTTTTACCATAGTATGCCGTAGAGGAATACCGATGATGTCAAGTGCTATTTGAGAAATGGGAATTATCATATTAATAGGAAAACATCACACCATACTGCACGCAGCGACTCATCTACGTCATACTTCCCAGAATGTGGCACTGCTCTGATTATCCGCCATTTAAAACGCTCATGTGATCATTTTGGGGCGGGACTTATCGACTCGAGACCGCTTTGTTTAGACAACAGAGTAAAAATAACCCACGCACGTGTGTTTTATGTAAACACGGCATGTCGCTGACACTCGCGTAAAAGCGATATATAATATGTGCTATGGGTAATATTGCAATAAATTCTTTACCATTGTAAACTGTCTTTAGAGTTTCAATCTGTTTATCTTTCAAAACAAGGTTAGATATTCCTAAATTTGTTTTCGCAAATAAAACCGCCTCTGTGAAATTATGTTTCATGAGCGCTGCCATATTGAATAATTAGAGGACTATTTTGTGATTCGGCTTTGATTAGTTTGACATTTTTCATACACACAGCGGCTAAATAAACATATTTAATTTCATTCAATATGACAATAGAAGAGAAATAAATACTTTTAAAAATTTCTAAAAGCATACTCAGTGTTTTCGACTAAAACCGTCGATGTAGGAATTCAAATGTCGGTTAATTAGCTTAGGGCCTATTCTCAGCCGGAGCTAGCTGTAGATAGGCAGCCTAAGTTTGGGATGACATCACACTTAACACAAACTACAATCTCGTCTAAGGCATGCCGAAATTCAAAAGTTTTCTCGCCCGGAGCAGCCAACCATCCATCCCCGGACACCAATGCCTGTTCTCAGGCTGTTTAAGAACCCTGACCTTCTATTTTTCACCGTGATTCTTTATTGTCCACCAAAAGGAATCATCTCTCACTATATTTGACACAAATTTGTTGTTCGAGATTTGTTTTTCGTTTAATGTCTCTGATGAAATGTAAATGTAGGCTCATTTTTTGATTTTCTAACATAAATTTTATTTTTATATAACCAAAAATAAATTACACCAAACCACATTTCACAAATCCTTATAAATGACAAATATTGATTTTAAGATACAAATGTTAATTTTAGTGTACAAATGTCGGAATACGACAACAAATAAAGAAATAATAATTAAGGACTATGAATTAAGAACTAAGAATTAAGAACATTGAATAAAAAGCTATTTCGTCTTCCATAAACTAACGTATTAAACAGTTGAAGCTGTGTGTCAGTTTCCAAATGCAATTTCTTTGCTTTTTAAAGAATTGTAAACGTTGCATTACCGGTTTTAACATACAGCATTCTTATTGCTGCTGTAGTTAAAGACTATTCCTAAATATGTATAATCATCTACTACATCAAGTAATATCTCTCCATACATTATTTTCGGTTTGTTTCTAATTTTACCCCTGGAAAAAACGATGACTTTTGTTTTCGAGGTGTTTATGTCAAATTTCCATATATTACAATATTCATGCATACCATTCATTGCGGCCTGAAGATCAGCCTCAGTTACAGCCAAAATAACAGTGTCATCGGATCGGACTATAATAATATAAATAATTGTATATAAATGTCCACATCACTACCACCTTCAATATTATTAAATGTCTGTGCGTTTAAATATTTTAAGCCTTCGTAATAAATTCGAGAGAAATGATTCAAGATCTCGAAGATAGATCGAGAAAAGTAGCGTTGGGTGGGGGAGGGGGGGGGGGAGATTTTCGCATTGTCTAACTCCATCCATACAGTTGAACATATCTGATAGTTTATTCTCACGTTTAATACAAGATTTTGCTGATTTGTATATATTATAAATAACATTGAAAAGTTTACCTTTATGCCATAGATTTATTCTATCAACAGAATCAAAGGCCTTTCTGTAATCAATAAAGGATGCATACATTCGTCTTTTCTTAGATAAATACAAATCAATTAAGCATTTGAGTGTGAATTTATTAACAACAAAAAAGTTCATTTAAAATTTTTATTTTGTCTTAAATATTGGATCAGAAGCCCATCTTTTCACGATACGATAACAACACCAATGTTGATTTAAATTGACAAATAATTCGTGTTTTCAATGTCGAAGATTTGGGATGATATTGATTTAGAGACTTGGCAAATTTAAACTGTGCTTGCTACATATGTTTGCATCAAATATTTCTTGGTATGTTAATGTATTCATTTAATATGTTATCTATACCACATGCTTTATTAGTTTT